GGAACCCTGTTATTAGTCAATTGGCAGATTGCTAACCAGGGGTAATAATCCCTTCAAAAAATTAAATAATAATAATTTGGTCACTCAATCCGCGACTGTTTGGGGGGGCGCTGCTGTGCGCAATTGGCTGCCGCGTTTTGCTCACAGTCGATTATACAGTCAATTCACTTTACAGTATATTCTGTGAAGCGCTTTGAGACGTCTTAATAACATGCTAAGCGACGCTATATCAAATGCAAAGATTATTATGTTCTGTGGCTCTGCACAATTTGCCCTTTTATAGGGCAAAACCTTTGATACATCAAATACGTGAAAGCTCTTGCATCAAATGCAACGACGATTATTAATCGTTCTGCTACAGCCATTAACGGAACAGTCAAGTCAATGAACTGAATTGTCCAGAGGGCTGGCTATTACCCCGGTAGCATCTGAGCTGCTCCCCCGTGTGAAGGGTGCTGTATCAGTGCAAGTTGTTGTCATTGTTTTCCCTGCAGAGATGTATCTTGGAATCATATAGCGCAGAAGGAGGCCATTCGGCTCATCGTGCCTATGCCGGCTCTTTGAAACAGCTACCCAACTCGTCCCACTCCGCCCGCTCTTACCCCATAGCCCTGCACATTTTTCCTTTTCAAATACCTATCCAACTCTGTCTTGAAAGCTATTAAAAATATAGACCCCATCTGGAGACTGCGTTCAGTTTTGGGCATCGCACCTCAGGAATGATATGTTGGCCTTTGAGGGGGTGCAGCGCAGATTCACCAGAATGATACCAGGGATTAAAGGGGTAAATTGTGAGGACCAGTTGCATAAACTAGGTCTCTATTCCCTTGAGTTTAGAAGGTTGAGGTGTGACCTGATTCAGGTGTTTTAAAATAATAAAGGGATTTGATAGGGATTTGATAAAGGGGATATTTAGGAGCAAAATCAGGAGGCAGTTTTTTACACAAAGGAGAGTGGAAATCTGGAACTCCCTCCCCCAAAAGGCTGTGGATTGTGGTGGGACCCATTAAAGATTTTCAAGACTGAGGTGGATAGATGTTTTGTTAGGTCAGGGTATCAAGGGATATGGGGTAAAGGGCGGATAATTGGAGTTGAGTTACAGATAATGGCTGATCATGGCTAATAGAATGACGGAATAGGCTAGGAGGGGGGTTGAATGGCCTCCTCCTGTTCTTATTTATTCATATAAATACATAACACTCACGACAGGGTGTCGTTCCTCTCACTGCAAGTGGCTGTTGCAGCCAAGCGCACAACAGTGTTCAAAAGGGAATAGGATAAATATTGGAAGAAAAGTAGCACTAGAGGGTTTGGGCAAAGAACAGGCAATCGAAATAACTCTAATGGAGGAGCTTTCATTACCGCAGGTCCTGATGGGGTGAAGAGTGCTGTAATTGTTATTACTCTGTTAGTGTTTTGCTTTTAAGCAGCTTCTGCCAGTAGGGCAGTGTGTGTGGGGCTGGGAGTACAGCACGGAATAATAAAGGAACGAATTGAGTTAACATCGGTTGGCTAGATGCCACGGTCTCTTAATGCGATGAACAAAATTGATCTGCTCGGGATGGCACAGGAAGCTTTCAAAAGCAGATCTGTGAATAATCGAGGGCCAAATCACTGAGGAAGGTGGAGCTCAACACTGCAAAAGTGCAATCACTTAGCCTGTGAGTGATACCAGGATGGATACAGTGCTCTTAGCTTCCACAGAGCTTTGACAGCATGAAATATGAATCTCTTTTTTGTCTCTCCCTGTATTTAATTTGCTTTTCAATGCCTTCGTAGGAACATAGTGTTTCTGTGAAATCTGTCTTTCGCCCACAAAATATTCAGTCTTTATGGTATATTCTGAGAAGCGGCTTTGAGACGTCTCAGCGACGTGATCAGGCGCCGTATCAAATGCAAGAATTATTAAGGATTATTTATAGAAACAAGAGTAGGCCATTCAGCCCCTCGACCCTGTTCTTTAAGATCATGGCTGATCTGTACCTCAAAATACCTCATCACCTCGAGGGTGTGTTATTTTTCCCCCAAAGCTGTCTTTGCCCTCCTCCTCTGAGTGTAACTGGTTAAACAGTGCTGGTGCCCCACTTGTCAACAGTAAAACTCTCATCAGTCTGATCTGCATCAGTCGGTCATTCGATCCACGACTGTTTGAGAGTCACTGCTGTGTGCAATTATCTGCCCAAAAATATACAGTCAATTCACTTTACAGTATGTTCTGTGAAGCGCTTTGAGACGTCTCAATGATGTGATAAGGCGCTATTGCAATGGAAGGATTAATATTATTATTATTCCAGTTGTGTGCAGTGGATGAAATTCTCCCCTAACCCTAAGCCTTTACCTCCCGAGAGAGTTGACACGCAATCCCCCTCCAGTAGCGCTCAGTAACCCTAACCTTAACCCTAACCTGTTTACACCCTTGAAGTGATGGAGGCATTGGAAAAGCAAATTAAATACAGAGACACAGAAGAGGTTCATAGTTCACGTCCATTGGGAATCTGCAGAGGATTCGGATCCGAGCTAAGGGAGGAGATATTCAGTAGGAGGCATTGGAAATCTGTTTACCCTCACACATTGGAGAGCCTGTCCTCTAGTGTATAACATTGAAAGCTAATTAGCACCTTCCTGGCGCTAAGAAGAGGAATAACAAGATGGTTACAGAAGATGAGTCAGCAATGAGTTTTGGGCGGAGGGGGGGAGAGGGGGAATGAGGCAATAGCAATCTGGTTCAAAGAGCATATGTGATATTCAGACGCTGAAACACAAGACAAATCCCCACAGTGATTCTCAATCTTGCTGGTTATTTTCTCCCACAGTGAACCTCTGTGCAATGGGGCACTGTTTATTTATACGTGAGTACACACACACGCACACAGCTCAACTAATGAAATATTCAGAGCTTATCTCTGGGCCACCCAGAGATAAGAACAGATCATTGCTCTGCCACCCGCAATGATCTGTTCTTTCCACCTAAAGCCGTCCCCGGGACTGAGATCGAATTAGAATTAGAAGCGCAGAGCTCTCAAACAGGCAATGAGCGAGCGAGTGAGCGAGAGCTTCTCTCTCTCAGTGGGCACAATTGACTGCCGCGTTTCGCCCACAAAATACACAGTCAATCAACTTCACAGTATATTCAGGTGATTTCCCCTCCCGCTACTGCCGACTTTATGTCACGTACCATGTTTGCCAATTTTTCTCCTTTCACTCCCCTCTTCGCAGCGGTTCGGGATCTTTTTTTTTCCCTCCTACAGTAAATCCTGTTCCATTACGATTCTTCCAGCCCCACCCTCAATTGCAGCGTAGCGGTTAGAACCCTCGCCTCGCAAGCGAGCGGACCCGGGTTTGATTCCCAGGCGGGGCAAAACCTTAGGCAAGTTTCCTGACTCCGTGCACCTCTGTTTGCCCAGCAGTAAGTAGGAAGCCAGATGTTAGCCGATCGCTTTCCAGTGTAATAATCTCTCCCAGCGACAAAATATTGTCACTCAATCCACGACTGTTTGTGGGACGCAATTGGCTGCCACATTTGCCCACAAAACATACGGTCAATTCACTTTAAAGTATATTCTGTGAAGGGCTTTGAGACGACTCAACAATGTGACAAGGAGTTGTCTCAACTGAGACAAGATGACGAGGACAATTGTCGCCCCTCCCAACGCTGCCCGGGCTGAGATGAGCTAAGAGGGAGAGCAGGGAATCGGGTTAGAGTAGAGAGCTCCAGTGGGGGAGCGAGCCCCAGCACAGACATGACGGGGAGAGAGAGAGAGAGAGAGAGCAGGGAATGGGGTTAGAGTAGAGAGCTCCAGTGGGGGAGCGACCCCCGGCACAGACATCTAGGATGCAGTAGTCCAGAGTCGACAAACACGGAGGCTGTTTCGGTTGGAGGCGAGGACTGCAGCAGACGTGCAGTGAGTGGGTAACGCTTGACCTTGAGAGGATAATAATAATTGCAGTTATTTTCCTCTCGTCGGCCCTTGCTGATGCATAAAAGTGTTTTATAAAAAAAATAAAATCATTTTTTAAAATCTATTACGCCCAGTGCTACAACATCAGTGGGAGCAAGCTACGGGTGGGAGGATATAACGGGGGTGGCTCGAGAGCCAGGCTAGAAGCATTCAGGTGCTGTGCAGTAGACCACTCAGCCTGTCCTGGGTCAAACTGGAGGAGGCACTCAATTATACGATGCTTTCATTGAGGAAGTTGCACTGTGAATACGAATCGTCCTCGCTTTTGCCCTGCCCGGGAATCGAACTTGGGCCCTCTCGCTGGTGAGGCGAGCGGGCTAAGAATAATAATAATAATAATCTTTGCAAATCATGTAGCTCCTTATTACGTCTTCGAGACACGACAAGGCGGAAAAGTGGAATTCTGACCTATCAAACTCATTATCCTTTTGTTTGGGGCTGACGTGCTGAGGGTGCGCGTGGAGGAGGTGATGAATGGGGGAGAGTAGGACCTTTGGGATATTTTTGGCCCCCAGAACGACTGTGGAGTAGAAATTGGTTTGGGCCTGTGAAGGGGAGAGGTGGGGGTGGGGGATAAGGTGTGAAGGTGCTCGAGCCACAGCTGGCGGTAATAGAGGGCTGACGTTTGAGACCGGCCAGTGTTCTCGTCTGTTTGAGGATCGCACAGAATCTTATTCCTTAACGCTCGTATATCAAGACAGTAATGTCATTACACCTCTGACTCTGGAACTCAATCCAGCCGCTTTTCCAGGCTGATTGAATCAGGGACTGGACATGGACGTGTGTTGGATATCGTCTTCCTAAGATTCTTCTTTGCTGAGAAACGTGGGCTCACAATTCGTTTCGAGAGTAAAAAATAGATAGATCTCTGCTAGAAAATAATATCTCAGGATACAGTGTATAGTTTGGGACACGACGTGTCAAGCAGCTGCCAGGATGGTGGAAGGTGAACCAGATGGGCTTTAAGTCTTCTTTTGCCAGCAAATTCTTATGTTCTAACTAATGGTGCTTTTTCTCTCTCTCTCTCTCTCTCTTCCCCAGGGAAAGCCGTACATCTTTGACCGAGTATTTCCAACCAACACCACGCAGGATCAAGTCTACAATACCTGTGCCAAGCAGATTGTGCTAGGTAAACGCTCGTCTCGGTATTTGCCGTCAAGTGTGGTAGGAGCGTGGGAACAGCGGTAATAGTAATTATAGTAATAATCCTTGCGTTTGATCTCGCGCCTTATCACGTCACCGAGACATCGCAAAGCATTTCAGAGCTCTCTTTGCTGCAAAGTGGCAACGACAGGATTTGTTAAGTGAACGCAGCAGCCAATTTGCACACAGCAATATCCCACAATCAACCACGAAGTCAGTGGCCGATGTTTTTTTGTCCTGCCTTTTCTCCACCTTCCCTGACGCCCTTACGAGCCACGTTTATCTACTTCGTGGAATCGTACAGCACAGAAGGAGGCCATTCGACCCATCGTTTGAAAGAGCTACCCAACGAGTCCCACTCCCCCGCTCAGACACCATAGCCCTGCAAATGTTTCCTTTTCAAGTACCTATCCAATTCCCTATTGACACTATCAAATCCGCTTCCACCAGCCTTTCAGGCAGTGCATTCCAGATCGTAACGACTCTGTGGGTAACTTTTTTTCCCTTCTGAAGCAGTCCTACAGACTGTGCCCTAATGCGCGACTGTGTACTGTTCTGCTCCTGGTGTTCACCCGACTGACCGAGGTCTTCGCTGAGTTCTTTCTACTCCACAGATGTCCTGGGCGGCTACAATGGAACAATCTTTGCTTATGGACAGACCTCATCTGGCAAAACCCACACCATGGAGGTAAGTGTGGGGCAGCCCAGGGGGGTTGGGGGTAGGGGCAGGCTTCACAAGCAGTGCCTTTTTTTGTTCCAAGCCACGCACAGCCAGAGTCTACAAGCACTGTGTTAATCATAATAATGATAATTAATAATAATAATCCTTGTATTTGATATAGCGCCTTATCACATCTTCGAGACGTCTCAAAGCGCTTCACGGAATAGACTGTCAAGTGAATTGACTGTATGTTTTGTGGGCGAAACGTGGCAGCCAATTATTATTATTATTATCTGTGGGAATGTCGCCCCAGGACACCATGAGAAACTTCGCTTTTCCAACAGTGTCGCGAGATCTTTAGTATCCTCCTGAACAGGACACAGATGGGACCTCAGGTGTAACGTCTTATCCAAAACCTGGCGTCAGGTTTGAGCCCCAACTGCCCTTCTTCCACCACATCCAAGTCTCTGACCAAGCCCGCTTTCCTCCCCCTCCATCACATTGTCCGCCTCCGACCATAGCTGAGCCCCAACACAACCGAAACCCCTTAATTATGTTCCTAACATTACGTTCCTCTTTCAGGGCAAGCTGCACGACTCTCAGCTGATGGGAATCATCCCCCGGATCGCCAACGACATCTTCAGCCACATCTACTCGATGGACGAGAACCTGGAATTCCATATCAAGGTAGGCAATGGCTGGGAAAAGCAGCCGGATAATCCGGACAAAAACAATCGCACGGCCGGGCGGTTGAGGTTTTTGATGGATGTAGGCGTCAAAACAACAATAAGTTGCATTTACCCTCACGCAGAGCAGCGTCCCAGAGCACTTGACAGTGGCACGGTCGAATAGGAAGGTCTTCAGGTGTGACCTGAAGATGAGGAAGGAAGGGGGCAAGGCGGAGGATAGAGGGGGAGCGTTCCAGAGCTTCAGGGCGGAGAGGCTGAAAATGCAAGCTCCTCGTCTGTGCAAAGGCAGCTCCAAGTGCCTCAGACCAGAAAGCCAGAAGTTTCACATCCCAGTCAATGATCCCTGTTGGATCCTCTTAAGATTGGGAGGAAATTGGCGAGGATTCGAGTGGGGAAATGGACACGGGTTGAGGATAGGATGAGGATGGGCCCTGATAGTGGAGAGAGGGTTGGTTGGTGGGACACTACTGGTGGGATTAGCCCTCGCTCTATCGTTCTTTCTCCACTATCTGCTTTTTCTCTCCGTTTCCCTCCAGGTCTCCTACTTTGAAATCTATCTGGATAAGATCCGGGACCTGTTGGATGGTAGGTATTGTACACGGCCACAAGCCGCAGAAGCAACAACTTGCACTTGTGCAGCGCCTTTCACACAGGAGAGCACCTTAGAACGCTTCAACTGGAGGCGGGGTGCGAGACCCGTGTGTGGGGGGGAAGGGAGAGGTAGATAGTCCGAAGCGCAGTGGAAGAGCGAGGGAGGGAGCGAGGCGGAAGGATTTAGAGAGAGAGTTCAATAGTACAGTTGACCTCAGGCCATTTGTCCCGTTGTTAGTTCTTGAAGAGAGATCTCCGTGCAGTCCCACCTTAAGTCCTTTGCAAACTCGCACTGTGGTGTCTGTCTCTATTGGCATTTGATGCCCAGCGGAAGCTTCATCTGAGTTATTTTTCTGTGGCTCTTGGGGTACAGAGTTCAACAGGCTAAAGAAACTCACACTGAAACGCTCCTAGGCCTGAAATAATTAATAATAATAATAATAATAATAATCCTTGCATTTGATAGAGCGCTTTTCATGTCTTCTCGACGTCTCAAAGCTTCACAGAATGCGCTGTAAAGTGAATTGACCGCATATTTGTGGGCGAAACGCGGCAGCCAATTGCGCACAGCGGTGTCCCACAAACAGTCGTGGATTTAAAATGACCAATTTATTAGTGTTTTGTTTTTTTGGAGGGATTATTATGAGGCGTGTGGAGTAAGGAAACTTGCCCAAGGTTTTTAACCCAGGTCTCTTGCTTGCAAGGCGAGTTCCCCAGTCTCGGCCTGCGAAACCACCGTGTCTTGGATTTAAGACTTAACGCCCTTAAAATGCACAGGCAATTCACTTTACAGTATATTCTGTGAAGCGCTTTGAGACGTCTCGAAGACGTGATAATCAAATGGAAGGATTATTATATATTTATATTTAAGGAGGCCTGGAATTCTGTGGAATTCTTACACAGTGTTTAGTCTTTTCGTTTGAGAGACTTTTTTTTTATCTCTACCTTGAAGCGCTTCACGGAATATATCGTAAACTGGAGTGACTGTATTTTGTACTCACACTTTTTCTTTCCTAGTGGCCAAGACCAATCTGTCTGTGCACGAGGACAAGAACAGAGTTCCATTTGTAAAGGTGAGATGGGCTGAATGTAAATCTGGTTCCTGTTACATATGCACTGTCGGTCACTCAGACTTCACTCTGAGCCGGGGAGGAAGCAGGAGTGTGGACGCATAGTGTAGAGGGAGCTTTACTGTGTCTCTAACCCTGACCTGGGAGTGTGGACTGACGCACAGTGTAGAGGGAAGCTTTACTGTGTCTCTAACCTGTCACTGACACTGCAAGTGTTGGATGTTGCTCTGTTCTGTCCCTCAGTGAGTTTCTCTTGGTTTCAGGGCTGTACTGAGCGCTTTGTCTCGAGCCCGGAGGAGGTGATGGACGTCATCGACGAGGGAAAGTCAAACCGGCACGTGGCGGTCACAAGTACGTAGCCAGCAGTCGGCCAGTAGCTTCCCCCTTTGCACCACCACCAACAACAACTTGCATTTACGCAGCGCCCCCTCACGCAGGGTAGCAGTTCAGAGCGCTTGCCAGTGGCGGAGCATGACACAGAGCCGGGGGGAGTTGACAGTAGGCACAGTCGAAGAGGTACGTACGTCATCGGGTGTGAGGCGACGAGGCAGAGGGATCGAGGGAGAGGGTTCCACAGTTTACCTGCCGGGCCAGTGATGGGGCGCCTCTTTGTGCCCGAGCTGTGTGATTGGATAATTGACTGATTGCCGTTCCCCCCCCCCGCGCCCCCATTTTCCCGCTCAGATATGAATGAACACAGCTCCCGGAGTCACAGCATCTTCCTGATCAACATCAAGCAGGAGAACATGGAGACCGAGCAGAAACTGAGCGGGAAACTGTACCTGGTGGATCTGGCTGGAAGTGAGAAGGTACCTGGGGTTGGGGTGGGGGGGGTCAGAGCGCTCTCTCTCTCTCTCTCTCTCTCTCTCTCTCTCTCTCACCTACTCTCGTTCTCTCTCGTCAATGTCGTGAGTCGGAGCTGTCCCTCTCTCTCCCTCCCTCTCTCTCCCTCCCTCCCTCTCTCTCCCTCCCTCTCTCTTCCTCTCTCTCTCTCTCTACCTCTCTCTCTCTCTCTCTCATCAATGACCAGCAAACAACAACAACAAATTACATTTACGCAGCGCCTTTCACATCGGGAGGACATCCCAAGACCAGGGCTCAGGGGTCAGAGCTCTCTCTCTTTCTCTCTCTCTCTCTCTCTTTCTCTCTCTCTCTTTCTCATCTCATCAATCACCAGGGTTCAGATATGAAATGTCTCCACAACAACAAGAGCACATTACATTACATTTGCACAGGGCCTTTCAATGGTGAGGCGGGCAGGGCGTGGGGACATGGAGCAGGCCAGAGGCCACTGAGGGGAGGTGAGGGGGCTGACCCGCCATTGGTGTCACGACAGCTGTTGTCTCCTTCCCGACAAAGGTCAGCAAAACCGGGGCCGAAGGATCTGTACTGGATGAGGCCAAGAACATCAACAAGTCTCTGTCCTCTCTGGGGAACGTTATATCTGCCTTGGCCGAGGGCACAGTAAGTATTCTGCACTGCCTGGACGCTGGATCCTCGATCCACATTTCCCTCCGCCGCCCCAGTGTGGCGTCCCCCACCCACCCCCCCCCGTGCCTTCCTCCCCCACCCCCACCAGGCGACGGGTGCCGTGCAAGTTGAAACCCAGTTGTTAATCGATGGGCGGATCGCTTTCCGGGGGTAAAAATCACTTCGCCCCCCCAAAAAAAAATCCCTTCGTTAAAAATAAATCGCGGTCACTCAACCCAAAGCAGTTTGCGGGACGCTGCTGTGAGAAATTTGCTGCCGCGTTTCGCCCACTTGAAGTCACTCCACTTCGCAGTATATTCTGTGAAGGGCTTTGAGACGTCTCGATGATGTGCTGAGGCGCAGTATCAAATGCAAGGGTTATCGTTATTTTTATTATTGATCATTTCCACGGTCCTGTCTTTTCCAGAAAACCCACGTTCCCTATCGGGACAGCAAGATGACCCGGATTCTCCAGGATTCCCTGGGCGGCAACTGCAGGACGACCATCATCATCTGCTGCTCTCCCTCCAGCTACAACGATGCCGAGACCAAAACCACCCTCATGTTCGGGCAGAGGTACTTCACGTGTTTACATACACAGTAAAGCTCCCTCTACACTGCGCGTCCGTCCACACTCCCAGGTCAGGGTTTAGAGACACAATAAAGCTCCTCTACACTGTGCGTCCACACTCCCAGGTCAGGGTTAGAGACACAGTAAAGCTCCTCTACACTGTGTGTCCACACTCCCAGGTCAGGGTTATAGACACAGTAAAGCTCCTCTACACTGTGTGTCCACACTCCCAGGTCAGGGTTAGAGACACAGTAAAGCTCCCTCTACACTGTGAGTCCGAGTTACAGGACTGCTGCACTGTCCCAGTGGTGAAGAGTGGTCCTGGAGTGTATTAGGAGCAGCACTGGTATGTGTATATGGTAAATAAAAGCCCCGTTAAACTCAAGCCCACTTTGCCGTCTCCTCGAGCCGCTTGGCGGGTGGGAGGGTGTCTGCCAGGCCATTGAATCGCGGTGGGACGTCCCTGCCATTGACTGTGATCCTGGTTTCAGGGCGAAGACCATCAGGAATACGGCCTCTGTGAACCTGGAGCTGACGGCCGAGGAGTGGAAGAAGAAATACGAGAAGGAGAAAAGCAAGAACAAGACGCTGAAGGAGTCAATCCGCCGACTGGAGACCGAGCTCAACCGGTGGCGGAACGGTGAGCACGGGGAGGCATGGGGGAGGGGAGGGAGGGGAGAGCTGGGGGGACGGGGGGAGAAGGGGGGGGTGTGGGGGTGGGACGACGACGGTGCCTTGGTCTCGGGGAGGGAGGGGAAATAATAATAATAATCTGCATTTGATATAGCCCCTTATCACGTCTTCAAGACATCTCAAAGCGCTTCCCAGCATATGCTGTAAAGTGTAGTGACCGTGTATTTTGTACCTGGTGGACCCCGCCCTCCTCCCTCGCCCCGCCCGCCTCCCTCTCCCCTCGCTTTGAGACGTCTCGAAGATGTGATGAGGCTCTATATCAAATGCAAGGATTATTATTATCATTACGGTGGCAATGAGCCATCGAATGGGGTTGGACTCTATCCCTCACCGCTGACAGAGGATCCCTTTTGTGTGTGTGTGTGTTTGTGTGTGTGGGGGCCGGGGGGCGCGCAGGAGAGAATGTTCCGGAAACCGAGCAGCTGCCTGAGGAGAAGGAGGAGGTGCTGTGTGAGATCACACCCGTCACCGACAACGACTCGTCCATCGTCATCCACATCTCGGAGGAGGAACGGCAGAAATATGAGGAGGAGATCCGCAAACTCTACAAACAGCTGGATGATAAGGTGGGAGGGCAGCACCTGGCGGGGCCCCCTCTTGCCCCCCTCTCCCGGCTCGTTGGCATTGCCCGTCTCCCCGCGCCTCCTCACACAGACACCCCGCTCCCCCCCCCCGTCCTCACCTATTATTGGCCAATGGATCTGTCAGTCAAGCCAATGTCCCGCCTTAAAAGGTACTGACCAACCCTTTGCCCACCTCTTTTCCCTGCCCCCCCACTCCCTTGCCCCACCTCTTTTCCCTGAACCTCCTCCGTTGCCCCAACTCTCTTCCCTGTCCCGCCTCTTGCCTTACCCCTCTTGTCCACCTCTCTGCCCCGCCTTCTTGCCCTGCGCCCCCCAGCTGTGGGTGTGGGGGGACGGGTGGGCACTGCGGGGGTGGGTGCCGTTGGAGTGGGTGCTGTGGGTGGGGGTGGGTGCCGTGGGTCGGGGCTGTACTGACTCCCCTCTGTCCCCCAGGATGATGAGATTACCCAGCACAGCCAGATGGTGGAGAAGATGAAGGAGCAGATGATGGATCAGGACGAGGTGAGGCCCAACCACAACTCTGAGCAGTGAATCTATCCGAGGGCATTAATGGCAGTGCCCCCACACACGCTGCACTGACCAGGCGCCATCCCTGTGCCCTGCCCCTTCCTTCCCCATCTCCAGGTCACGCCCGAAGACCTTCCCCTGCGACCGTGCCTTCGGCTCAGCATCGTGTTCCGTCACTGTCAAGCGCTCCGGGACGCTATCCTGCTCGAGGGGCGCTATGTAAACACTTGTTGTTGTTGTTGTTAACGTGTGTTGGTCAGTTCCAAGCTCCCGATGTTCCACCTGTTGGGAATCTTGCAACGAACAACATCGCTCCACAGAGCAGCTTTTAATCCTTTGATTGGGATGGAATTGGAACATAGAAACAGGAGTAGGCCATTCAGCCCCTCGAGCCTGTTCCACCACTCTATTGGATCACGGCTGGTCTATATCTCAACTCCATTTCCCCCGATGCCCTGTCCCTAACAAAACATCTACCCCCCTCAGTCTTGAAAACTTCAACAGAATGATTTAGAGGCCCCTTTGACTGCACACCCATGAGTTTTACTCAGCCTTAACAACAACAACTTGCATTTATACAGAGCCCCTCATGCAACGAAGCATCACAGAGTGCTTCCCTGCGCTCTAACGCTCCCTCCCCCCCCACACCCCACAGACATCAGTTGGTGCTTGAGGGCTTTGTTATAATAATAATAATAATAATCCTCGCATTTGATACAGCGTCTTAACACGTCTTCGAGACGTCTCAAAGCGCTTCACTGTAATAGGTCTTTGCTCCTGCTTGTCTGGCAGCTGTTGGCTTCGACGCGGGGGGACAACGAGAAGGTGCAGGTGGAGCTGAGCCGCCTGGAGACGGAGAACGACTGCGCCAAGGACGAGGTGAAGGAGGTGCTGCAGGCCCTGGAGGAACTGGCCGTCAACTACGACCAGAAGTCGTTGGAGGTGGAAGCCATGGGCAAACAGAACAAGCTGCTGACCGACGAGCTGGCCAAAAAGATGGTACGTGGGCGGCCAGCCTGGACCTTGGTTACCAATACAATACAAAGTTAAATCTACACCGCGTCGTTCACGTCGAGAGGACATCCCAAGGCTCTGCACAATCAGGGATTTGGACCCGAGCTGGGGGGAAAGGGTGTGGGGGGCCGGGGTGGGAGGTTGGGATCAAGGAGTGGGGTGGAGGGGAGTGAGGGTGGGGGTAGGAGGGTGGCCAAATGAACGGTCGAAGAGGAGGCTTGAGGCGCACCGTGAAAGAGGCAAGGGAGAGGCGAGGCGAAGGGACTGTTGGGATGGAGTTCCAAGAGGGGTGGGGGCAGAGAGGCTGAAGGACCCATTTGCTGATGGCATGGCGGTGGGTGGGGGGTGGAGTGGGGGGGGGGGGGGAACACGGAGCAAGCCAGAGCCTGCTGAGAGGAGCGAGTGGACAGACAGTTCGATGTGGTGGTCTATATCAACTACAACTACGTTGTTCATATTATTATTAAAAATCTACCTTTGCATCTCACTTCCTCTCTCCCTCTCTCTCTCTCGCTCTCTCTTCCCCGCTCCCTCGCCCTCTTCGGGCCTCTCCCTCTCTCCCCGCCCCCAGGCGTCGCTCATCACCCTGGAGGCAGAGCTCCAGCACGCCCGGGAGTTGGGGAACCACCAGAAGAAGCGAGTGGCGGAGGTTCTCAACACTCTGCTCAAGGACTTGGGCGAATTCAACACCATCATCGGCAACAGCGACTGGAAAGTGGTGAGTGAGGGGGGGTGGGGGCCAGGCACGGCGGGTGGGGGGGGGGGCACGGGGCGGGGCGGGGCAAGGGGGCACGGGCGGGGCTTCTCATCCAATCAGCAACCAGAGACCAGCAACCGCAACACACGACAGATATCCCGAGGCGCGGGCCGGACAGTCAGGGGATTTGGGGGTTGGGATCAAGGAAGGGTGGGGGTTGTGGTGGGTGGGGGGGGGGTGGAGGGCAGGGAGGGTGGGGGGCAGGGAGGGTGACCGAAGGTGCGGTGGTCGAAGAGGCGGGTCTTGAGGCGGAGGGAGAGAGGCGAAGGGACTGTGGGATGCAGTTCCGAAGTGTGTGGGAAGAAGGACCAAAGGCCAGACTCACGTTCTCACTCTCTGTCTCTTTCCGCACTCGCTTCCTGTCTCACTTCCTCCCTCTTTCTTTCTCTCTCTCTCTCTCTCTCTCTCTCTCTCCCTCTCTCGCGCCCGGGCGCACACGAGCTCCCGCTCTCTATCTCATTCTCTCTCTCTCTCTCTCTCTCTCTCTGGAACTCTCTTCCCCAAAAGGCTGTGGATTATGGCTGGATCCATTCGCATCTTCATAGATGATAGGTATCTGTTGGGTCAGGGTGTCGAGGGACACGGGGGCAATTGGAGTTGAGGTACAGATCGGCTATAGAATGGCGGAACAGGCTTGAGGGGCTGAATGGCCTCCTCCTGTTTCTTTAGTTTCTCTGTCACTCGCTTGTTGTCTCACTTCCCCCCCTCTCCCTCCCTTCCTCCCCCTCTCTCTCTCTCTCTCTCTCTCTCTGCCCCCCCCCCCCCCCTCCACCCCAGCCCACCGAGTTCACGGGAGTGGTTGAGGAGGAGTTCACAGTTGCCCGCCTGTACATCAGTAAGATGAAGTCGGAGGTGAAGAGCATCATGAAGAGGTGCAAACAGCTGGAGAACAATCACAGCGACTGCAACCGGAAGATGGAAGAGAACAGCCGGGAGCTGACTGCCTGCCAACTCCTCATCTCGCAGGTAGGGGGCGCTGGCTGGCTGGCGGCAGCGGCCACGACGCAACACATTTGGACCTGACGGGGGTACCACAACAACAACAACAACAACAACGACGACGACAACAACAGCAGCTTGCATTTTGTACAGTGGCCTTCACATGGGGTAGCGTCCCAGAGCGCTTTCAGCCATTCACACCCCACGCACACAAACCGCCCCCCACACACACACACACCCACACACACACACACATACAGACAGACACACACACACACGCGCCCTAAATGCGCTCCCGCCCGCTCGGGAGGAGGAGGTGGGTGGGTGGGTGGGGGGGGATACAAATAGCCTCAAACCTCGCTGAGAGGGGGAGAATGTGTGTGTATTTAGTTGTCGGTGCCGGGTGGGATCGAGGCAGCGAATCATCAACAGTGGTTCTGCTGTTATTGTTAATATTATAATTATAATTATCATTCTTGTTATTACTGTGCCGAGCAGCATGAGACAAAGATCAGATCGCTGACCGAGTACATTCACAAGGTGGAGCTCAAGAAACGGCAGCTGGAGGAGTCCTACGACACACTTAACGAGGAAATGGCCAGACTACAGGCACAAGGTACCCCCAGACACCCCCCCCCCACCCCACACTGTGTGGCCCGTGTCCTCTCGCACAGCCACAACCACCGCAGCTTCTCAACGCTGACCCCCACCCGCCTCGGGACCCTTTAAACAAAGCCACATCAGCCGGTCGCTCGCTCGCTCGCTCACTCCACTCTGGGTCCCAGCCCCACACGCCAGGGTCCTTGAGCTCACCGTCCAGGCTGACCCTCCATCGCAGTGATGGGGGGAGGGACGCTGCATTATTGGACGCCGTCTTTTGGGGGAAACCTTAAACCGAAGTCCCGTCTGCGATTGTTCAGCCGTTAAAGACCCAGAAAATCTGTCAGAAAGGAGAAGGAAGTTTCTCTCTCCTGGTGACCTGGTTGACAATCCACACACACCTCACACGCACACGCACCTCACACGCACACGCACCTCACATGCACACACCCCTCACATGCACACGCACTTCACATACGCACACGCACTTCACGTACGCACACACACCTCACGTACACACGCACCTCACGCACACACGCACCTCACGCACACACGCACCTCACCCACCTCATGCACACACGCACCTCACGCACCTCACGCACACACGCACCTCACGCACACACGCACCTCACGCACACACGCACCTCACGCACACACGCACCTCACGCACATACGCACCTCACGCACACACACACACACGCACCTCACACCGGCTCATTCACTTCACAGCTGTGCCTGAACTGACCGTCTACAAAGCCCCTATCACTGTAGCCCTCAATTTGCTCCCAGGTGCTGGGAGACGTTTCACTGTTATAAATGTTGGAACAAACGGGGAATATTATATTCATTAATTAACTTATCCTATTAATTAGCAATTTGTGATTCCTCTGCCCCCTCCCCCCCCTCCTTCTTCCCCTCGAGTCGATCGATCTCCCACCTGCTTGACTCCCAAGTTGACTCTGGGACAGGTTACGTTTGGGTTTGTGGGTTAATGTGATTCAGAGAGTAAACTGGTGCCTGAGGCAGGAGAGAGGCTGAATAACGGGCAGTGGTAAAGGACACTGTGACTCTACTCTTCCCCAGAAACGGTCAATGAAGTGGCGGATAAGGAGAAGGAACAGACCGATGGCGAGGAGGTGAAGGTAGGGAGCTGCCAGTTGGGACATCCCGGGGTCTAAAAAACATATTGATAATAATTTGGTCACTCAATCCACGGCTGTTCGAGGGACGCTGCTGTGCGCGATTGGCTGCCACGTTTCGCCCACAAAATACACAGTCAATTCATTTTACAGCGTATCCTGTGAAGCGCTTTGAGACGTCTCAAAGACGTGATAGGGCGATGTGTCAAATACAAGGATTATTATTATATTATCATACTTCATGGGTAAACCATGTGCTTATTATGCATGCGCCGTACGGGCACTATGTTTGCTCTCGCCTCTGATCAATCTCCACGTCAGGACTTGGAATCACATCATCTTAGATGTTGCTCCAGTGCTTGGCTGGTGGTGGGGGGGTGGGGGGGTTGCATTGTCGGAGGTGCTGTCTTTCGGGTGAGACGTTAAACCTGGATCACGTCCGCCTGGATGTTATTTCTCTCTCTTGGCCCACAAAATACCCAGTCAATTCATCTTGCGTTGTATTGTGTGATGAAGCGCTTTGAGCGGTTTAAATGACGTGACAAGGTGTGATAGCAAATGCAAGGATTATTATTATTACTATTATTATTGTCACAGAAAGTCTTGGAGCAGCAGATGGAAACACATCGGGAAAACCATCAGAAGCAACTGGCCATCCTCCGCGACGAGATTGCGGAGAAGCAGAATATTATTGATGAGCTGAAGGAGTAGGTTCATCTTGTTGCTGGTAACCCTTGCCTTTCCCCCCCTCCCCCACATCTCGCCCCCCCACCCCCACCCCACCCGCTGCCGGAGTAGGGAATTTAAGTGGGGGAAGCAAGCACCGACACGGACACAATGGGGAGAGAGAGCGAGAGAGAGAGCAGGGAATGGGGTTAGAGAGCTCCAGTGAGGGAGTAGGAACCATAATATACACGATGGGAAAAGAGAGAAGGAACAGGAGTAGGCCATTCAGCCACTCCAGCCTGTTCCACCATTCTGTTAGATCATGACTGATCTGTACCTCAACTCCAATTACCCTCCTTTGCCCCATATCCCTCAATACCCCAACCTGATAAAGAATGGGATTGGAGGAGAGAGCTGCAATGGGGGAGGAGGTGCCACTATTGACAATACGACCATGGTGGGTGGCGGGGGGGTGGGGGGGGTGGTGTGGGGTGGGAGAGCAGGGAGCGGGGATGGAGTGGAGAGCTCCAGTGCAGAGACGGATGACAATAGCCGACAGTGTTGAGTTAAGTACGTTGTGTTTGCAGCTTGAACCTGAAGCTGCAGCTGAAGCTGGACAGACTGCGGGTGGATTACGACAAGTTGAAAAGCGAGCAGCGTGAGAAAAGCAAGAAACTTCAGGAGCTTACGTGAGTCTCCAAACCTCCTCTCGCAACACACTCCAGAGCCCATCCTGTTCCCCCCCCCCACCCCACCCTCAGCTCCGCTACAAGCCAAAGCCCTAACTAACTAACTAACTAACTAACTAACTAACGGGGAAGGTTGTCCCAGCTGGACAAGCAGCGGGAAAGCTTGGCCAGACAGCGCTCTCTCTCAATGGCCAAGCTATGTGTGGGTTTAGCTGGTTAGACTCCAGCAGTTACCCCAACGCACACTCTCGGTTCTCCTATCCTCTCCCAACCCCCCCCACCCCAACCTTGGCTCTCGCCAACCTGCGCCCAATACTCTCCGGAATTAGGTAAGCAGGGGCCGTCCCTCCACAGGGAGAGAGAGAGTGAGAGAGAGAGAGAGCATTCTATTCCAACAATTTATCTCTGGGGTTTCCGTGTGTAGGTGGGAGGCGGGGAATTCTCAGTTGGGTTTGGATGCTCTTAAGCAACGGTGATGGGTTTCCGCGTGTGTCGGACACCCGGTTGACCCCCCCCCCCCCCAAAAAGGAAGGTTGTGGGTTCAAGTTGCCCCCATGTTGGGTGTTATATGAAACGCAAGGACGACTATTATTTATTGTGGTTGATGTTATTGCTTCGGTGTGATGGTGAGCCAGCCTCACTCACGCTCGATTCTTTCCTCAGATTTCTCCATGAAAAGCACGAGCAATCCAAACAGGATCTTAAAGGACTTGAAGAGACTGTCGTAAGTAGCCGTCAGAGGGTTGTGGGTGGGTGGGGGGAGGTGGGGGTCTGTGCAAGGGCTACGGTTGAGGTGTACTAGATCAGGACTCTGGGGGGGGGAGGGATGGGGGGTGGAGCTGGCGAGTGAGCCCCTTGGGGAGGAAGGATGGCCGGGGGGTGGGGAGAGATGGAAACTTGGTCTATCAGAAAGTTGGGGGTTTGACCCCCGCGCTTGGCGAACGGTGGAATTCCCGGTCACGAGCCGCGGTTGAAGCAGAGGCCTCTTTTAGACACGGCCGAAGACCTTCCTCTTCGACAGTGCTCACCGTCGCCTACTCTCTCCCCCCCCCCCCCAACCGCTGACACTGACCAGCGTTCAGAGACGCTGCCTCGTGTGAAGGGCACTGTGTAAATAAACACAAGTTGTTGTTGTTGGCGTTTTCTCTCCACCTTTGATTCCTTTCCCAGGCGAGAGAACTCCAGACTCTTCACAACCTGCGGAAACTTTTTGTTCAAGACCTTACAACCCGGGTCAAAAAAGTGAGTGGGATATGGGCGAAAATTTGGGGGCGGTTTATCTGGGAGGGGGAGGGTGGGTGGGGGGGGGTGGGAGGGCTTAGGCAAGTTTCCTTACTCCACATGCACACACACGCGCACACACACGCGCACACACGCCTCTGTTTACCCACCGGTAAGTTGGATCCCGGTTGTTAGTCGATTGGCGGATCACTTTCCTGGGATAGCAAACCCTACAATTAAAAAAAAAATTAAAAATCCAGAACTGTTTGTGGGTCACTTGCTTTTCGCCCACAAAACGCACAGCCAATCCACGTCACAATATGTCCTATGAAGCGCTTTGAGACGTCTCAACGATGTGATAAGGCACTGGATGAAAGGCGAGGATTATTATTATTATTATTAAGGATGGGGGACTGTGGTGAGGGTGAGGGAGGACAAGACAGAAGATCATGACTGATGTCTTCGAGTAGTTGCTTTGAGTCATTGAATCCAACATTGGGAAAGGTGAGAGAAGGGCGTGAATGGGGGTCTCGGACACTCAGTGCTTCAGGGACCTGGGTTTTCTGACCGCTTGGTTTGATAACAACAACAACAAGATTGCATTTATAGATCTGCTCGCTCTCTCCTCAGAGTTCTGAACTGGAGCCAGATGACAGTGGGGGGAGCATATCCCAGAAGCAGAAGATATCCTTTCTTGAGAACAACTTGGATCAACTTACAAAGGTTCACAAACAGGTAAGTCTCTCTCTTCTCTTCCCCCACCCCCCCCCCCTCCCCCCGCTCCCGCTCCCCCTCCCTCCCTTACCCTTCTCCACTCGCCCCCACAGTCCAATCTTCTGGCTTTGACTGAGGCCCATTTTCCCCCCCACCTCCTCCCTTGATGCCTTTGCTGTCTCTATCGCCCCCTCCTCTTTCTCCCCTGCCCCCCCCCCACCCCCACCCCAACCCCTGCCCCCCACTTCCACCGTTAGGAGTCTTTATCTTGACCAGGACATCGAGTTGTGTTTGTCCGTCCGTTCACATGTCCGTCCCTTCGTCTTGCTTGTGCCTCTGAAGTGACACGCACACCCCTTCTTGTCCATAAGTCCATATCCCAAAAGATTTCTAAACCCTTGGATCTCCTCCACCTCGCCCAGAGTTTTCCGGAAGTTATTATTATCATTATTATTATTTTTGGGGGTTTAAAAAATCCCGTGCGGTTAAGCCCGGAATTAATTTTGACCGTTTTTTTTTCCCCTTGACGATGTTTGAACTGTGTTCAATAGGCCTCACCCAAACGACAGACTGAAAGGGGCACACTTGAACCAAGTGTGTCTATTGGTGCAAGGTTTAAAGCCCTGACTTGGCCTTCAGGGGTGGGGGTGAGGGGTGTAGGGGGGGGGGAATGTGGGGGGAGAAAGTGGGGAGAGACTATTTAAATTCCTACCCCACCTATTCCAAATAAAATTGGTCACTCGCTCCATTCGTGGCTGTTTGTGGGACATTGCTGCCGTGTGTAATTTGGCTGCCGCATTTCTCCCCGCAAGATACACGCAGACTTTTAGAGAAAGATCTTTGCGAGGCGCTTTGGAGATGTCTCACTGACCCGATGAGGCGCTGTATGAAACGCGAGGGGCTATTGTCACCGTGAAACACCGGGCGGGTGTGTTTTAGGTGATGAGGTGCGGTCCCGGACGTTAAGGAGGGGTTTGCTCTCGAGGATGAGCGAGGCTGAGAGGCTGCAAACGCTCACCCGTTCGGGGCACCGCACCGTAGGAAGGATGTCAGAGGCCTCGGCGAGGGCGCAGAGGAGATCTACCAGAGTGACACCAGGGATTAGGGGCTTCAGTTACGTGGTGAGACTAGAGAAGATGGGATTATCCTCCCTGGAGCAGAGGAGGTTGAGGGGAGCTTTAACGGAGGACTTTTCAAGGTGTTTTGGTAGAGTAAATAGGGAGTGAGCGTTTCCACTGGCAGGTGGGTCGGTAACCAGAGGGCATTGATTTAAGATAATTGGCAAAAGAACCAGAGGGGCGATGAGGAGAATTATTTTACGGAGATGGTTATGACCTGCGGAGTGTGTGTAGTGCGCGTGTGTTGTGTGTGTGCAGTGTAGTGTGTGTGTGTGTGGAGTGTGTGTGTCGTGTGTGTGTGTTGTGTGTGTGCAGTGTAGTGTGTGTGTAGAGTGTGTGTGTGTAGGGTGTGTGTGTGTAGTGTGTGTGTAGGGTGTGTGTAGGGTGTGGTATGTGTAGGGTGTGTGTGGTGTGTGTAGTGTGTGTGTAGGGTGTGTATGCGGTGTGTGTGTGTATGTGGTGTGTGTGTATGTGGTGTGTGTGTGTATGTGGTGTGTGTGTGTGGTGTGTGTATGTGGTGTGTGTGTGTATGCGGTGTGTGTGTGGTGTGTGTGTGTGGTGTGTGTGGTGTGTGTGCGTGTGGTGTGTGTGGTGTGTGTGTGGTGTGTGGTGTGTGTGTGTGTGGTGTGTGTGTATGTGTGTGGTGTGTGTGTGGTGTGTGTGTGTGGTGTGTGTGTGTGTGGTGTGTGTGTGTGGTGTGTGTGTGGTGTGTGTGTGTGTGTGGTGTGTGTGTGTGTGTGTGTGGTGTGTGGTGTGTGTGTGTGGTGTGTGTATGTGGTGTGTGTGAGTGGTGTGTGTGGTGTATGTGGTGTGTGTGTGTGTGGTGTGTGTGTGTGGTGTGTGTGTGGTGTGTGTGTGTATGTGGTGTGTGTGTGTGTATGTGGTGTGTGTGTGTGGTGTGTGTGTATGTGGTGTGTGGTGTGTGTGTGGTGTGTGTGTGTGTGTGGTGTGTGTGTATGTGGTGTGTGTGTGGTGTGTGTGTGGTGTGTGTGTGTGTGGCGTGTGTGTGGTGTGTGTGTGGTGTGTGTGTATGTGGCGTGTGTGTGGTGTGTGTGTGTGTGGTGTGTGTGTATGTGGTGTGTGTGTGTGTGGTGTGTGTGTGTGTGGTGTGTGTGTGGTGTGTGTGTGTGTGGTGTGTGTGTGTGTGGTGTGTGTGGTGTGTGTGTGTGTGTGTGTGGTGTGTGTGTGTGTGTGTGGTGTGTGTGTGTGTGGTGTGTGTGGTGTGTGTGTGTGTGTGGTGTGTGTGTGTATGTGGTGTGTGTGTGTGTGTGGTGTGTGTGTGTGTGTGTGGTGTGTGTGTGTGTGTGTGTGTGTGTGTGTGTGTGTGTGTGTGTGGTGTGTGTGTGTGTGGTGTGTGTGTGTGGTGTGTGTGTGTGGTGTGTGTGTGTGTGTGGTGTGTGTGTGTGTGGTGTGTGTGGTGTGTGTGTGTGGTGTGTGTGTGCGGTGTGTGTGTGTGTGGTGTGTGTGTGTGGTGTGTGTGTATGTGGTGTGTGGTGTGTGTGTGTGTGGTGTGTGTGTGGTGTGTGTGTGTGGTGTGTGTGTATGTGTGTGTGGTGTGTGTGTGTGTGGTGTGTGTGTGGTGTGTGTGTGTGGTGTGTGTGTGTGTGTGTGGTGTGTGTGGTGTGTGTGGTGTGTGTGTGTGGTGTGTGTGGTGTGTGTGTGTGTTGTGGTGTGTGTTCGCATCTCAGAATGAACGGAACACCTTATTGTGAAAATTGATTTGGATTTTGAAATGATTTATTTTCACCCCCCACCGCCCCAAAAAATGTGGTCACTCAATCCATGACCGTTTGTGGGGCACTGCTGTGCGCCATTGACTGCCGCGTTTGACCGCCCCCCACCGAAGGGCCCCCCCCCCCCCCAAAAAAAAAATACAGTCACTACACTTTAAAATATATCCTGCGAGGCGTTTTGAGACGTCTGAATGCCGTGATAAGGCGCTGCATCAATTGCGAGGGTTATTATTATTATTATTATTATTTGGAAAGTATAAAAGCCTGAGGTCAGTTTGGTGGTGGGTCTCCCAGTGTATCGTAACTCCGGCCAAACCAAACACAGTCACCGTGGATTTTGGGTGTGGCCTATATCCTGTGTCCTCTAACCCACTGCTCCCTCATCCTCTTCTTTTCTTTCGTTCTATCCTTCGTTTATCCTTCTGCCAACCTGCCGCCAGGTGATGCTGTGGCATAACAAGGTACCTGCTCCCTTGTTCTGCTTGTTCTTTCTCTTATACCATCTCCCCCCCTTTCCCCTTTCCCCCCCCCCTCCGACCCCCTCCATCACTCCCTCTCGCACACACCTGCGCACCCACCCACCCACCCACTCGCTCGTTCATCGTTGTGTTCCAGACTGTAGCTGATCTCAGTTTCCATCTCATTGTCTCTCCTTTCATTTCCGATCTTCTCCCCCCTCCTCCACCCCGGGGTTAAACTCACCATAAAAGTAATGGGGGTGGTGTGGGGGAGGAGAGAGGGATAGGCAGAGGGAGGGCGAGGAGGGAAGGGGGGTGGAGAGAGAGAGAGAGAGAGAGAGAGTCGCTCTGGCATTGACACACACACTCGCTCGCGCCTCATTGTCGGAGGTGCCATCTCTGGGATAAGACGTCACCCAACATCCCGGTTCATACTGACCTCTTAGATCCCACCCCACTCGCTATCGGGAAGGAGAAGGGAGTTCCTCTCCCGACCTCTCCTGAGCATCTCTCCCCTCACTCCCCCCCTTCCACCCTCAACCCCCACCCCCACCCCACCTTCCCAGGATTAATAAGGTTGTTCACCTCAGGGCTGTCTGTGGAGCAGGTTCATCGTAACAACAGCCGTGCCCTATAATGTCAGAATATCTCGGAGGATGTCACCGCTAATTGTGGGCCAATGCGATGGCCGATTCACACGCAGCAAGGCCCCACGCAACAGCCGGGCGATGTTCATCGGTGGGGGTGGGGGCGGTTGGGGGGGGCAGCCCGGATAAGGAGAGAGAAATTCCCTTCCCTAATAACCGGCGCTATATCAAGCGCAAGGATTATTATTACTATTATTATTACCATTATTGGTTGAGGGGGAGGGAGAGAGGAGAGGAGGTGGAGGGAGGGGCTTTATCTTACCTGCATCACAACACTTTCCATTCCCTCGCGCTTGTGGCTATGATATCGTGTGTTTGATGAATTCCCCACCATCCCCCCCCCCCCCCCACCCCCCACCATCCTTTCCCCCTCTGCTTCCCTCAAGCTTGACACTCTGGCCTGACACCCACCCCAGTCTCCGCTTGCCGGGCTGTCCAAATTCACCGTCCAAATTGTTTGGAGAATCCTGTGAAGTGCTTTGAGGCGTCTTGACAACGTCTTAACGGCTTGATAAGGCACTGCATCAAATGCCGGTATTATTATTATTATTATTAAGAACATGACAGAACTAACTAACTAACTAACTAACTAACTAACTAACCAGGGGACATGGATTTAAGATAATTGGCAAAAGAACCAGAGGGGAGACGAAGAGACCTTTTTTTTTTTACACACACGCGGAGAGTGGTTAAGGTCTGGAACCCACGGCTGTTGGAAACGGACTCGATAACAACTTTCAAACGAGGGAACCGGACGGGGAACTCGAAGAGGGTGTGGGGAAAGAGCGGGGGGGGGGCAGCGGGACCGATTGGGCGGCTCTTCCGAAGAGCCGGCGCAGGCGCGATGGGCCGAATGGCCTCCTTGTGCGCTGTAAAACTCTAGGAGTCTTTGATCTGCTGAGCGCAATGGGCTTCCGGGTTTCGCCCACCAAACACGCAGCCGATTCACTTCGCAGCGTAACCTGCGAAGCGTTCTGGGACGTCTCAAGTAAGATTCAGTGATTCTACAACTGCGGCAATTTTCTAAATCCAGTCTTAATTCGGAAGCCGTTCGATTTTGCTTTTCCCCGGCAGTCCACGACCTGCGTCTAAGTGGAAACTGGGTGGAGTTTCAAGGGTCCGATCAGAGGGAGATTGTAATCTCTCTCTCTCTTTCTCTCTCTCTCTCTCTCTCTGGTGCATGTGTATGTTTGTGCACGTGTGTGCGCGTGTGTATGTGTATGTGCGTGTGTAATGAAACCTGCCTGATTCCTGCTTGCAATGCAATTTTTTTTTTTTTTGAAAAATCCTCTTTTTTTGCCTCGGCTTCTGTCTGTTGTGATATTATTAACAAGTATTACTTGCCACCCCCCCCCCCCCCACTCCCCCACCTCTCAACCCCCCCAAAAAAAAATTCCAAATAATTTTTCGTTGGTTTTTTTTTGCTCAGACAAAGATTTTTTTTCGGTGAGGCGCGGAGAGAGAATCAATTTCTTTTCTCTCTCACACCCGCTCTCTCTTGTTCTTCGCCCCCCCCACCCACCGCCACCCACCTCCCCCCCCACCCCCTCCCCCACACACACACACACACACACCCTTCCTTCCCCAGTTCCCAATGGCGGACTTGGTAAAGGCAAACCTTCTCCCTCCCCAATGCAGAACTATTTAATCTCACAGCCACAACAAGGTCAACACGCAGACACACACATACACACACACGCAGACACAGACAGACCCACGCACACAGGCGCAGACACACACACACACACACACACACTCACGGACAGAAACACACACTCACAGACACGCGCACGCACACCTACCTGCAAAGAGCCAGTGAATCAGGAGGCTGATTGGAACCTCTGACCCTCACATCTGTCTGCGATCCCTCTCTCCGCACAGCAGTGCATATCGTTGTGAGTGGGATTGACAACGTGAACCAAAATGACTAGTTTTGGACGCTGAAGGACACAGGTTTAGAGCTCTCGAGTCCTGTAGCGTAACTATGCCTCGCGAGAGAGAGAGGACTCTTGCTGGATTCCCGGGCGGGGGGGCTGAACCTTAGGCAAGGTTCCTTACTCCGCTCGCCTGGGTTTATTTAGAAGTAAATAGGAACCCGGTTTTTAGTCGTTCGACAGATCGTGGGACGCTGCTGTGCGCAATTGGCTGCCATGTTTTGCCAACAAAATACGCAGTCAAATCGCTTTGCAGCGTATCCTGTGAAGCACTTTGAGACGTATGAACGACATGAGAAGGCGCCGTATCAAATGCAAAGATTATAATTATTATTAAGAGTCGCAACGAGACATTTTTAGCACAGGCACGAGTTTTCCTTTGCCCAGAAGGGAACAGGGTTGCGAGGGAGGGTGATCGAGGCCAGGACGCTGGGGTTTGTGATGGGAGGACGGTGTATTCAACGTAAGGATTCTATAATAATTCTATATGATCAATTCTCCCTGTACAGTACTTGGTGGAGAAAGCCACGCAACACAACGACTGCCAGCAGACGGTGACGAGGCACCTTATTTAGCTCACTGTAAAAAGTTCCTAGAGGGGTACCAGACAAAGCTGCTCCGTCAGCCCACCTTACCCACAGCCACGCGCAAATCCCGACCCCATCGGGCATCAGCCCCGGCCCACTCCATCTCCAGGGAGACTTGAGCGGAACAAGTGTTCTCCGGTCCCCAACAGGTAGTGCCGGCAATCTGCAGCACAGGAGGCCACACTGGATCATCCAAGACTCCCGGAATATTTCTCATCCTAGAATCTTGCAGCACGAAGGAGGCCATTCGGCCCATCGTGCCTGTGACGGCTCTCTGAAAGAGCTACCAACTTGTCCCACTTCCCTCCCCGCTCTTACCTCGTGGCCCCGCACATATTGCCTGCTTAAGTACCTGTCCAATTCCCTTTTGAAAGTTTCAATGATAAATACGTATTCATATTTTTTAATTTGTAGTAATAATAATAAATGCGTGGCCCACAAAACGCACAGTCACTACACTTTACAGTGTATCCTGTGAAGCGCTTTGGGACGTCTCGACGACGCGAAAAGGCGGCGCTGTGTCAAATGCCAGGATTATTATTATTAATATTAGTATTTACCGGCCCACATCTCTCCTCTCCCCAGACACCATCGTACTGGTGAGCCCCCAACGGTATCGTCCGCAGTCTTATCTGAGAATAAGATTCTAACGCTATAAACTGTAGGGACAAAGCAAAGTTTTTATTACGTCTCAGGAGCCGGGACGGGGTAAAACATAAACCCGTCCTCGCCCTGCTTAAATAATCATTCAGCGCGGAGGCAGAACAAATCTGTGGAAACACTGCGTCGGCGAGCGCGGAGTGAACTTAGGGAAACAGACTCCCGGGGGAGACGAGACCGCGGAGGCGGAAAATGTTTCACGAAGAGGTTAAGACAGATTTCTGCGAGAAAATAATATCTAATATCATTATATAATGATACACACTATGCGGTGTATGGTTTGGGACACGCCATGTCGAGCGACTGCCCGGATGGCGGAAGGCGAACTAGGTTTATTATTATTATTATTATTATTATTAGGTGGACCTCGGTCTTCTTCTGCCGGCAAATTCTGATGCTCGTATCTAGTCGGTGCCACTCTTCACACTCCGCACCAGCCTCCTACTCCCCCTCTCCTGTGCCCCTCTTTTCCCTTCTCCCTTCTCGTGAAGGCTGACGCCGAATCCCTACACGAACCGTTGAGCCGCCTCTCTCCCTGTCTTTAAATAGCCGCCTTTTTTTTAAAAAGAAAACCCACCTTAAAAGTGCGTCACGAAAACACCCCTCGAAGTCTCCTTCCTCTCTCTCTCTCTCTCTCTCTCTCTCCTGCCCTGTTCTCTCTGCCAGTCACTTCCGAGACGTCTGCCCTCCCTCTCCGAACGCGGCAAAGGATGATTTAAGCGCCAGTCGTCGTCGTCGTGGCGTAACCTTTCGAACCTCGTCTCTCTTTTTTCCCCCCTTTTCCCCCACCTACCCCCACCCTCCCCCCCACAGCTGGTTCGTGACAATGCAGATCTGCGTTGTGAGCTTCCTAAGCTGGAGAAGCGACTTCGGGCTACGGCTGAGAGAGTCAAGGCCCTGGAAGGTGCACTGAAGGAGGCCAAGGAAGGAGCCATGAAGGATCGCAGGCGATACCAGCAGGAGGTCGAACGCATCAAAGAGGTTGTCCAACGAGGCTCCAAGGGAGGCCCCCGGCGCTCGCACACCGCGCAGATCGGTAGGTTCAGCCCCTCGCCCGGAGCCCAGCTCCGCTGGCAATTGCGCACGCCGGCGTCCCCCCCGCGAACAGCAGCGTCCCCCCCCCCCCCCCCGCGAACAGCAGCGTCCCCCCCCCCCTCCGCGAACAGCAACATCCACCCCGCGAACAGCAGCGTCCCCCCCGCGAACAGCAACGTCCCCCCCGCGAACAGCAGCGTCCCCCCCAAAACAGCAGTGTCCCCTCCCACCCCACAAACAGCAGCGTTCCCCCCCCCTCACAAATAGAAGCGTTCCCCCCCCCCACCCCCGCAAACAGCAGCGCTGGAGTTCCCAAGGGTCCGTGGTGGGGTGGTGGGGGGGGGGGTGGTAGTTGGCAGAGAGGCTGAAGTCCCGACAGCCCCTGGTGGAGCGGGCACGGCGGGGGTGACACCGAGCAGGGAGAGCGCGGGCAGGTTGGTTTGGTGTCAACGGGTCACACGGGATAATAATAATAATAATAATCCTTGCATTTGATATAGCGCTTTTATTGGAGAACAGTTTCGATCTGAAACTTGATCCTAAGATGTCCTGCCTCTTGGTGCCCAGCAGCTCCCTCCCTCCCTCGCCCTCCCTCCCTCCCTCGCCCTCCATCCCTCCCTCCCTCCCTCCCTGTCCCTCCCTCCCCGCCGCCCCCTCGCACCCCGGGCACAGTGTGAACTCACCGAACCGGTTCTACGCTACGATTAAGACACGCTCACATTCCTGTCCGTCGATCCTGAAGAGCTGCCCGAGGCAGAGCAGAGCAGAGCAGAGGCTCGGCAAAGTCTCTTGAATCATTCAAAGTGTGGGGTGGGGGGGGGTGGGGGGTGGAAAAAAAACTTAGCCAAACGCTGCCCAAGTCCCGGGCCAATTTTCCGTCACGTTATCGCGTACGGATTGGCCGCCCGGATGCACGGTCACTACGCTTTCCCTACACTCTCTTCGACCTGTGCCTACAGTCCACCACCCCCACCCCCCCCCCCCCCAGCTCAGGGTCGTGCTCCGCCATTGTCGAGCGACTGTAAATGCAAATTGTTGTTGGGTGTCGTTGATGTGACCTTGTTGTTGTTGTTGTTGTTGTTGAACGGACATTTTGTTGCGTGCTGTTTTACAGCCAAACCCATCCGGCCCGGGCACTACCCCGCCTCCTCCCCCACCAACCTGAACGGCACCCGTCAGGGCGAGGGCTACAGCAACAGCTTGTACCAGACCTGCCACCCGCTCATTGTGCTCAGCGCCTCCGACTCTGCCAAGGACAAGTGGTGAGGACACGGCGTGAGGGGAGAGAGAGGCAGAGGAGAGAGAGAGAGAGCGAGAGAGACGGGGTAGAGGATGGGGGGGAGAGAGAGACGGAGACGGGGTAGAGGAGGGGAGTGAGAGAGACAGAGACGGGGTAGAGGATGGGGGGAGAGAGAGAGAGACGGAGACGGGGTAGAGGATGGGAGAGAGAGAGACGGAGACGGGGTAGAGGATGGGAGAGAGAGAGAGAGACGGAGACAGGGGGTAGAGGATGGGGGGAGAGAGAGAGAGACGGAGATGGGGTAGAGGAGGGGAGAGAGAGAGACGGAGACGGGGTAGAGGAGGGGAGAGAGAGAGACGGAGAAGGGGGGGTAGAGGACGGAGAGAGAGAGAGAGATGGAGACAGGGGGTAGAGGAGGGGGAAGAGAGAGAAAGAGAGAGAGAAAGACAGACGGTGGAGGTACAAAGAGAGATGGGGAAGACGGAGAGAGCGAGAGTGATGGAGACGAGGGGGAGAAAGAGAGAGAGAGAGACAGATAAGAAGGGGCAGAGGGAGTGGGGGAGAGATGCTGAATGAGTAAAAGAAAGAGAAGGAATAACTTGCACTCTGTTAGATTGGAGAGCGTGATGTGCGGAGAGTATCTGTGTGTGTCTCACTCACTCTGCGTGTGTCTCACTCACTGTGTGCGTGTGTCTCACTGTGTGCGTGTGTCTCACTGTGTGTGTGAGTCTCACTGTGTGTGTGTGTGTGTGTCTCACTCACTGTGTGTGTGTGTCTCACTCACTGTGTGTGTATGTGTGTGTGTGACACTGTGTGTGTGTCTCACTGTGTGCGTGAGTCTCACTCACTGTGTGTGTGTGTGTCTCGCTCACTGTGTGTGTATGTCACACTGTGTGTGTCTGTCTCACTCACTGTGTGTGTATGTCACACTGTGTGTGTCTGTCTCACTCACTGTGTGTGTGTGTCTCACTGTGTGTGTGTGTGTCTCACTGTGTGTGTGTGTCACACTGTGTGTGTCTCTCACACTGTGTGTCTCTCTCACTGTGTGTGTGGGTGTCTCTCTCTGTCACTGGGTGTACGTCTTTCTCTCGTTGTGTGTATGTGTGTGTGTATGTCTCTCTCTCTCACTGTGTATGTCTCTCTCTCTCACTGTGTGTGTCTCTCTGTCTCTCACTGTGTGTGTGTGTGTGTGTCTCTCTCTCACGCTGTGTGTCTCTCAGCTCTCTGAGTGGCGGCTGCTCTAATGGGACGCTGTCGTCAGTGGAAAGCCTGGACTCCCTCCAGAAGCAAAACATCGCCAATGGTGAGAAAACACCCATCCTCCCTCCCTCCCTCACTCCCCCCTCCCTCCCTCCCTCACTCCCCCCCCCCCCTCCCTCCCTCCCTCCGTTGTTCGACAACTGGCAGATTGTTTTCCAGGGGGTAAAAATCCCTCAATAAAAATTGGTCGCTCAATCCACGGCTGTTTGGGTGGGGGAACGCCGCTGTGCGCAATGGGCTGCCGAGTTTCGCCCCCAAAGTGCGCAGTCGCTACCCTTCACGGTATATCCTGTGAAGCGCTTTGAGACGTCACAACAACGTGATAAGGCGCTGTATCAAATGCAGGGATTATTACTACGTTATAATAATCCCAGAATATCGTCTTTCCACACTAAATCTGTTCTTTTTTTCTCTCTCTCCCTCTCTCTCTCCCCGCCCCCCCCCAACCCCCGTCCTTTTTATGCTGACAACCTGCTGTCTCGCTTTTGCCCCCAGGCAACGAGACAGACATCAATGACAACAGGTGAGCGACATTGTTCGGTCGCTTAGATGTCCAGCCGTGGCTCGGTCCCTCGCCTCGGAGTCGGGGAGGCGTGGGCTTGCGCCCCGCACCGTGCGGGGGATGTCGAGCTCGCGTTCCTTCCCAGTGCTGGGGCAGAAGTAGGGGAGGGGAGGGAGGGGTGGGGGGGTAGTTTGGGAGGGAGAGGAGGGAGGGAGGGAGGGAAGCGCTTCCGAACAGCGCTTTGCCAAATGCAAGGACTCCAAAAGGGTTTACAAAAAAATAATGATAATTTGGTCGCTCAATCCACGGCTGTTTGTGGGGGACGCCGCTGTGCGCCATTGGCTGCCGCGTTTCGCCCACAAAATACGCAGTCACTACACTGTGTATATCCTGCGAAGTGAGTTTCGGGGAGGTGCGGGGGGGGCTGAAGGTCACAGCGTGTCTCGGGCACTGAACAACCGTCTGCCCTCATCCCAGGAGCGACTCTCACTGTGGCTGCGAGGCCGACGACCAGGCCAAGGTCTATGTGTTCCAGCAGGAGACAGCGGCGAGTTAACAGCCGCCCTCCACACAGGTACCCGCGCGCTCTGCCTCCTCCCTCCATCCCTCCCTCCCTCCCTCACTGTGGACGAGCGGTGAGCGGGAGCTTTAGCCAACGCACGCCAAGTCGTGGCCAGGCACTTAATACGACCGATGCAAAGCACGAGTGGCGCCAAACTGGCGTAGGGACTCGGGCAGGTGTACAGGACCCTCGTTGCGATCATAGTCCAACCTTTTTGTTGTCGTTTTTGTGGAAGGGAGGAGTTAAGCAAATAAAAATAATAATAATAATAATAATAATAATAATAATACTAAGCAAAGGGCAAAACCGCGTCCGTGCAACTGTACACCTCAGCGACGAGGAGGCCTGAGCGGAGAGATCTGCGGGCGTCAAGCGGGGGAGAGGGAATTTGGTAAATAAATGGACCTTNAAAAATAAAAGGGAGAAGGGACGCGACGGGCTTTCTTTTCGGGCCTCGGTTCGGAGAACGTCCGTCCCCCTGATGTTTGGCTTCTTCTGTTTTTTCAGGGCTTGGAATCTGGGCCACAGGAGACAGGTCACACAGTCCCCCATTTTACTCCGGCAATTGTTGCGTCGTGCTGTCTTCTCTCTCTTCTCCTCCTTCTTCAACGCCCTCCCAACCCCCCCTTCCCCTTCCCCTCGTGTACCCCCACCACCCCCACCCACTCCTCCACGGAGGAGGGAGGTACTGAGGCTGCCCAAACCCCCACCCTCCCACCTGCTGACTCTTTCGCACTCACTTCAAAGACGGATGGGCCAATTCTAGCTATGTCTTAACTTGAGCCGTGCATTTGACCTGCCCGTCCATCCGTCCGTCCATCCGTCCCCGCTCCCAGGTATATCCTATGGGTCATTTAACTTGCTTTCACCGATGTTTGGGGATATTCTGAGCACGAACTGGGTTCCTTCCACCAGTCTCTGTTTACCCGACAGTAAGTAGTCGATTGTCGGATCGCTTTCCAAGGGTAATAATCCTTTTTTTTTAAAAAAAAATTGGTCACTCAATCCATGACTGTTCGTGGAACACTGTATGTACACAATATTGGTGTTCGTCAAACAAAATACACAGTCAATTCACTTTACGGTATATCCTGCGAAGCACTTTGAGACGTCTCGAAGACGTGATAAGGCGCTGTATCGAATGCGAGGATTGTTAACTGATTATATGTTATCTAAAATATAACACATCGGCTTCCAAACTCAGACACCGTGTCGAAGAATTCTCGGCAGCCGTGTGCGTCACTCTAAATTTCAAAGCACGAGCACTCTCAAACGGAAACGGAGTTGGATTCGGGGGAGATCAAGCACCCCAAAACACAGACCCCAACAGACCTGCCCAGGTCCCAGATCCCAGTCAATCGCGCCCATCATCTCTCCAGTCCCCACTGTTAACGAATGCCGCGTTGCTACCACAAAATACACAAGTCAGTTCAGTTTGCAGTATATCCTGTGAACCGCTTTGGGACGTCTCGACGACGTGATAAGGCGTTACGTCAAAAGCAAGGATTATTATTATTTATTATAATGTTAGCTCCACTGTACATGACACACTCCCTGCGTGTATCTGCATGTGACTTGTAAACCAGTGGGTTCTCTCTATTATACCGTGACCTGATAAAACTTGTGACCGTCGATGCTTTTAACCGTAAACTATAAAGGTGCTGTACGGATAATCTCAGTGTAAACTGCGTTGGAGCCGCGAGGCTGGCACTCACTGATCTTCTCTGTGATTTATTATTATTATTATTATTTTCGTTTAAATTTCTGAACCCGAGGTTGGAATTGTGTAGGTTGCTCCCGGCACACTTTCTGGATTTGGGAATGTTGACGGGATCTCTTAATGGGCATCACGGTCCTCGCAAAGGTTTCCGGTGTTTGCGTGAAAGGGTGTGTCGAAAGGGTTAAAGACGGCCAAGGTTACAAATTAAACCTGAAGCCGCGGAACGCGCTGTGTGTGGGTGTGATTCTCTCTGCGTTTATTTCTCTCTCTCTATCTTTCTGATAAAAAAAATATGAATAATTTGGTCACTCAAACGGCGACTGTTTGTGGGACATTTGCTGTGCGCAATTGGCTGCTGCGTTTTGCCCACAAAACACTGTAAATACGCACTTTACAGTACATTCTGTGAAGCGCTTTGAGATGCCTCAACGATGTGCGTAGACGCTATATCAAATGTAAGGATTATTATTATTATTGTGTGTGCGTACGTGTGTGAGAGAGACCTCTTTCTGCCTCTTTCTGTCTGTGTGACCATGTCTCTATTTCCCCGTGTGTATGTGCGTGTCTGATTCCGTGTGTGACTATCACACTCCCTGTGTTTTTCTGCCTCTCTCTCTCTCTCTGCCTTTCTGTGCGTCTTTCTGTCTCTCTACGTGTGCAATTCTGTTCTCCCCCCACCCCCCCACCCATCTCTCTCTCTCTCTGCGTGCATGATGGAGGTGCAGCAAGAGGGGAGGGAGGGAGAGATCTGGGACGCTACCCCACGTGAAGGACGCTACGTAAATGCAAGCTGCTGTGCTGTTGAGATGCTGAGAAGAGCGGGGAGTTTGACCCACTGAATGGGCTGAAGACGGTTGAGGTATTGGGAGGGCGACAACGGAAACAAAATCGATGCTCTCGGAAGAGGTTGTGTCGCCCCTTCAACCTGCGGAGGGTGGGGTGGGGTGGGAGACAGCGAGCCCAGCGTAGGACCCGGGGTCAATTCCTGCGTGGGACGAAACCTTTCGGCCGGTTTCCTCACTCCACGCGCCTCGGGTTACCCGGCGGTCAGTAGGAACCCGGTTGTAATTCAGCGCAGCCGAACCTCGCACATTCCGTCGCTCAGTGTCTGGGCTCTGGGATGGATATCGGGCGCTCGAAAGTAGGGGGACAACACCCCCACGCCCCCCACCCCCCCCCCCCCCCGCATGTGAAGCATTAGAAGCAGGTGTGTGGGGGAGATGGGAAGAGGGGGAAGAGAGGGAAAGGGGGAGAGGGGGGTGGGTGGGTGGGTGGGGTGGGGGAGGAAGAAATACTGATGACTGAATACCGGAGCCCCAGTGCGTCCATTGTTATCAATGGGCATTGTGCTTTACCTGTACCGTATCTGATTACCTACTCTGTAGAGTTCTGTAACACACCGATGCATTATACTGCTGTGTTTTTTTTTTAAAAATCGATTTTTGTTGTATAACGGATTGAAATCATATTTACCGGTTCACGGACCCCTGTGAAATAAAAGCAACCGCTTCCGACGGCTGAACGCCTCTCGCGCTGTTTTGTCTCGGGGGCACCCAAGTGCGTCGGGGACTCTCGGTTTGGTCGACAATAGTAAGTTTAGGGAGGACGTCCCGAGGCGCTGGACAGTCAGGGGTTTGGACCAGAGCTGGGGGTGGGGGTGTGGGGGGGTGGGAATCAGTGAGGGTGCGATTCGAGAGGAGGGTCTTCAACCACAGCAGCCTGCTCCCCGATAACAACAGCGACACCGTGTATTTATTTAGCATCCTTCAGGTGGGATAACCTCTCGCTCCCGAGTGCGTTCCAGTTGGTGGTGGCGGCTCTTCCTCGGCCCTTGTTGAGGCAGAGGGCATCAACGTATCGGAGTGGAACCTCGGTGCCGTTGTCGAGCGCCCTGGGACGCTACCCTGCGCGAGGGGGGGGGGCGCTGACAAAATGCGAGCTGTTGTTCCGGCACACCGCGAGGGAGGAGGGGAGAGAGGGCTGGAGGCGCGCGTGGGGTATAAAGACTGTCCAGGACGAGGACTGCTGCTGGAGCGTCTGGACAGCACTCCGAGCCGAAGTCCCACTCTCGCGCGCCAGGCTCCGCGACCCCATCACTCCCCCCCCCGCGCCCGACCCCACCGGCTCCCCATCCCCCAGAGGATCGAGTTCGAGATCCTCGTCCTCGCCCCCTCTTCCCCTCTCTGACCTGCTGACTCCCTACCAACCTCCCCGCTCCCTCCGCTCATCGGGCTCCGGTCTGCTCCGTGTCTCCCGCCCGACCCATCGGTGTCCGGGCTTCCAGCCTCTCCGCCCCCACACTCTGGAACTCCATCCCACGGTCCCTCGGCCTCGCTCCCTCCCTCACCTCCTTCAGGGTCGGTCTCAAGACCCTTCTCTTCGACCGTCCCTTTGGTCGCCCTCCCACCTCTCTGCCCTCCCTCACCCCTACACCACCCCTCCCGCACCCCACCCCATCCCTCCCCACCCCTCCCCCTCCCTCCCCCTCCCCCACCCCACCCCTCCCCCTCCCCCACCCCATCCCTCCCCCACCCCATCCCTCCCCCTCCCCCACCCCATCCCTCCCCATCCCTCCCCCTCCCCCACCCCATCCCTCCCCTCCCCTCCCCCATCCCTCCCCTCCCTCCCCCCTCCCCATCCCTCCCCCCCAACCCACTCCTCACCCCCCCTCCCCCTCCCCCCATGCTCGGCCCCAACCCCTGACTGTCCAGCGCCTTGGGACGTCCTCCCGACTTGAAAGGCGTCTATATATGTTGTTGTTGGGGGCACATGACGTGGTACCTGTGTGTGGGGGGGGGGAGGAGCACGTGACGTAGTACCTGTGTGGGGGGGGGAGGAGCACGTGACGTGGTACCTGTGTGTGGGGGGGGAGGAGCACGTGACGTAGTACCTGTGGGGGGGGGGAGGAGCACGTGACGTCGTACCTGTGGGAAGAGCACGTGACGCGGTACCTGTGGGGGTGGGGTGGGGCGCGGAGCACGTGACGCAGTACCTGTGGGGGCGGGGCGCGGCCACCACGTGACGCGGTGCCTCGGGGCGGTTGCCGGGGTGACGGAGCGGTGGGGGGGGGCGGGGGGGGCACGTGACGCGGTACCTGCGGCCTAGCGCAGGTGAGCAGCTGCTGCCGCCTGAGGCCGGAGCCGGACATCCCGGGGAGAGAGAGAGAGGGAGAGAGGGGCGGGGAGGAGAGGAGAGGAGCAGCGCCATGGCCTCCACCGCCACCTCGACCATCAACATCCCCACCGCGTCCGTCAGCAAAACCAAGACCAAGAAGAAGCATTTCGTGTCGCAGAAAGTGTCGGTGTTCAGGGCCGGGAACCCGCTCATCAGCGTCTTCATGTGGGGCGTCAACCACTCGGTGAGCCCCGGCCCCCACCCCCCCCCCCGGCACTCACCCCCCCACACACACACCCACACACACACCCACACACACACACACACAGAGAGAGAGAACTAATAACTAAACACAGAGAGAGAACTAATAACTAAATACAGAGAGAGAACTAATAACTAAACACAGAGAGAGAACTAATAACTAAACACAGAGAGAGAACTAATAACTAAACACAGAGAGAGAGAGAACTAATAACTAAACACAGAGAGAGAGAGAGAACTAATAACTAAATACAGAGAGAGAGAGAGAACTAATAACTAAACACAGAGAGAGAGAGAACTAATAACTAAACACAGAGAGAGAGAGAACTAATAACTAAACACAGAGAGAGAACCAATAACTAAACACAGAGATAGAGAGAACTAATAACTAAACAGAGAGAGAGAGAACTAATAACTAAACACAGAGAGAGAGAGAACTAATAACTAAACACAGAGAGAGAGAGAACTAATAACTAAATAGAGAGAGAGAGAACCAATAACTAAACACAGAGAGAGAACCAATAACTAAACACAGAGAGAGAACTAATAACTAAACACAGAGAGAGAGAGAACTAATAACTAAATACAGAGAGAGAGAGAACTAATAACTAAACACAGAGAGAGAGAGAACTAATAACTAAACACAGAGAGAGAGAGAACCAATAACTAAACACAGAGAGAGAGAGAACTAATAACTAAACAGAGAGAGAGAGAACTAATAACTAAACACAGAGAGAGAGAGAACTAATAACTAAACACAGAGAGAGAGAGAACTAATAACTAAACACAGAGAGAGAGAGAACTAATAACTAAACACAGAGAGAGAGAGAACTAATAACTAAACAGAGAGAGAGAGAACCAATAACTAAACACAGAGAGAGAACCAATAACTAAACACAGAGAGAGAGAACTAATAACTAAACAGAGAGAGAGAGAACTAATAACTAAACACAGAGAGAGAGAGAACTAATAACTAAACAGAGAGAGAGAGAACTAATAACTAAACACAGAGAGAGAGAGAACTAATAACTAAACAGAGAGAGAGAGAACTAATAACTAAACAGAGAGAGAGAGAACTAATAACTAAACAGAGAGAGAGAGAACTAATAACTAAACACAGAGAGAGAACTAATAACTAAACACAGAGAGAGAACTAATAACTAAACACAGAGAGAGAACTAATAACTAAACACAGAGAGAGAACTAATAACTAAACACAGAGAGAGAGAACTAATAACTAAACACAGAAAGAGAGAGAGAACTAATAACTAAACAGAGAGAGAGAGAGAACTAATAATTAAACACAGAAAGAGAGAGAGAACTAATAATTAAACACAGAAAGAGAGAGAGAACTAATAACTAAACACAGAGAGAGAGAACTAATAACTAAACACAGAGAGAGAACTAATAACTAAACACAGAGAGAGAGAGAGAACTAATAACTAAACACAGAGAGAGAGAGAACTAATAACTAAAAACAGAGAGAGAGAGAGAACTAATAACTAAACACAGAGAGAGAGAGAGAACTAATAACTAAACACAGAGAGAGAGAGAGAACTAATAACTAAACACAGAGAGAGAGAGAGAACTAATAACTAAACACAGAGAGAGAGAGAGAACTAATAACTAAACACAGAGAGAGAGAGAGAGAGAACTAATAACTAAACACAGAGAGAGAGAGAGAACTAATAACTAAACACAGAGAGAGAGAGAGAACTAATAACTAAACACAGAGAGAGAGAGAGAACTAATAACTAAACACAGAGAGAGAGAGAGAACTAATAACTAAACACAGAGAGAGAGAGAGAACTAATAACTAAACACAGAGAGAGAGAGAGAACTAATAACTAAACACAGAGAGAGAGAGAGAACTAATAACTAAACACAGAGAGAGAGAGAGAACTAATAACTAAACACAGAGAGAGAGAGAGAACTAATAAAAAAACACAGAGAGAGAGAGAGAACTAATAACTAAACACAGAGAGAGAGAGAGAACTAATAACTAAACACAGAGAGAGAGAGAGAACTAATAACTAAACACAGAGAGAGAGAGAGAACTAATAACTAAACACAGAGAGAGAGAGAGAACTAATAACTAAACACAGAGAGAGAGAGAGAACTAATAACTAAACACAGAGAGAGAGAGAGAACTAATAACTAAAAAAAAAAAAAATAAAAACAGAGAGAGAGAGAGAACTAATAACTAAACACAGAGAGAGAGAGAGAACTAATAACTAAACACAGAGAGAGAGAACTAATAACTAATCACAGAGAGAGAGAGAACTAATAACTAAACACAGAGAGAGAGAGAGAGAACTAATAACTAAACACAGAGAGAGAGAGAGAGAGAGAACGAATAACTAAACACAGAGAGAGAGAGAGAACGAATAACTAAACACAGAGAGAGAGAGAGAACGAATAACTAAACACAGAGAGAGAGAGAGAACTAATAACTAAACACAGAGAGAGAGAGAGAACTAATAACTAAACACAGAGAGAGAGAGAACTAATAACTAAATTCGCCCTCAAATATACGGTCAATTCACTTTACAGTATATTCTGTGAAGCGCTTTGAGACGTCGAGAAGACGTGAAAAGCGCTATATCAAATGCAAGGATTATTATTATTATAACAGAGAGACAGAGAGAGAACTAATAACTAAACAGAGAGAGAGAACTAATAGCTAAACAGAGCAATAACTAAACAGAGAGCGAGCGAGATAACTAATAACTAAACAGACAGATAACTAATACATAAGCAGAGAGAGAGATAACTAATAACAAAGGAGAGCAATAACTAACAGAGAAATAACTAAATACACAGAGAGAGAGATAACTAATAAATAACTGATAATTAAGAGAGAAATAACTAAACACATAGAGGAAGAAATAGATAAACACAGAGAAACGTGAAAACACGGAGAGAGAGAACTAATAACTAAGAGAGAGAAATGACTACAGAGAGAGAGAAATGACTAAACGGAGAGAGACAAATAGATAAACAAAGATCGAGAAATAGTTAAACGCAGAGACAACATTTAAACGCACAGAGGAAAATGCCTAAACAGAGAGAGAGAGAAACACTTAAACGCAGAAACACTTAAACGCAGAAACACTTAAACGTTTATTTAATCGGAGAGAGCAAGAAAGAGTGGGAGGACGATGTGTGTGTGTGTGTGTGTGTATATATATAGTATTTATGTAAATTATAATGCACAATATTTACATAATTGAACTGACTTCTAACAAAGCAGGGCGAAAAATAAATATATTTATTAATATCTATATTTTAATTATATTTGCATATCATATTTGATTATATGCAGCAACTGACTCGTCCTGTAACGTTACAGCAGAAAAGAATAGCTAAACCGAGAGAGACCTCTTTTTTCGAGGATGAATCTCCCTTTTGTTTCTCCCTCCCAGAACTTTCAAAGGAATTCGTTGTGCGAAGAGCTTTTGAGATTTCTCTCCGTAATAAGGCTCTGTGTCAAGTACAAGTATGCAACTGTTTGCAGTCCTCTGGAAAGCGTAGCTCGGGGGGGGCGACCTTGCTATTCCATAACGAGCTGCATCCTTCACTTTGGAGGCTGCCAAACGGGACTCTGCTCATTTTAGCAGCTGCATATTTCGCCCACGCTTGCTTTGCTTTTCACCCACACCGGCGCTCCTCGGGAATCTGGAAGCGTGCAGCTTGGGCTCGCAATAACGCCCTCGCTCAATTAAACCACGCACGGCGTGTTATCAGGGGCGTTGTCCAGCGTGGGGTTTCGGGCTGAGCTCGCCGGGGCCGATGGCGTTTTTGTGCGCTCAGGTTCCCCTGGTCTGTCTCCGCAGGTGAATGAGCTCAATCACGTCCCAGTGCCTGTGATGTTGCTGCCCGATGACTTCAAAGCCAACTCGAAAATCAAAGTCACCAACCACCTGTTTAATAAGTAGGTACAACAACGGCTTGCGTTTATATATCGCGCCGGATGGAGCTACAGCCGAGCCTTGTGCTCTGGTCTCAGTCTCATGCTTTGCTTGTCAAACCCGTTTATTATTATTATTATTTATGTATGCAATAAAATACACAATCAATCCACTTTACGGTACATTCTGTCACGACATCTCAAAGACGTGATAAGGCGCTATAACAATTACAAGGATTATCATTAACAATTGATACCCTGAGTACTTATTAATAATAATAATAGTACTTATTACTGTTCGATTCCCGGCCAGGGTGAAACCTCAGTCAAGTTCCCTTATTCCACGTGCCTCCCCCTGTTTACCTAACAGTGAGTAGGAATTGGCAGATCACTTTCTGGCGATAAGAATCTCTTCAAAGTAAATAAATACAAGTCGTCGTGGAATGAGTGTTATTTATTAATCGTTATTTTAATTGTTCCAAAGTGCTCAGTTACCACATCTAAATTGATCGAGATGCCCTTTTTCTTCCCTCTCCCCCCACCCCCTCCACCCCTCCATGGCATTACCTAAATCAGTCAATATGTGTTGTACAATAATCTTGCAGTTGATATAGGGCCTTATCACCTTGTGGAGACTTCTAAAAGCTCTTCACAGAATATCCTGCAAAGTGTAGTGACTGTGTATTTTAGAATTCTAGAATGGGAGTCATTGCAAGGCAGTAAACTGAGAGGAGCAAGACGATGGAAGCCACAAGAGTACATTTGACATCCTTTAGAGAAACAGTCGAGTGCCAGCTGGACCTAACCCTTGTGTGATGCACTCCACTCGCTTATCATCACTGCAGATTTATGGAATGACAGGCAAGAGCAGAGCAGCTGGTGTATGTGGAGTCCTGTAGCGTATTGGCGACAGCCCTCGCCTCGAAGCGAGAGGACCCAGGTTCAATTCCTGAGCGGGGTGAAATCTTAGGCACGTTTCCTTACTCCACACAGCTCTGTTGACCGAGCAGTAAAGCAGGAACCCGGTTGTACATTGATTGAGGGATTGCTTTCTGAGGGTAGTAATCCCTTCTAAAAATAAATTAAAAAGTCGCAAAAATTTGGCCACTTAAATCCACGTTTGTGGGACGCTGCTGTGCGCAACTGGCTGCTGGGTTTTGCCCGCAAAATACCACAGTCACTTTACAGTATATTCTTTGAGACGTCTCAACGACGTGATAAGGTGCTATATCAAATGCAAGGATTACTTTTGTCATTGTGGCTGTGAGTAATGACAGGAGGTGTGAATCGATACTGGCGATCGATCGGTCAGCGAAAACATTTTCACTGACGTGAGGACGATTATTGAAGGCCAGCTTGCTGCTGGAGGAGCTGGCGAGGCTGTGGGCTTTGGCAACCGCGGGAGCCGTGCGATTTTAAACGCTCACCGTGTGCGCTCTCTGTCTGCAGGGAGAACCTGCCGAGCAACTTTAAGTTCAAGGAATACTGTCCCCAGGTCTTCAGGAACCTGCGAGAGAGATTCGGCATCGACGACATGGATTACCAGGTAACTGCACGGGACTGGGCCGGGGCTTTGTGGAGTTTTGTGCAGGAAATGCTTGTGCTCGTTGCAGTATTGGTGGTGGGTGTGGTGTGTCTCTGTCCGTCTGTGTGAGTGTCCGTCCGTCTGTGTGAGTGTCCGTCCGTCTGTGTGAGCGTCCGTCTGCGTGAGTGTCCGTCCATCTGCGTGAGTGTCGTGTGTGTGTGTATGCACATGTGTGCTTGGGGCCCCCAGAGGATCGAATTCAAGATCCTCACCTACAAGGCCATTCACGGCCTCGCTCCCTCCTACCTCTCCGACCTACTATCCCCCTACCTACCCGCCTGTACCCTACGTTCCTCTGGCTCCGGTCTGTTCCACATCCCCCGCCCCAACCGCCCTACTATCGGTGGCCTTCAGCCTCTCAGCCCCGAGGCTCTGGAACTCTATCCCCAGTGCCTTCGCTGCTTCCTCCCTTTCCTCCTTCAAGGCCGGTCTCAAGACCTTTCTCTTCGACTGTACCTTCAGCCTTCAGCTCCCCTCTCGACTCTCTTCCCCCTCCTCGCTCCCTCCCTTCCCTCCCCCTGACCATTTCCCCCCAATGCTCGGGTCCTGACCCAACTGTACAGCGCCTTGGGACGTCCTCCCGACATGAAAGGCGCTCAATAAATGGAATCTTGTTGTTGTTGTTGTTGTTGGGGCCGTTTTTGTTTTTTCTAATTAATTTCATTCTGCAAAGCACTCGGGGAGTTTTGTTTTGTGTGGAAGGCACCATATAAATGTGTATTATGTTTTGATGAATAATTCAATCCCGGGGAAGGAGCAGTTAGAATTCCAGTTTAGAGTAAGTTTCCTTACTCTGCTTACCTCGCAGTAAGTAGGAGCCCAGTTGTTAGTCGAGTGGCGGATCGCTTTTCCAGGGATAATAATAGCTTTTTTAAAAAAGTAATAATAATTTGGTCTCTCAATCCCACGACTGTTTGTGGGGACTCTGCTGTGCGCAAATGGCTGCCGCTTTTTACCCACAAAATACACAGTCAACTCACTTTACAGTGTAGTCCGTGAAGCGCTTTGAGACGTCTTGAAGACGTGATAAGGCGCTGTATCAAATGCAAGGATTAATATTATTGTTATTACTGTTCGGATCAGCCCAGAGGAATGAGCGATGAGCTTGATCCTACGACCGTGTCTTTCAGGTGTCCCTGACCCGAAGTCCTCCGTACAATGAATGTGAGAGCCGCAACGGGATGCTGTTCCTGAAGAGCTGTGATGGGAACTTTGTCATCAAGCAGATCTCCAGTGAAGATGTGGCAGACATGCACGGCTTCCTGTCGGGCTACCACGAGGTGCGTGGCTCTCCGTGCAGAGGTGTCTTCGACCGCCCCTTCGTTCACCCTCCTAACCCCTCACCCTCCACCCCTCCTGATCCCACCCACCACCTCAGGTGCGGATCCCTGACTTTCCAGCGCCTTGGGACGTCCTCCCAAAGCAATAGGCGTCTCGTAAATGCTGTTTTCTTGTTGTTGCCCGCGTTCTGATAGCCCTCTACGTGGTAAGGTCCCTCCTACACATCCACACAACCTCTCCCAACAGCAGCCCCCCCCCACCCCCCGATAACCATGTTTGCCCATAGCTGCACAATCACTTGACGAGGTTGGGAGGGGGAAACCCTGTGAAGCACATTGAGACTTGACGGCTTGATAAGATGCTACAACAAATTCAAAGATTATTTTATTCTTTACCAGTGACAATTCGTGTCTGATGGGGGTGGGTGGGGGGGTGTAGGAAGAAGAGTGCTGGGTGAGTGTTGCCCCGGGGTTTGTGCTGATTAGTCTGGCAGAGGTCCGAGAGCGGGTTTAGTGGGACACGGGGTGACTGAGGCGGAAAGGGGAGAGAAGACGGGGCCGTGTGTAACCCCGGGCCACTTGCGTTGCAGTACATCGTAAACTGTCACGGCAACTCGGTGCTGCCTCAGTTCCTGGGGATGTACCGGCTGGGGGTGGACGGAGAGGAGACCTACATGCTGGTGATGAGAAACGTCTTCGGTCACAGGCTCACTGTGCACACGAAATACGATCTGAAGGTGAGAGCGTCTTGGCTACAAGATACAGTACAGCCTCCGCCCCCTCCCTATATAGCGCAACTCCCCTCACCCCCCCATATTGGGTTTGAGGGGGTGATCGTGCCCCAATTTGGCACTGAATCTATCAGCCAAGCTCTCTGGTGTCACCGAGGACCCGGGTTCAAATCCCGGGCGGGTCGGGGTGAAACCTCAGGCAGGTTTCCGTACTCCACGCGCACACCAATGATTACCTCGTGGTGAATTGGAACCCGGCTGTTGGTCAATTGGCAGATCCCTTTGCAGGGCAATAGCCCCTCAAGAGAGAGAGAAAAAAAATGTGGCCACTCAATCCACGACCGTTTGTGGGGGAACGCTGCTGTGCACGACCGGCTGCCACGTTTCGCCCAAGAAACGCCCACAGTGGCTACACTTTACAGTCTGTCCTGTGAAGAGCTTTGAGACGTCCCGAAGTCGTGATAAGGCGCTGTGTCAAGTGCGAGGATTATTATGATCAGGTTTTTATTCGCCGGTGGGTTTGGTGCTCGGGGGTTGTCGCCAGTGGCAGAGTGACTGACGCACGTTTGCTTTTCAGGGATCTCTAGTTTCCCGGGAAGCCAGTGACAAGGAGAAGGTAAGGAAGCACTTCTTATTGGTGTACGTCAAACGCAAAGGTTGTTGTTATTATTATCTGATTGTCGAGTGCTAACGTTTGGAAATTATGCACCAAAAGATTCTGGGTTACAAGGTGTTGTTTGAGCCAGTCCTGTTTTTTGCCATTCAGATCCTGTTATTTATTTACTGCCCTTCACGACTGGTTAGCTTTCCCTGTCCGCCCGCCCGCCTGGGCTCCAGTTCTGTGCCCTCCCATCACACCCGCTGCCCACACTCCACTGTTCGTCACTAACCCTCTGCCAGGCTGGTCTGCTGCTCACTGCCTTGTCTCACGTAATCAACACGACGATCAAACGAGCGCTGGGCTAATTTGAATTCTCGGAGCCTGTCTCATGTAAATGTCACGCTGCAGTCTGGCTGATTTCCCTTCTTCCTTCTCCCCAAACCCCCTGCCGACCCCATTGCCATTCAACACTCACACCCTCGTTCCATCTCCGACTGCCCTGCCACAGCCATTTACCCCCCAAGAAAGCATTTCCCCCAATACCCTGCTCAACTTCCCAACGTGAAGGCTGCTGTACAAATAAATGTAAGTTGTTGTTGTTGTTGCTGCTGCTCCAGGGCAAAGAACTGCCAACCCTGAAGGATGTGGACCTCCTACACCGGTGTCAGAAACTCTACATCGACGACGAGCAGAAGAGGCTGTTCCTGGAGAAGCTGAAGCGAGATGTGGAGGTGAGAGAGAGCAACTGTCTCTCGCTGCTGCCTGTGGTAGGGGACGGGTTTGATCGGCTCCAGCTATGGAATCCTGCAGCGTAGTGCGTTAGGGGCTCTCAGGAGGGTTCGATTCACGTGTGTTGTCAGTCTTTTAGGTGCTGGGGGTGGTGGGGGAGTGGGTGGCGGGGCGGGAAGAGCTCGGTAACATCTAACCTTTTTTGTGTGTAGTTCCTAGCTAATCTGAAGATCATGGATTACAGTTTGTTGCTGGGGATTCACGACATGCAGCGGGCCGAGCAGGAGGAGGAGCTGGAGCAGCACGCCGTGTCCAGCGAGACGGAGAACGGAGGCAACATTTCGGTGAACCAGTTCATCACCGTGCACTCCCCAGATGCCGCGTTCAGCTTCCACAGCTTCCAAAAGTCTGCCGGCTCTGTGGATTACGAGCCCTTCATGGATTGCTACGCCATCAAGAGTGCAGAAGGTAACGTTTGCGAGCAAGGACGGCAGCAGAGAAAAAGAAATCACGTCGACACAGAGCCCCTCGCGTCGGGAGGAAGTCCCAAGTTGCTGGCTGGACAGTCAGGGATTTGGACCCGAGATGGGGGGGGGGGGGATTTGGGATCAGGATAGAGGTGGAGGGTGGGGGGGTTGGAAGGGTTACCGAAGGCGCGCTGGAAGAGGAGGGTCTCGAGACGGGCCTTGAAGGACGCAAGGGAGGGAGACGCGCGAAGGACTTTCGCCTCGCACCCCCCCACCCCCCGCCGAGGGTGGGGGCCGGGTAGGGGGACGTGGAGCAGGCCGGAGCCCACTGAGCAGAGGGAGTGGACAGGTCGGTATGGAGTTATCAGGTCACAGAGGTAGAGAGAGAGGAGCAAGGCCTTAGAGGGGGGGGAGAGAGAGAGAGAGACCCTCAAACCTGCATGACTGTGTCGTTGAGACTCTGTCGCCGTGTCCGATGCGAGTGTTATTGTTCTCCGGTGCGAGCTGCGGACAGTCTGACCCATTTGCTGCATCTCTACCCCCTCCCCCCCCCCCCCCCACAATCCACACAGGAGCTCCCCAGCGAGCGGTGTACTTCATGGGGCTGATTGACATCCTCACTCAATACGATGCCAAAAAGAAAGCAGCGCACGCAGCTAAAACAGTCAAGCACGGGGTGAGTAAACAACCACCACCACCAATTATTATTATTATATGTTCACACGGCGCCTTTCGCGTCAGGAGGACGTCCCAAGGCACCGGACAGTCAGGGATTTGGCCCGAGCTGGTGGTTGGGATCTGGAGGGCGGGGAGGGTGGGGGTAGGAGGGTGACCCAAGTCGGGGTCGGTCGAAGAGGCGGGTCTTGAGATGGGCCTTGAAGGAGGCGAGGGCCCAGTGGGGGCAGATGGGGGGAGGGGGCGGGGGGGAGGCGAGCGAAGGGGCTGTAGGATGGAGCCCCAGAGCCTGGGGGCGGAGAGGCTGAAGGCCCGACCGCCAATGGTGGAGCGGGCCGGGCAGGGGGACGTGGTGCAGATCGGAGCCCGCTGAGCGAGGTGGGGGGGGGTGGAGGGGGAGGGGGCAGGTTGATATGAAGCGCGAGGGGTTAATGTCCGCCGCGGCATCTAAACTGGAGTTCTCTCAACGGCGCTCCCTCTGGCGGTTGAGTGGTTGAGTCCACACGACCCGGTGTGGACCTGCGCGCGGCGGCGGGTGGGGAAGGTCCCAGGTTCTGGCGCCAGGAGGGGAGAGGGGCAGGAGAGCCGATCGTGGGGCAGCGAGGTGTGTGTACGCGGGTGCGATTGGTGCGTGTATGCCTGTGTGTGTGTGTATGTAGTGGGGGCTCCACGACCTCAGCTGTCATCGAGCCTGCGATAAGAGTACTGTTTATCGTTGCGTATTATGATAATGTCCTCGCCCACACGGTGCCCAGTAACTCACCTGGAAACGCACCTCAGCATAAGTCCGCATCGTCGGGAGAGGGGAGGAACATGGAATTGCCGGACGATAAAAGACCCAGATCCATCCTAGTTCGCCTACTGCAATAGCGGAGATGTTGATGACAATCCATGGCGTGTGGGTTCGTCTGTCCACCCAGTGGAAAGCTGTGGGAACTTACCAAACCTCTGGGGAAAAAAAACTTTTGAGAGGAAAAGAGGCAAAAGAACCAGAGGGGATACCAGGAGATTTTTTTAAAAAAAAAGTTTAACGCATCGATTTATTACGGTCTGGAACGCACTGCCTGAAGAGGCGGTTGGAAGCAGATTCAGTAGTAGGTTTCGAAAGGGAATTGGATTGGGACTTGACGAGGAAAAATGTGCAGGGCTTTGGGGTGAGAGCGGAGGAGAGGGACAGGTTGGGAGCTCAGGCACGATGGGCCAAACGGTAAGATTCTGCTGTAAGATTCTATGAGGGGAGATAGTTGGAGGGAAAATAGAACTGTAACCCCTATTTGGGTGGGAGATTCTCCCCATTAACCTCCCCCCTGAATGTGCTCCGCGTCCTCGTCTCTAACGTTGCCTCTTGCACGCTCCCCCCCCCCCCCCACCCACCCCTTCCCCCACCTCAGGCCGGGGCAGAGATCTCCACGGTGAACCCCGAGCAGTACGCCAAACGCTTCATGGATTTCATCAGCAACGTCTTCGCCCCCTCGTCGCCAGGAGGGGCGCTGGGCAGCAGTCTGGGGTTTCACTTTGACTCCGGGCGAGGGGTCCAACAACCCGTGGCTCCCCGCCTGTTGGACTAAAACCGCTTTGCCTTCTAAAGGAGCCAGCGCCCGTGCCGAGAGGGGAGCCGGAAAACCTTCCGCGGAGGCGGCGAACCTCGGCGTAACCTCGGCCGGCTCTCCACATTAGCCGTGAAATCTCAAAAAGAATAATCCAAAGACTCTACATAATGGGTTTGCGTGTTTGGGGGAGGGGAGCGCGGAGGGAGGGAGGGAGGAGGGACGAGGAGAGAGACGGGGGTGGTAGGGGTTCTCTCACCCCCACCCCCCCACCAATCCCCTCCCTCGCGCACACAATCCGCATTCAGTTTGAAGCATTTATATCGATTGATTTTTTTTTTTCTTTTTTAACAAACGAGTGTTTTTGTATTAGAATACTAATTTTTTTTTACACGCGCGCACACACACATAGACACGCACACAAATAAGGGGTACCTTTGTGACGGCTTTTTACTGGAAATGAAGAGTTTCTTTTGGTTTTTACTTTGTATTTTTAAAAAAAAGAGGACAAAGAGGAGATTTGCGGTGAATGGCAGGCGGCCGGGGGGAGGTGGCGGGAGAAACAAAGTTCTTTGCCAAGTGCCAAATTTGCCAGATTTCGGTCAAGACAAGTGTTAAAACCGGTTGCCTATTGGCAAGTGGATAACGTGCCCTCGCTTCCTCTTCCCCCCCCCCCCCCCACTCCCCTTTCCGCCCTCTTCCCACCACCCACTCCCTCTCTTTTAATAATTATTCCATTGGGACAAATGGATTTTTCAAGACTCTTACTAACCAATCTGTTACCTGGACCGTTGTAAGAGTCTCTCTCTCTCTCTCCATCCATCCCTCCTTCCCCCACCCACCCCCACCTCTCCCTCCCTCCTGCTTCCTCTCTCACTCCCTCCCTCCCTCCGTCCGTCTCTCTTTCTCCCTCTCTCTCTTTGCCAAGTTACGATGTTCCAGAGGGTGAGGTGGAATCAGAGACTGTTGTGCTACACTGGAGTCTCCACATTGGGTTATCTTGGAACTTAGGAAGTGAAGGCGTTATCAGACCAATTTGTCTCCCAGAAGAAAGGAAAAGTCTTTGCTTACATATATATATATATTTACACCCACACATATGTACTTACTCTGAATACTGACAAAAAAAAGTGTAAGAGATCTCTTTATAGTAATATTTATATATAGCCACGATTTTAAAGTGTTGTGTATTTTGGTAACTAACACACACCTCAGGGTGACAGTGTCCCAACTACATTCCTTTTCAAGCAATAAAGTAGTTCCTCGCTTTGTATTACCTATAAATAATAATAATTATTATTATTATTACCTCCAGCCTCACACCATTTTGCTTTGTTTGACTCCTTTGTGTCCACATTGAAGCCCTTCACACCCACATTCCGGACTCTGGAACTCTCTCTTGTGTTTTCCCGATACTTTTGAGCTCTGTGATGGGTTTCCTTCCGCACGTGCCACGCACCCAGCCGACAGGCGCCCCACACGCCCATTCACACTTAATCCAGTGGAGGAAACATTGTGGAGTCCCTGTTGCTCAGTGGTTAGAGCACTCGCCTCGCAACCGAAAAGACCTGGGTTCGATTCTCAGCCGGAGCGAAACTTTGGGCAAGTTTCCTTACTCCACACACGCGCCTCTGTTTACCCAGGGGTAAGTAGGAACCCGATTGTTAGTTGTTTTTCCGGGGGTGGTAATTAATGTTAAATAATTTGGTTACTTAATCCACGACGGTCTGTGGGACGCTTTCACCCACAAAATATACAGTCAATTCACTTTACTGTATGTCCTGTGAAGCGCTTTGAGACGTCTCGAAGACCTGGTAAAGCCCTGTATCAAATGCAAGGATTATTATTATTAAACCAAGGTTCCGGCTGTGCATTTTCGGGCAGAAGTTAAAAGATCCTTTGGTGCCATTGAAAAAGAGTAGAGAGTGTCCCTTCCGGGTTTCCTGACCGACAGTCCGCCAGTTAATAACTGCTTCAACGTGGAGCTGTTTGCTGGAAGTTGGCTGCTGCTGCTCTCCTACGAAATACACAGTCACTACGCTTCACGGTAAACCCTGTGACGCTTCCCGAGACGTCCCTCTGGTGTCCAAGGTGCTGCGTCAAACGTTAGAATTGTGATTGTATAAATCGATGGCTAACCTGCGGCCCGCGGGCCAGATGCGGCCCACGGGAAAAATTCCCACGAGTCTCGGTAAGTCCGTGTTTGATTGTTGGTGTGTTTTCAGTTTTTTTTTCTTGATTGATCTATTGGCGCAAATCGAAAAAAAAATATTCCACCGAGAAAGCGTATCCTGTTGTCCAACCGGCCGTCGCTGGGATAAACGCTGCTGTGTCACAGTTTTCCGCGGCGCCTGCCTCAACAACAACAACAACAACCACAAGATCGCATTTTGTAGAGCGCCTTTCACGTCGGGAGGACGTCCCGAGGCGCTGGACAGTTGGGTCGGGACCCGAGCATTGGGGGGGATATGGTCAGGGTGAGGGGAGGGAGGGAAGGGAGGGAGCCAGGAGGANGGGGGGTAGAGAGTCAAGAGGGGAGCTGAAGGCATTTGAAAAGCGCTATATCAAATGCAAGGATTATTATTATTATTATTTGATCATTTGCGGATCTGACTGATCGATCGATTCACGGACACAGCGTGGAAACGTGCCATTCAGCCTATCCTGTCCGGCTGGAGTTTACCTTCTCCACGAGTTCTTATCCCAGATCCTATCCCAATATCCCAGCTTTTCCCCACATCCCCCCACCTCATTCCCTCTCGGCTGTGTGTCGTAGAATAAGGATCGCTGTGATTGACACGGAGCCAGGAAGGAGCGTTACTCTGGTCTTCACAGCAGGTAGTACCAACAGCCCTGTGTCAACCCGAGTAACGCTCCCTCCTCCTCCTCCTCCTCCTCCTAAAGGAAACGGCTTTCTTCATTTCCGTTGAGTCAAACAGACCGTAAACAATGAGTCACCACCAAATCTGTCTCACAAGGAGTTTATCCCAAATCAGTTTACTGGAGGAAAGGAGGTGAGAGGCTTCCCCTCTCCATCCCCCCCCCACCCGCCCCCGCGCACTCTCCCTGCGGAAAACGTTAGCCAAGCTTTCCACAGGACCAGAGAAAGGTAGGGCACAGAGAAAGCCCGTTAGCCCACCAAATACACAGTCACTCCGCCTCGCAATATATCCTGCGAAGCGCTTTGCTCACCTCGGCTTCGACAGTGCCCCACTGCCCGTCTGTATGCAGTGCTGGGGCGACGAGCGCGGGCGGGTGGAGCAGCTCGAGGGATGAGATCCGATGCACCGAAGGGACTTATTAATCCGAACCGATCCTGTGATCCGTGAGATTTAATGTGAGCGCGAGTTTTCCTTGTTCCACGCAAACGGTTGTTCCCGCTTTGTGTCAGCGGAGGGCGACAGCGAGTGGGTTCACCGGCCGGGAGCCACACACAAGCGTTACTCCCTCTCCCCCTCTCAGCTCCTCCAACGAATAATAATAATAATAATAACCCTTTGACGCAGCGCCTTATCACGTCTCTGAGAAGTCTCGAAGCGCTTCACGGGATAATCCGTAACGCGAATGGACCGCGTGTTTTCGTGGGCGGAACGCGGCAGCCGATCGCGCACAGCGGCGTCCTCCGACCCCCCCCCACCCCACCACCACCCCACAAACAGCCGTGGATCCAAGTGACCAAAAATTTATTTCGTTGAAGGGATTACTAGCCCTGGAAAAGCGATGCACCAGTCGACTTAACGACCGGGTTCCTACCTACTGCCGGGGAACCGGAGCCGTGGGCGTGGAGTGCGGGAAACTTGCCCAGTGTGTTGGTCGGTTGGGAATCGAACCCAGGTCCTCTCGCCGAGCGAGGCGAGTGCTCCCAACAACCGGGCTACAGTAGTGAGTCCTGTGGCTCAGTGGTTAGAGCACTCGCTTTGCGAGCGAGAGACCTGAGTTCAATTCCAGGCAGAGGGCGAAACCTCGGGCAAGTTTCCTTACTCCACACAGAGCCTAATAATAATCCCTCCAAAACCAAAAACAATAATAAATTGGTCATTTTCAATCTACGACTGTTTGTGGGACATTGCTGTGCGCAATCGGCCGCCGCGTTCGCCCACAAATATACAGTCAATTCACTTTACAGTGTGTTCTGTGAAGCGCTTTGGGACGTCCTCTCCCGACGTGAAAAGCGCTATATCAAATGCAAGGATTATTATTATTATATTATTACAGGGGCTCCCAATGAAGCCTCCATCCCAATCGCAGCTCTTTCCCGGTTCATACATTTGTGTTGTTTCGTGCCGTCAACCCCACTCTGAGGACCTTTCGTTGCCTCTATCGCTCGATGAGTTGCTGATCGCAGCCAAGAGAAAGGGGGTACAGTCAGTCGGTCTCAGTGTGTGTGTGTGCGTGTCTGCATGTCTCGCATTGTATTAACGTGTGTGTTTGTGTTTCTCTGTGTGTCACTCTATCTGTGTGTGTGTGTTTTTCTCTGTCACTCTCGGTTTGTGGCTGTGTGCATTTCCCTCTGTGTCACTGTGTGTGTGTGTGTGTCGTCGTTGTCTGTGTGTGTGTTTCTGTCGCTCAATCTGTGTGCGTGTCTCGTGATGTGTGTGCGTGTGTGTGTGTGTGTGTATATCTCTCTCTCTCTGTGTTGCCTCTCAGTCAGTCACAATGATGTGCCTCAGTCTATCAGATGATGTCCTCCAGCCACTGACTCCCCGTCCTTTCCAGCCGAGCGTTGCTAAGTGCCTGTGGCCGCTGGGAGACATCTCTCCGCTGGAGTGTGTGGTTAGCCGAACGAATACATTAGCAGCGGAGAGGAGACGACATGTTGAGGGCCGGGGGGGGCGGGGGGGGGTGGGGGGGGGGGACACGTTTGACCTCAAAATGATGGTTTGTAAAATCGTCAAAAGTCGCTCGGGTTATCTCAGGAATTTTCACCCCAACTCCATCCCGCAAACCTCCAATATCGACCAGATAATAATCACCTGATTCCCGCCCCACGTAACCCCCCCCCCCCCACCACCCCCACCCCCACCCCCCGACAATTCCCCGGAGAAGAAAATGATCATTCACTTCCTGGCCGTTTGTGCGGCATTGCTGTGTGCGAATCAATCGCCTGTCACATTCGCCTACAAAAATGCACAGTCACTACACTTGACGCACTTGTCGGGGATGTTTTGACGATGTGATAAGGTGTTGTATCAAACACGAGGATTATTAAACTCCCCACACCCCCACCCCCCCGCCCCACCCCACTCCTCCGCTCGCGCACACAGTGGGACTATTCCTGGGTTCTGTCACTGAGCCGAACACACACTGACGTGGGACGTTAATAATAATAATAATTCTGATCACGTCTTCGAGACGTCTCGGAGCGCTTCACCGAACATCCTGTAAAGTGAATCGACTGCGTGGTTTGCGGGCGAAACGCGGCGGCCAATTGCGCGCAGCAGCGTCCCCACAAACAGCCGTGGATTGAGTGAGCAAATTATTATTATTTTTGAAGGAAAAGCGATCCGCCAATCGACTAATAATAATCCCTCCAGAACAAAACAATAATAAATTGGTCGTTTTTAATCCACGGCTGTTTGTGGGACGCTGCTGTGCGCAATTGGCCGCCGCCTTTCGCCCACAAATAATACGGTCAATTCACTTTACAGTCTATCCTGTGAAGCGCTTTGAGACGTCGAGAAGACGTGAAGAGCGCTGTATCAAAGGCAAGGATTATTATTATTATTATTATTATTCTCACTCCGCACCCCACCGCCCCAGTCCTCGTCAGGCTCCACTGCCTCACCAGTGCAGAGCGGATCGATTTCAAGATCCTCAGACTCCCACGCAAAATCCCTTCACCCCCTGGAACCTCCCTGCACCCCGACCTGCTCTCTCTCTCTCTCTCTCTCTCTCTCGACTCCACTCCCTTTGCTCAACTGGCTCCAGCCTCCTCGTCCCCTCTGTTCCACCATCGGTGGCCGTGTTTTCAGCCACTTGCGCCCCGAGCCTCTGGGACCCTCTACCTCGATTCCCCTGCCCTGCCCGCTCCTTGTCCATGTTCAGATCACACCCGAAGACCTTCCTCTTCAATAGTGACCTCTCTCCCTCTCTCCAGCTCGGCCTCCGTCTCCGCCACTGTTAAGTGGGGGTTACACTGCCCCACGTGAAGGGGGTTGTGTAACTGCAAATTGTTCTGAGAGGGTTTGCAGAGAGAGCAGGGCAATGGGATTAGAGTAGAGAGCTCCAGTGGGGGAGTGAGCCCCGGCACAGACACGACGGGGAGAGAGAGAGAGAGAGAGAGAGAGCAGGGAATGGGGTGCACAGTAGGGATAGGGGCTGAATGGCCTCCTCCTGTTCCTACGGCAGCTCGCCAGAGTTACTCCCGGGGCCCCGACCGACAATCCGTTCCCGGATAATGTCGCTCGTTTGCCTCACGGCTGTTTGCGGGCGTGTCACTGGGCGCAAACTGGCAGCCGAGTTTCCACCCGCATAATACACAGTCACTACACGACACAGAAAATTCCGCGAAGCACTTTGAGACACTTGATGACGTGATAATAATAATAATAATAATAGGTGGGGGTTATAAAAGGCCTGATTGACTCTCACACCTCTATTCCCCCCCGTCACCCCCTCAAGCCTTGCCAGGCTTCACTGGCTCCCACTCCCCCCCTCCCCCCGCCACCACCCACCAGCGCAGAGCATCCCCTGATTCCGAGCAACAAGACCCCCCCCTCCGCACACGCTCTTCAGTTTCCTCCCCGCTATAGGGAGCTACATCGAGTGCAAGGGGTTAATACACTTCTTCTAAAAAAAAAAGAGCGTTCAGTCAGGGAAACACAAAACACAGTCACTACGCTTCCCAGCGTATCCTGCGAAGCGCTTTGTTTGAGACGTCTCGACGACGCGATGGGGCGGCGCATCAAAGGCAAGGATCGTTATTAGAGTGACTTCGGATTCATTCCTTTTTGTCGCGTTGCTTTAAAGGTATTTTTTGTGTGGGGGGGGAGGGTGGGGGGAGGGTGGGGGGTGGTGATGGGTTGGGGTTGGGAGGGGACTGAGAGTGATTGGAAGAGGGGAGGGATTTAAAGGACCAGAGAGGGAGGTGCAAACCAGCTGTGTGTGTGTGTGTTTGGGAGGAGGAGGAGGAGGAGGGAGGATGGATGGATGGATGGATGGATGTAGATGAGGTTTTTACTTGTTAATTTCACAGCTGTTTAAGGAGGAAACTCAACAAGATCAGATCAGCTGAGGACCAGGACCGGTCCAGATCAGGACCAGATCAGATCAGGATCAGGACCAGACCAGATCAGGATCAGATCAGGACCAGGACCAGATCAGATCAGCAGAGGGACCTGATCAGATCAGCTGAGGACCAGGACCAGACCAGATCAGCTCAGGACCAGATCAGATCAGCTCAGGACCAGATCAGCTCAGCTCAGGACCAGGACCAGACCAGCCCCCATGAAGGAGAATAAAAACATGCAGAAGAGCACAGAGACAGCAGCCGTCAGGTGCAAATTAGTCCTGGTCGGGGATGTGCAATGCGGAAAGACTGCGATGCTGCAGGTGTTGGCTAAGGATTGCTACCCAGAGGTAAGGATGGATGGACCTGTGTCTGTCTGTCTGTCTGTCTGTCTGTCTGTCTGTCTGTCTGTCTGTCTGTCTGTCTGTCTGTGATAAGGGGTGATGTCCCCCTCTCTCTCTCTCTCTCTCTGTAGGAGCAGTTCACTGCTGATCACATCTCTTATAAACCTATTTCTTTATTGTTGTTTCAGTTTAAAACCTATTTTTTTTTGTGTGTCTTTTTTTTAAAAATATCTGTGTACGAACCTCTCTCTCTCTCTCTCCATCGCCTCCCCCTCTGCAGCCCCCACCATCTGTGTGTCTCTCTCTCTGTGTGTGGCTGTCTCTGTCTGTCTGTCTGTCTGTCTCTGTGTGTCTCTGGCTGTCTGTGTATGTGGCTGTCTCTGTCTGTCTCCCTGTGTGGCTGTCTGTCTGTCTCTGTGTGTGGCTGTCTCTATCTGTCTGTCTCTGTGTGTGTCTGTCTCTGTCTGTCTCTGTGTGTGGCTGTCTCTGTGTGTGTCTGTCTGTCTGTCTCTGTGTGTGTCTGTCTCTGTCTGTCTCTGTGTGTGGCTGTCTCTGTGTGTGGCTGTCTCTGTCTGTCTCTGTGTGTGGCTGTCTCTGTCTGTCTCTGTGTGTGGCTGTCTGTCTGTCTCTGTGTGTGGCCGTCTCTGTCTTTCTGTCTCTACGTGTGGCCGTCTCGGTCTGGCGGTCTCTGTGTGTGGCCGTCTCTGTCTGGCGGTCTCTGTGTGTGGCCGTCTCTGTCTGTCTGTCTGTCTCTGTGTGTGGCCGTCTCTGTCTGTCTGTCTGTGTCTCTGTGTGTGGCCGTCTCTGTCTGTCTGTCTCTGTGTGCGGCTGTCTGTCTGGCTGCCGGTCTCTGCGTGCGGCTGTCTGTCTGTCTGGCTGGCGGTCTCTGTGTGCGGTCTCTGTGTGCGGCCGGCTGTCTGTCTGTCTGCCGGTCTCTGTGTGCGGTCTCTGTGTGCGGCTGTCTGTCTGGCTGCCGGTCTCTGTGTGCGGCTGTCTGTCTGGCTGCCGGTCTCTGTGTGCGGCCGGCTGGCTGGCTGTCTGGCTGCCGGTCTCTGTGTGCGGCTGTCTGTCTGTCTGGCTGCCGGTCTCTGTGTGCGGTCTCTGTGTGCGGCCGGCTGGCTGGCTGGCTGTCTGGCTGGCGGTCTCTGTGTCTCCTGTCCTCTTATTGATGCAGTGAGAGGAACTGCGTCTATTTAAAGGAATGATGATTAATATTTTTTTGGTGGGGGTGGAGAGGAGGTGGGGGCTCCCCAGGGCCAGAGCTTGGGCTCATTGAGATATTCTCGTGCTCAGCCCCCGAGAGAGAGTCTGTATTTGCTGATTAATCATTGGAGAATGAGTTCAGGTTAAAATTATCTTTTTTTTGGGTGCGTGGGGGGGTGGGGGGGGGGGGGGGGCGAGAGGGGAAGGAAGGAGTGGGTAATATTTTTTTTCTTCGGCTGTGAGACCCCGACTGCCCTGGAAAGATGATGTTGATGATGATAATAATAATCCTTGCGTTTGATATAGCGCCGCTTCACATCTCTGAGACGTCTCGAACAAGTGCCCCAACGTCCCCCCACACCGGCTAATCTGTGTGTCTGTCTGTCTGTCTCTCTGTGTGTGTACGTCTCTGTCACTGTCTGTGTGTGTTTGTTTATCTGTCTGTGTTTTTGTGTACTGTCTCTGTTGCTGTGTATATGCTGTGTATATGGGTGTGGGGTGTGTGTGTGTGTGTGTTTGCCTGACTGTCTCTGTCATTGTGGGTGTATTTGTGTCACTGTGTATGTTTCTGTCTGTCTGTCTCTGTGTGTGTCTGTCTCTGTGTGTGTGTGTCTGTCTCTATGTGTGTCTGTCTGTCTGTGTGTGTGTGTCTCTGTGTGTGTGTCTCTGTGTCTGTCTGTCTCTATGTGTGTCTGTGTGTCTCTGTGTGTGTGTCTCTGTGTGTGTGTTTCTGTGTGTGTGTGTCTCTATGTGTGTCTGACGGTGACTGAGCCTGGACACTGCTCACTCAGCCCCGTCTGTTGGCAAATCATTTTCTATATTAAAATTTGAGATTTGGGGAAAAATTCTGAAACGTATCTTCTCGCCGTTCGTGTGTAGGGGTTGTGTGTGTGTGTGTGTGTGTGTGTTTTTTTTACATTGAATTTTTTTATTTTAATAAAATGCTCATGAATGAAAGAAATCCGATCCCAGAGTAAGAATAATTTTTTAAAAAACTGCTTATAAACCAGAAATGGATATCTCCAAATGTTTTAATTCAAGGTTCACTCTTAGGGCTAAGATTATGAGACTCTCGCAAGGTCCTTGTTCTCAGGCGAGTGGCGTGTGGAGGTGTCTCCCTGGAACTGAGTATTATTACTAATTATTATTACTAATAATACCAATAATACTATATTACTGTTGACAATAATCTCTGCATTTGATCCTTTCTACCCCACATCCGTGCCCTGACCCGCTCTGCCTTCCCCCACCTCCGCAACATCGCCCGACTCCGCCACCGTCCCACACCGCCGCAACCATTCGGAACATCCAGGCTCGACTGCGCAAACCCCCCGCTTGTCGGCCTCCCCCACTCCCCCCCCCCACCCCTCCGCAGGCTGCAGATCATCCACGACTCTGCAGCCCGTGTCCTCTCCCGCACCGGGCTCCGTGACCCTATCAGCCCCCATCCTCGCCCGACTCCACCGGCTTCCCATCGGACAGAGGATACAGTTCAAGATCCTGGTCCTCACCTTCAAAGCCCTCCACGGTCTCGCTCCCCCCGAGCTCTCCGACCTCCAAACCCCGTACCATCCTGCTCGCTCCCTCCGCTCAGCGGGCTCCGGCCTGCTTCACGTCCCCCGCCTCGCTCGCCCCACTATTGGCAGGTGGGCCTTCTGACACTCTGCCCCCACCCGCTGGAGCTCCATCCCGCAGTCCCTCCACCTCGCCCCCTCCCTTACCGCCTTCAAGACCCATCTCAAGACCCTCCTCTTCGACTGTGCTTCCGATCTCCCTGCTTCCCACCCCCTACCCTCCACCCTCCCCCACTCTGACCCCCAGCTCAGGTCCATCACTCTGACTGTCCAGTGCCTTGGGACGTCCTCCCGACGTGAAAGGCGCTAAACAAATATCGTTGTTACAGCGCCATAATTATCTCTCTAAGGGGCTGAGGAGCAGGACAATATTCCAATGACACCAGGCAATAGCCGTGGGGTTTCCCCCCCAAGAAAAAAAAGTATTGATTATCATATGGAAGGGAAAAAAACACAGAAATTGAATGAAAAAGATCTGCTGTGTTCTAATAAACTGGCGAGGTCTCTGTTTACCGGGCAGTGAGTAGGCATCCGGTTGTTAGTCGATCGGTGGATCGCTTCCCCGGGGGTAATAATCCCCTTTTTAATATAAACAAATAATTTGCTCGCTCAATCCCCGACTGTTTGTGGGACACCGCTGTGCGCAATCGGCTGCCGTGCGCAGTGCATTTAGAGTGCGTTCAGCGAAGCCCTTTGAGACGCCGCGAAGACATGATGAGGCGCTGTATGCAAGGATTGTGTTTAATATTTATTAGTATTACTATTAATCCTTATTGACGTTAAAGATATTGCGTAATATTACTATTTATTATTATGTATTTATTGTTGTTAATATATTATTATCGCCGTATTGTCGCTGTGTGTAACGGCTGTGCTTGTGGTTGCAGACCTACGTGCCCACAGTGTTTGAGAACTACACGGCCAGTGTAGAGGTGGAGGAGCTGCGAGTGGAGCTCAGCCTCTGGGACACATCAGGTTAGTCCTCGTGCTCTCGGCTCCCGTTGTGGGCTGTTACGCAGTGGGCGCTGTGTAAGTGCAAGCTGTCGTCGTCGTTTTGACCCGTCGGCCTAGCCGCTCGCGTTGGCTGGGCACACGCGGGCCACACTCGGGGCTCGAAGGGCATCGCCAGTGCGGTGTTGGAGGTGTGATGCGATGTCTTGTGTGGTCGGTGTTGCCGTCCTTCGGACGAGGCCTTGGCCCTGAGCAGTTGCAGTTAAAAAAAAATATGGCAGTGGCGTGCTCAGGCCTGGGAACCTTCCGCCAATGTGAATTTGGTAACTTGTGACCTTCAGCTGTGCCCGGGTCAGCCTCGCTCTGCTGCCTCCTGTCCCACAGGATCTGCCACATTAACACTCAGTGACTTTCCTCCCTCGGGTGTTTAACTCTCGCATATTATTATCATATCAATATAATCCAATCCTCCTGGGGTGGGTTGGGAGGGGAGGGGAGATAAAGTGGGGCCTCCTCGGAGCTAAACTGGCTCCAAGGTGACATGTCTGGCCATGGAATCGAGGCCCCTCCACCCCCCTGTGGTGGTTTCTGCTGCTTTGTCCTGGAGTTGGGGGGGAAATTGGATTCTGTTGAGAAATCAGCAACAACAGCGGCGTCTCGGTTTGTTTAACGGTGTTGGAACCTGATGCCGGGGCCGAGGTGGGGGGGGGAATGGAGGTGACCGTAAGCGCAGTCGAAGAGGAAGGTCCTCAGTCGTTATGGGAAGGTGGGGGTTGCGAGGCGGAGGGATAGGGGGAGAGATTCCAAAGCGTCGGGGCGCAGTGGCTGAAAGCGCGGCTGCTGATGGTGGAACGGATGAGGGGACGAGGGAGAAGCCGGAGATCAGGTCAGAAAGGTAAGGAGGTGCCAGGGCCTGGAAGGGTTTTGAGTGAGTGAGAACAGCAACGAGCAGGAACTTTGAACCTTAGCCCTACTCAGTGTGTCATCAACGATCGGCCTGAACCTCGGGCCTTGGGCCAGTGTAGGCTTGTGTGGACAGGTGCTGACCAGCCTGTGGGAGATGAGATGTTTGTGAGCTGTGTGTTTGCTCGGGTGGGAGAGTGGGGGGGGGGGAAGCGAGGGTTTAATCTGCTGTCTCCGATTGGAACTGTTGTCAACATGCACATGACTCCAGCCACGTCTCCAACCCTGGACAATAGCTCCTTGTTTGACCAGTCTCTGGGGAGGAGAACAAGAGATAAACAGAGAAAGAAATCCATCTCCTATCTTCACTGGGGGGGGCGGGGGGGAGAGGTTGGGAGGCAGGGGGTTGGGAAGCCTTTGGAGCACAGATGGCTCCACACGTCTGTGGGTATGAGACTGTCACTGTGCTAGTGGGCAAATTGCTCTTCCTGGGCAGGAGATGCACGTGAGGGGGTGGGGGGGAGGCACCTGGTGGGTGGGTGAATGGATAGATGGGGAAGAAGTTCCTCTGGGTTTTGGGTACCACACTCCAAATGGTTTTGTCTGCAATGCCAGTTTCGTTACCTCACACTCTCTCTCGCTCTCTCTCCCTCTCTCGCTCTCTCTCGCGCTCTCGCTCTCTCTCTCGCTCTCTCGCTCGCTCTCTCGCTCGCTCTCTCGCTCTCTCTCGCTCTCTCGCTCTCTCTCGCTCTCTCTCTCTCTCTCGCCTCTGTTTACCAGCAGTCAGTAGGAACCCGGTTGTTAGTCGATTGGCAGATCGCTTTTCTGGGGGCAATAAACACCCCCAAAAAATGTCACTCAACCCACGGCTGTTTGTGTGGGACGCCTCTGTGCGCAGTTGGCTGCCGTGTTTCGCCCACAAAATGCACAGTCAATCCAATTTACAGTATATTCCGTGAATCGCTTTGAGACGTCTCGAAGACGAGACGGGGCACCGGGTCAGATGCCAGAGTTATTATTGATATTGTTGTTAATGAATTGTAATTGCAGAGTTAGTTTTCCCGCTCGTAACTTGGCATCCACCTCGCCCGACTCTGGTGACGTTTACTCTGGGCTAAGTAACTCCTGACTCTCTCTCCTTCTCTCCTTCTCTTCTTCTCTCTCTCTCTCTCTCTCGCTAGGTTCCCCGTATTACGACAACGTGCGGCCGCTCTGTTACAGCGACTCGGACGCTGTCCTCGTCTGTTTTGACGTCAGTCGCCCTGAAACCTTGGACAGCGCCATCAAAAAGGTGAGGAGCCTCGAGGGTCTGATCTCTGTGGAGTGGAGTCCGGCAGCTCAGTGGTTAGAGCGCTCGCCTCGCAAGGGGCACTGACTGACTCTTCTCCTGTTTCTCCTTCCTCCTCTCTCTCTCCTCCTCCTTCCAGTGGAAGACTGAGATCCAGGATTATTGCCCGACCACTAAGACCTTACTGGTTGGCTGTAAGAATGATCTCCGCACTGACTACAGCACCGTGTTGGAGCTGTCCAGCCAGAAACAAGCTCCCATTTCCCACGAGCAGGTAACGGCTTCCGGTACATTCTATTTCAGGTAGTTTTTTTTTCCCCCTGTTGACGTCGGCCATTGGTGGTGGTGTTGTTGTTCGCGTCAGGGCTGAGCTGCTGAGCAGTGCGAGGTCCGAGCCTCTTAGGGTTTCACGGCTGCTTTGCGAGGACGTCGCGATGGCCGACAAGATACCCAGTCACTACACTCCAGTGAATCCAGTGTGAGCGTATTGCGAAGTCCTCCTGACGTGAGAGGCACTGCATCAAACACAAGGGTTCGAATTGGTTACGGATTGGCTTTGACTGATTAAAGTGTTCATTTTTTTTCCCCCCTCTCTCCCTCTCCCCCCCTCTCCCTTTCTCTCCTCCCTCTTTCTCTCTCTCTCTCCTCTCTCTCTCTCTCTCTCTCCCTCTTCCTCCTCTCCCCCCAGGGCTCCCTCTCGGCCAAGCAGCTGGGGGCGGATGCGTACCTGGAGTGCTCGGCCTTCACGTCGGAGAAGAGCGTTAACAGTGCTTTCCGCGTGGCCTCGCTGGCCTGTCTCAACAGACTGAGTCCCCAGATCAAGAGCAGCCAATCCCGGAGGTTCTCCAAACGCCTCCTGACCATCCCCAGCCGCTCCGAGCTCTCCGTCGTCTCCAAAACCTTCCAGAAGCAAAAAGCCAAGAGCTGCGCCATCATGTGAAGTGGTGGTGGTGGGGCGGAGAGAGGGGAGGGAGTGTTTGGGTGGGGGGGGAGAACATGGGGGGAGGAAGGGCAGAGGGGTGGGAGGGACAATGGGGGACATTGGGAGCGGTGGGGGGGTACAACGGGGGCAGGGGAGGATTGAGGCGAGGATGGAATTGGTTGAGCAGTGGTTTGGGTGGGGGGGAGAGAGGAGTCATTGGTGTTCCATGGAGATCTGAACCATTTTGACGCTGTACCTGTGCCTGTCTGGTGGCCAAGAACTCGCCAGGAAGACCTGAGAAACCCAATGGGTCAATGATTGCTCCCCTGACATCTCGGTCTCCTTGCCCGGCCTCTGTTTTTTGGGGGGAGGGGGTTGTGGGGGATGGGGAAACCAGATGGCCGCCATGACTTTTCCCCCTCCCCTGTTAGAATTTGAGCTGTGAATTTGGACACCTGGGCTATTGGCAACCAGAATAAGTCCCAGTTTTCTCCTCCTCCCGACCCCCAAACCTCCACCCCAACCCCCACCCCCAACCCCCACCCCACAGCGCCCTCACTTTTATGGGAAGAAAAGGTAACATGGACAAAATTCTATTGGCATTGGCTTATCGGAAGCCATCTCCTTTCTCCATACAAGATGGAGAGACTGAGCCATTAATTATACAGCCTCTTATTTTTTTCTCTCGCTCTCTGCTCTATTGTGCCGTGAAATGTGTTATTCCTCTTCTCTACAGGGTGACCGCAAAATCGTGCTGTCCACCCCTATTATCTTACAAAATATATATGTATCATCATTTCTTCGAAGACTTATCAGACATTGTAACGGTCTCGGGGCTTTTTGGTCAACCTTTATGAGTAGACTCTTGTAGTTTTTGGCTTCAGCTGACTTGTCTATCATATGTATTCCCCTTTTTGTTCCGTACTCTTTCGCCTCCGGCCAAAATTGGCGGCCCCAACATATACAGTCACTAGACGTTTACGGGGTGTTCTGTGAATCACATCTTCGAGACGTCTCGAAGATGTGATGAGGCGCTGTATCAAGCGCAAGGGTCATCATTCTCATAAATCTCTGGCCAAAGGTTTCCCCCCCCCCCCCCCGTTTCACTACGCAACGCACAGTTATTACACTTCATGGGGTGGGGGAGAGGTCTGAGATGTCTCGCCAACGTGATAAAGAGCCTGATCAAATGCAGAGATTAGTGTTTATTATGTAGGAGAGGACACCGGAGTGATATCAGGGATCAATTAGGATTAGGTTGGAAACTTTGGACCCTTTGTCAGTCACTTAAATCCACCCTCACCCCCTCCTCACCACCTTAAGCCTAATGCTGCACACAATAAGAACAAGTATTGCCCATAATATTGACGTCTTCCTAGTCATAAAGTTATTCACGCTTCAATCAATCTATAGCCTGTGTTCCCTCCCCACTCCAACCCCTCTCTTTTCCCCCCTCACCCGCCAACTCCAAGCCACTATTAGTGACTGCAACGCTGGTGAATGGTCTGGGGTTTCTCTCTTTTTCTCTCCCCCCCACCCCCCCACCCACTTCCCCACCCACCCAACCTGGTCAAACCCATTCCCTCCTGTCAGACTCACACCTACATCTTGTACGTGCTGAGACACAGAGGGTGGGAGGAGGCAAGTATTTTGCAACGTAAGGAGCTTTCTTGGTGGTGGTTGCTTTTTTATGGTGGGGGTGGGGGAGGGAGAGGAAGGGGGGGTGGGGAGCGGCTGCTTGGAGGTGTTACACTAATGTGCTTTTACGTGTGGCTTCCCCGGGTTAATATTCACTCTTTAAAAGATTGGGCCTTCAAGTCTTTGGAAGGCTGTGTCGGAGACTGGTCCGTGAGTCGGTCAGTCAGTCTATCCCATCCAAAATAAAATCAGGATTCGCTGGGAACGCTCAGCAGGTCAGGCAGCATCGATGGAGAGAGGACAGTGAGTCTTTGACCTGAAACGTGAACTCACTTTCCTCTCTCCATAGATGCTGCCTGACCTGCTGAGCGTTCCCAGCGACTCCTGCTTTTTATTTCAGATGTCCAGCATCTGCAGTATTTTGCCTTTTTACTCTATCCCGCGTGTTCTGGACCCGGATTGAGTTATTGTTAAAGTGGCCGTGTTTAAATGTCCTGGGAGGAGGCGAGGGCGAGAGAGTGAGGGGCGAGGGAGTCGGCTTTTTTTTTTTGTGTGTGCCATTTTAGTATTTATTGTGTTAAGTGAGTGTGTGTGTGTGTGTGTGTGTGTGTGTGTGTGTGTTTCTGGAGGTACGTTTTTTTTTGAGTGGCGTGTTTGCCTGTTCCCGTCAACCACAGGGCGGTCCAAGTGGCGGCCCGCGGGCCGCATCCGGCCCACTGGCCGATTTCATCCAGCCCCCCCCCCATTTCATCAGGACCCCCTGGTTCCTCCGTAATCCGTAAGTGTCGTGTTTCTAGGCGGGGGCAGGGGGGACACAAAAATATTGCTTGTGTTGACCCGTTGACGTTACCCCGCCCCCCCCCCCCCCCCTCAACTAGGACACCCAGCCCTCAGCAGCCAAAAGGTTGGACCTCCTGCAGGTTGACAACCCAACTGGCTCCCTCAGCGATCTCGTTCCGTGGGTTCTAGTCTATCGTATTGTGAAACGGTGTCTGATTTGCTCCCCAGGAATCCTGTGAGCTGTGTGTTACTGTAAAAGGGCTTCCAGGGGGGAGCGCGGGGGAGCCATTGACAGAACAGTTACCAAGACTGTCGTGAGCGTAGGTTTCTCTCTCGCCCTCCGCCCTCTTCTCTCCCTCTCCCTCACCCCCCGAAATGCTGTTTCTGTAGCAAAACCTGCTGTATTTTAATGTATATATCAGCTGGGATCGCCTCTATTCAGACTTGTATATTAAACATTTTTTTTTGCTGTACAATATTTCCTTGTGGACAGAATTTAAAAACAATAAATTTGTTTTTTTTTTCTCATTCTCTTTTCGGTCTCTTCTGCCGGGGAGCGAGCGAGACACGGGCTGGGGGTGGGGGGGCGGAAAAAAAGAGGGAGAGGCGCGAGTGAGCCCGACAGCTCGTGTCGGCCTAATGGCGGTAACTGACATACTCACCTCTGCCTTGTGAGGTTGTGGTTACACACGGGAACGTGGACTTCATAGTAATAATAATCCTCGCATTTGATACAGCGCCTTATCACGTCATGGAGGCGTCTCAAAGCGCTTCACAATTATACGCTGTAAAGTGAATCGACTGGGTGTTTTGTGGGCGAAACGAGGCCGCTATTGACCGGGATTTGATTCCCGAAACCTTAGGCAATTTCGTTACTCGACACACGTCTGTGTACCGAGCGGGAACCCGGATCGCTTTCCGGGGGCAATAATCTCTTTTGGAATTTTTTTTTTAAAAAAAAGATTTATTAATAATAATAATAATAATAATTGGGTCACTAAGTCCACGACTGTGTGTGCAGGACGCCGCTGAGCGCAATTGACTGCCGCGTTTCGCCCGCAAATTACGGCTGATTTACTTTACTGTGTGTCCTGTGAAGCGCTTTGAGACGTCTCGAAGACGTGATAAGGCGCCGTATGAAATGCAATATAAACTATGACATATTCCCTCTTTCTGAGACGATTGCATTTTCTGGGTGTGTGTGGGTGGGGGTGGGGTGGGGGGGGGGGTTTAATTCACATAAAAGAAAATCCCTTTTTGCTCTCGGACTGCCTGGAATGGGGTTGCAGGGAATGGCTGGATGGTGTAGTGACTGTGAAGGGGACAAGGACTGAGTGGGAACCGCTCTGTCTCTCTCTCTCTCGTGTTGGGGCGGGCGGGCGGGCGGTCGGGGGGGGGGAAAGCTGGGGCTGAGGCTTGTTGGGAACCGCTGCGAATCTGGATTGCGATTATTAGACGCATTTATTATTCATTGAAACCCCAGGAAACCATGGCAACGAGCGCGGTCTGCTGAGCTGTCTGCGTCTGGAGCATATGCATCGCTGCCCATGATGATGGAAGGCAGAATCCATCAGCCTCCTGCTCGCGGCTGGCACGTCTGCGCAGAGAGAGCCTCCGCTTCTTAATGGGGAGGATTTTCTGCCCCCCCCCTCCCCCCCAACCCCTCCGCCAACCTCCACCCCGTCAGTTGATCTCGGTCAATTAGCATTGACCCTGTTGGGGGTTGGGGGTGTGGGGGGGGGGCGAGGGGGGCGAGGGAGAAGGGGTGACGTGAGGTTGTATTTCCTCCTGCCGTGAAAGGCGCCAGACAAGTGTAAGTTGTTGGTCTTGTCGTGCTCCCCGTGCCTCCGCCTGGCTGTGTCGGAGATTTGCTTTGAAGCCGATCGGGTTATTACACCGTCGCGGTGAAAGGCAGCGAGTGCTTTGCGGGGGAAGCTCCGCTCACTATTCCGGGAGTCGCAGAGAGTCTGAACGGATCCCGGGATAACCCTGCCCCGTCAGGAAGTTGTGGCTCTGAGCTCAGAGCCGGGTTTCAGCCAGATCAGTTGTCACCCTCTCCTCTTTACCCCCCCCCCACCCCACCCCACCACCCCATTCAAACCCTGGGGTCCCTTCTCCACCCCTCCCTCACAACACACACCCAAGCCCGTAGTGGAGTCCCACAAGCATAGTGGTTCCCAAGTGAGAGGATCGGTTCCCAGGTGAGATGAAACCTCAGGCAAGTTTCTTTACCCCACACTCCACTATTAACCCAACGGTAACTAGGAACCCAGTTGTTAGTCGATTGGCGGATCGCTTTTCCAAGGATAATAATCCCTTCAAAAGAAAATAAGAATTTGGTCACTCAATCCACGACTGTATGTTGGGCACTGCTGTGCGCAATTGGTTGCTGCGTTTTGCCCACAAAATGCGGTCACTACACTTTACAGTGTATTCTGTGAAGCGCTTTGAGACGTCTCGAAGACGTGATAAGGCGCTGTATCGAATGCAAGGATTGGTATAATATTATTTTCAGGTCGTGCTTGAAGACCTTCCTCTTCGCCAGTGCTTACGGTCGCCTCCCCCGCTCCCCCTGGCTCGGCATCGGGCTCCACCACTGTTAGGTCCTCTCACTTGCGAACCGCTAGACTTGTAGGACTCCACTTCCGGCTCGGGTGTGGGTTGTGGGGGAGGGGTGGAGAAGGGACCCCAGGGTTTGAATGGGGTGTGGGGGAGAGATGCCTCTGGCGAGTTGTTGTTGTTTCCACCATTCCTGAGATTGGGAACAGAAAACCTGGCGTCCAACGTTTAACTGGGAAGGTCGGAGGGAGGGAGCGAGGAAGGGAAGTGAGAGCTTTATGATGTTGAGGAGAAAGTACTTTTACATAAGGAACCATAATAGGAGCCAACGCCTGGAATGCAGCCAAAGCCCACAGCTCGGGATGGTACATGTGTTGTATTTATAAGGCTCCCGTCAGCCTCTATCAGGGCTGATTTGCTCCTTGGCTCCCGGATCCTGGTCAAGGAGGCCCAAGGCTCTCTTTGTGCTCCCGTCACGTTCTTGTTGGAGCGTAAACCAAACGCCGGAAGCTGAGCAGCGAGAGGGAGGAGGGAGGAGGGATTGCAATTTGCTGTGTACCAACGGCAGCCTTGTTTGCCTACAAAACGGCTCACAAAACCCTTTCGCAACGACTGGTTCCAGCCTCCTCCTTGTCCTCCGGACCCTCCACCCCCCCCCCACCCACCCCCCACCATCGGCGGCCGTGCTTTCAGCCGCTACTCCCCGAAGCCGTGGAACTCTCTCCCTCAATCCCTGTGCCTTGCCCCCCGCGCCTCTCCTCTCGCCCCATTTTCAATGTAAATGCTGTGCAAGTGCAAGTTGTTGTTGTTGATGTTTACTACCCTTAATAACAATCTGTACCTTTGACACAACGCCTTCCAGGGTGCGAGGATGCCTCAGAGCGCTTCGCAGGATGTACCCCCAAAGTGTAGTGACTGTGTGTTTTGTGAGAAGAAGGACAAGAAAGAGGTGTTTCTTTCTCTTTGGGGTCCTGGTTGACAAGTCATCGTCTCCTCCCACTCCCCCCACCACTCAGATAAATTGCTTGTTCACTCCATGGCTGGTTATGAGGATATCCTCTCCCCCCCCCCCACCTTCAAATCCCTCCTAACGACTTTCCTGTTTTGATCGTACTTGTGGTCACCTCCCCCCATCCCTCTCCCCCTGGCTCGGGGTCAGCCTCCGCCACTGTCAAGCGCCCCGGGACGCTACCCCGCGTGAAGGGCGCTGTGTCCAATGCAAGTTGTCGTTGTTGTGCGTAGCCCAGACACAGTGCCACCTCCTGCCTATTGCCTGCCTTTTCATTCAGAACTCTGCAGCTCGTGTACTGTCCCGCACCAGGCTTCGGGACCACATCACTCCCACCCTCACCCTCGCCCTCCCCCTCACCCTCGCTCGCCTCCACTGGCTCCCCATCCCCCAGAGGATCGAATTCAAGATCCTCATCCTCACCTACAAGGCCATTCACGGCCTCGCTCCCTCCTACCTCTCCGACCTACTATCCCCCTACCTACCCGCCCGAACCCTCCGTTCCTCTGGCTCCGGTCTGCTCCACATCCCCCGCCCCAACCGCCCTACCATCGGTGGCCGGGCCTTCAGCCTCTCAGCCCCGAGGCTCTGGAACTCTATCCCCCAGTGCCTTCGCCGCTTCCTCCCTTTCCTCCTTCAAGGCCGGTCTCAAGACCTTTCTCTTTGACCTTCAGCCTTCAGCTCCCCTCTCGACTCTCTACCCCCTCCTCGCTCCCTCCCTTCCCTCCCCTCACCATTTCTCCCCAATGCTCGGGTCCTGACCCAACTGTACAGCGCCTTGGGACGTCCTCCCGACATGAAAGGCGCTCAATAAATGGAATCTTGTTGTTGTTGTTGCCTACGATGACAGTCACTACACTCAACAGCTATTCTCTCCACAATTAGACGGCAGCGGAGTGGCTGGTCCCACACTGTTGGACCTCTGTCAGCTCGCCGCATTAATCAGCCCCGTCACCGATGCAGTCAGTGTTGCAGCTGGGAAGCTGCCTTGTTGGGTGTCTGCTTCCCCCTGTTGGTGTCTCGCCAGCGCCGCAAGGAGCTCTCAGTCTGGTCCAGAGAGCCTTCAGCACAGTGATGGTATTGGTTAGAGCCCTCACCTCGCAAGCGAGAGGAACTGGATTCGATTCCTGGGCAGCGCGAAACCTGAGCGAAGAACCTAACCTCAGTGGTTAGAGCACTCGCTTTGCAAGTGAGAGACCTGAGTTCAATCCCAGGCAGGTCAGGGGGAAACCTTGGGCAAGTTTCCTCCCTCCACACGATATTTGGTGAGCGAGCAGTTAAGTAGGGACCCTCAAGCGCTCCGGGAATCTACCGTGTGTGAAGGGCACGATATGAATGCAAGTTGTTCTTGTTGCTGTTGGAGTCCTGTTTACAGTCACTTTACAGTGTGTTCTGTGAAGCGCTTTGGGACGTCCTCCCGACGTGAAAAGCGCTATATCAAAATGCGAGGATTATTATTATTATTATGTTGTTGGTCGATTGGCGGATTGCTTTCCGGTGAATAATAATCCTTCCCAAAAGAAAAAAAAAATCCACGACTGTTTGTGGGACACTGCTGTGCGCAATTGGCTGCTAGGCTTTGCCCACAAAATATACAGTCAATTTCCCCAAATAAGAAATCCCATTAAGAGATGCTGCAAAATAGCCCCTCCCACTTTCGCTCGCCCCCTTTGAGTGAGTGACAGGCAGCTGCCGTTCCTCCCGCGCTAGGGGACGTTGTCCTTGGATGGTGATGGCGGTGGAACCTCGCGAGCATGCGCAGAGAGTGGCCTCCCGGGAAGTGTAGTTCTATGTGCGTGCGGCGGTGGCTGTACTCGGCGCATGCGTAGTGCGCGAACCATCCGGTTGTTGTCCGGCTCTGTTCTCGGGCGCATGCGCCACGCAGGGGACACTGGGAAGAGTCGTCCGCGGCTGTGCACGGCGCGTGCGCGACGCAAGGGACGCCGGGGAGTGTAGTTCGCGGTTGTACTCGGCGCATGCGCGGTCGCCACAGACCGCAAGTCCCAGAGTGCCCTGAGAGCAATGGCGGCGGTGCCGAGGCCCCGCGGGCTGTGAGCAGGTGAGTCCCGGGCTTTTCGGGCCTGGTCCCTGCACCTTCGGCTCCGGGGAGGGGGTAGCCTCAGGATGCCGGTAACACGCCCACAGAACACCCCCCCACACCCCACCACACAGACCTCCCCCCCCCACACACACACAGACCCCCCCCCCACCCACACACAGACCTCCCCCCCCACACACAGACCTCCCCCCCACACACACACACACACCTCCCCCCACACACACACACACACCTCCCCCCCACACACACACACACACACACCTCCCCCCAACACACACACACACACACCTCCCCCCCCCCCCACACACAGACCTCCCCCCCCCCCACACACACACCACACAGACCTCCCTCCCCACACACACACAGACCTCCCCCCCCCCCCACACACAGACCTCCCCCCCCCCCCCACACACACACACAGACCTCCCCCCCCCACACACACACAGACCTCCCCCCCCCCCACACACACAGAGACCTCCCCCCCCACACACACACACAGACCTCTCCCCCCCCCACACACACAGACCTCCCCCCCCCACACACACAGACCTCCCCCCCCCCACACACACACAGACCTCCCCCCCACACACACACACACACAGACCTCCCCCCCCCACACACACACAGACCTCCCCCCCCCACACACCACAGACCTCCCCCCCCCCACACACAGACCTCCCCCCCCCCACACACACACAGACCTCCCCCCCCCCCTCCACACACACAGACCTCCCCCCCCCCTCCCACACACACAGACCCCCCCCCCCACACACACAGACCTCCCCCCCCCTACACACACACAGACCTCCCCCCCACACACACACACAGACCTCCCCCCCTCCCACATACACAGACCTCCCCCCCCCCCACACACACAGACCTCCCCCCCACACACACACAGACCTCCCCCCTCCCACACACACAGACCTCCCCCCCCCCCTCCCACACACACAGACCTCCCCCCCCCCCACACACACACAGACCTCCGCACACACACACACACAGACCCCCGCGCACACACACACACACACAGACCTCCGCACACACACACAGACCCCCCCCACACACACAGACCTCCCCCCCACACACACACAGACCTCCCCCCCCCACACACACAGACCTCCCCCCCCCCTCCCACACACACAGACCTCCCCCCCCCGCCCCCCACACACACACAGACCTCCCCCGCACACACACAGACCTCCCCCCCCACACACACACACACAGACCTCCCCCACACACACAGACCTCCCCCCACACACACAGACCCCCCCCCACACACACACAGACCTCCCCCTCCCACACACACACACACACAGACCTCCCCCCCACACACACAGACCTCCCCCACACACACACAGACCTCCTCCCCCACACACAGACCTCCCCCCCACACACACAGACCTCCCCCCCCCCCACACACACAGACCTCCCCCCCTCCCACACACACAGACCTCCCCCCCCACACACACAGACCTCCCCCCCTCCCACACACACAGACCTCCCCCCCCACACACACAGACCTCCCCCCCTCCCACACACACAGACCTCCCCCCCCCACACACACAGACCTCCCCCGCACACACACAGACCCCCCCCCACCCACACACAGACCTCCCCCTCCCACACACACACACACAGACCTCCCCCCACACACACAGACCCCCCCCCACACACACACAGACCCCCCCCCACACACACAGACCTCCCCCCACACACACATGACCTTCCCCCCACACACACACAGACCTCCCCCCCACACACACAGACCTCCCCCCAGACACACAGACCTCCCCCACACACACACCTCCCCCCCACACACACAGACCTCCCCCCCACACACACAGACCTCCCCCCCCACACACACAGACACAGGTCGGAGCTTGTAATAATGATTATTTGATGTCGCGCCTTATCACGGCGTCGAGATATCTCAAGCAAAGCGCTTCACGGGATATCCTGTAAGGTGTAGTGACTGTGTGTCTGGTGGGCGAAACGCGGCGGCCAATGTTGCACTGCAACGTCCCCACAGACAGCCGTGGATTGAGTGTCCGAGTGTTTTTTTGTTCTGGGGTGGTTATTACCCCCGGAAAAGTGATCCGCCAATCGACTGACAACCGGATGCCTATGGACTGTTGGTAAACAGAGGCGTGTGGTGCCTAAGGTTTCACCTCCTCTTGGAATCAGACGCAGGTGAACGCTCTAACATCTACGCTGAGGGATTCCAATAGCAGCCCAACGGTGGGGGTGGGGGGGTTCGTAACCCAGCGATACAGGCTTGTGGCCCGCGTGAGGTTTCATTTGCATTTTTGTGTTTTGCAGCAGTTTGGTGACAGTACTGAACCGAAGATTTGCCGTTTTGCCTCGGAACGGTAAGGTTTCTTCCCTATTAATATATTAATAATCTTTACATTTGGCGCAGCGCTTTGTCGCGTCAGGAGGGTGTCTCAAAGCTTACTGTGTATTTCGTAGATGAACGTGGCAGCCAATTTACCTCCAATAACGTCTCGCCAACAGCCATGAGGTGAATGACTGATATCTTGTTCTGAAGCTAATAGTAACTAGTTTGAAGCTGTCAGTCAGTCTCACTCTCATCCGAGTTAGGGGATGCGGATTCAAGCTCCTAAATTGGGAACGTTGAGATCACAGTCCTAAGCTGATGCTCCGGCACAGAGCTGGGGAAACGCTGCATTGTCAGAGGTGCCACTCTTGGGAATACATGTTAAATCAAGGTCCCATCTGCGTTTCTTCAAATCAATGGTAAAGATGCTGCAACACTGTTGGAAACGATAATAATAATAATAATAATAATCCTTGCATTTTGATATAATGCTTTTCACGTCGGGAGGACGTCCCAAAGCGCTTCACAGAACACACTGTGAAGTGAATTGACTGTATATTTGTGGGCGAACGCGGCAGCCAATTGCGCACAGCAATGTCCCACAAACAGTCATAGATTCAAAATGACCAATTTATTATTGTTTTTGGTTTTGGAGGGATTATTATTAGGCTCTGTGTGGAGTAAGGAAACTTGCCCAAGGTTTCGCCCTCTGCCGGGGATTGAACTCAGGTCTCTCACTTGCAAAGCAAGTGCTCTAACCACTGAGCTACAGGATAAGGGAGTTTCTCCAGGCTGACTACTCTCCAGAAAAAGTTGTGGAGTTCCAAAGGATGGGGGCGGAGAGACTGAATGCCCGGCTGCCCAGGGTCAGGACTGGAATTCAAAGAAATTAACCTTCCCATAATCATCATCATAATAATAATAATCCATGCATTTGACGTAGCGCCTTATCACTTCGTTGAGACGTCTCAATTAATGTTTCGCCCACAAAGTATACAGTCAATTCCCTTTACAGTATATTCTGTGAAGCGGTTTTGAGGAAACGTCTCGAAGATGTGATTTAGGCGCTGCATCAAATGCAAGGATTATTATTCATTATCAATTAATCATTCATGTCATGGCTGGTTGTTGGACGCTGCTGCTCGCAGATTGGGCCAGTTGTGTCAGTCACAGTCACTGCACTTGACAGCAAATTCCTGTGAAGCGTTTTGGGGTGTTTTGCAGGTGTTACAGGTGCGGTGTCAAAGGATGGAAGGATTGTTAGTTAAGCTGTCTTGTGTTCCCGATAGATGGTCGGCGAGATCATGGAAAGGAAGAAATCCCCCGACCGGGCGAACTCCAAAGAGCGGGAAAGGGAGCGGGAGAAGAAACGTTCCCGATCGCGATCCCGAGACCGGGAGAGGAAACGCTCCAACTCCAAAGAGAGGAAGCATCTACGATCCCGGGACAGGAAGAGATCACGGTCAAAATCCGTGGAGCGGGACATCGAGAGGTCAGTATCGGGTCCCGAGCTGGGGGTTGGGATCAAGAGGGTGGAGGGTGGGAAGGTGGGTGTAGGAGGGTGACTGAAGGGGAGGTCGAAGAGGAGGGTCTTGAGATGAGTCTTGACAGAGGCAAGGGAGGGGGTAAGGCAAAGGGACTGTGGGATGGGGCAGAGAGGCTGAAGGCCTGATCGCTGACGGTCTCGACTGGAGTTAACCTTCCCAGTCTTGATATAATAATGATAATAATCCTTGCATTTGATATAACGCCTTATCACATCTTCGAGACGTCAAAGTACTTCACAGAATATACTGTAAAGTGTAGCGACTGCGTGTCTTGTGAGCCACGTAAGCCAAACCAAAGTGGGAGAAAAAAAAACACAGGGCTCCTGTTCTCTCTGAGGGTGGTGTCTGCGTCTGTGACCAGCTCTTAACTCTTACAGAGATCGACACCACGGGAAGGACAAAGACCGAGAGCGCGGGAAGAAGGATCGAGACAATCACCGGAAAGACAAGCTGAGGAAGCGATCGAGGTGAGAAATGGAGCCAAACCGCGCGTGGGTGGGTGGGTGGGTGTCTGTCCGTCCGTCTGGGTGCCCAGTCCTGTGTCACGCTGGACACCTGAAACCTTCAGCACTCTAGTTTCATACAGACGTATTATTCCGTTCCAATCAATATCTCTGGGATTTCCATGTGTAGGTGGGATGCATGGAACTCTCGATTTGGTTTAGCTCGGTGATGGGTTTCCGCATGACAGACACCCCCGGAAAGCGATCCACCAATCGCCTAACAACCGGGTTCCTACGTACTGCTAGGTAAACAGAGGCGCGTGTGTGGAGTAAGGAAACTTGCCTAAGGTTTCACTCTGCCCGGGAATCAAACCTAGGTCCCCTCGAGTGCTCTAACCACTATGCTACAGGACTCCCAGTAAGGTGGGGAGCAGGGTTTGCTGGAGAGCGTTCAGGAGCAGCAAGTCTTGCTGGTTTCCCAGCCTCCCCCACGCCCCCCCACTCCCTCCTCAATCTCCCGATCATCACGGCTGCTGTTTCAGGCTGTTTGAGGAACGTAACCGCCCCCTTCTCTCTCCACAGGAGCAACTCCCCGAATAAATTAAGGGACTCAAAATTTCGGAAAGACAAGGATATCAAGAGGGAGGAGGACGAGGAAGAGGAGAAGAAGAAAGCAAAGGTGGGTTCGATGGAGATCAGTTTCCTGCATGTTGGGGCTGCCCCCCCGAGCAGGTCATTGATAGATATTCTGACACCCACCCCCTCCCCACGCTCTGTGCCGTTACTGATCTCAGCCCTGCTCTGCGCTGAGTGCCTGGTGTTGTACAGTTCAAGATCCTGGTCTTCACCTTCAAAAGCCCTCCATGGCCTCGCTCCTCCCTACCTCTGTGACCTCCTAACCCCCTACCAACCTGTCCGTTCCCTACACTCAGCGGGCTATGGCCTGTTTCATGTCTCCCCGCCTTGCCAGCCCCACCATCGATGGGCGGGCCTTCAGCCACTCTGCCCCCACCCTCTGGAACTCCATCCCACAGTCCCTCCACCTCGTCACCTCCCTCGCCTCCTTCAATACCCTCCTCTTCGACCCCGCCTTTGGTCACCTTCCTACCCCTACCCTCCCCGCCCTCCACCCCGTCTGATCCCAACCACCAGCGCGGGTGCGGATTCCTGACTGTCCAGTGCCTTGGAAAGTCCTCTTGATCGTGAAAGGCGGCGTGTAAATATAATTTGTTGTTGTTGTGTGAAGCGTTGTGAGACGGTGTGCCGTGTAAGTGCGAGCCGCTGCAGTAACGCTGCGTGTGGTGTGATTTCAGGCACAGCCCCTCTCGCTGGAGGAACTCCTGGCCAAGAAGAAAGCTGAAGAAGAAGCAGAGTCCAAGGTACCAGAGACCGGGTCCTTCTGCCCTGACAGCGTCATTTTCATCGGGGGAGGTGTGGGGTTGAGATCAGGACGGGTGGAGGGCGGGCATAGAAGGGTGGCCAAAGGCTCAGTCGAAGCGGAGCGTCTTGAGACATGCCTTGAAGGTTGCAAAGGGAGGGAGCGAGGCAAGGAGAACATGGGATGGAGTTCCATAGGATGGGGGCAGAGAGGCTGAAGGCCCGACCGCCAATGGTGGGATGGGGGCCGTGGAGCAGGGATGGGGCCATGGAGCAGGCCAGAGCCTGCTGAGCGGAGGGAGAGGACAGGCTAATATGGGAATCGCAACACAAATAATTTAAGTCTGATCTGTCTCTCGGGTTTGCTCCCCAACACCCTTTAGTAAGATTCCTAAAGTGTGCCTGCCGTCCTTGAGCTGCCAACCATTCCCTTGGGCAAGTTTCCTTCCTCCAAATGCCTCCGTTTACCCAGCAGTAAGTCGGAAGCCGGTTGTTAGTTGATTAGTGGATCTGGCTTTGCTCCGTGTCTCCTCAGAACTAGTGGGAACCTGCGCTCGCGTCACGTCCCCCTCCTGTCCTTGGTGTCGCGAGCGCAGGGTTTTTCAAGTGCGGGTTAACAAGGATCCTTTGCCCCTTTCCCGTTTTCCCCCCCACCCACCCACCCCTCCTCCTCTCTGTGTCACAGCCCAAGTTCCTGTCCAAAGCCGAGCGGGAAGCGGAGGCGATACGGCGACGGCAGCTGGAGGTGGACGAACGCCGGAAAGTCCAGGATGACGAGCGGAAGAAACGGAAACAATTCCAGGAATTGGGAAGGAAAATGCTGGGTGCGTGAGTGTGAGGGGAAAGGCCGTAAATACCGTGTGTGTGTGAATATCTATAAGGATTATCGACTGGAAACTCCAGCTCTGTCTTGTCACAGTATCTCAAAAGAGCATTCGTCCTTCCCACGGAACTGCAGTAGCGTGTAGTGACTGTGTACTTTTATTACTGACTAATGCAGCAGTTGATTTGCAGTCAGCACCTCTGACAATGCAGGGTCTCCCCCCACATCCCAACCCCCCCCCCCCCCCCTCCCCCCGTGTCGCACAGGACTCCGGTCTGCTTCACGTCCCCGCGCCTTGCCCACCTCACCATTGGCAACAACAACAACAAGATTCCATTTATAAAGCCTTCAGACTCCCTGCCCCCACCCTTTTTAACTCCATCCCAAAGTCCTTTTGCCCCCCCCCCCACTCCCTTGCCTTCTTCAAGACCCTCCTCTTCAACCGTGCCTTTTGGTCACCCTCCACCCCTCCTGATCCCAGCTCGGGTGCGGATCCCTGACTGTCCAGCGCCTTGGGACGTCCTCCTGCCGTGAAAGACACAGTGTAAATGTAATTAGTTGTTGTTGTAGTTGAATGTCAGACTGGACTGTGAGCTCAGAGACCCTGACTTGGGGCTTGAACCCACAACTTCCCGAGCCAGAGGTGAGAGAGCTACCGACTGAGCCAGGCTGCTGGAAGGTGGATCTGGCTGTTAGAGTAATGTCTTGCCCCTCCTACAGAGGACCCGCAGGAGAGAGACCGGCGTGAGCGGAGGGAGAGGATGGAGCGGGAGAGCCAGGGAAACGAAGAGGAAGGTGGCCGACTGAAGATTCGCGAAGAGAAAGACAAGACCAAAGAGCTGCAGGCGATCAAGGTAGCCATCTGTGAGCCCTACACGGCTGGTGTGCGTGTATGTGTGTGTGTGGATTTCGCGCTGTGTGCGCGTGTGTGTCGCCCTGTGCGTGTGTGTCGCGCTGTGCGTGTGTGTCGCGCTGTGTGTGTGTCGCGCTGTGTATGTGTTGTACTGTATGACTGACTGGTGTGTATTTTACAGGAACGCTACCTGGGGGGAGTTAAGAAACGTCGGCGAACACGACACCTGAATGACAGGAAGTTTGTGTTTGAATGGGACGCGTCTGAAGACACATCCCTGGATTATAACCCCTTGTGAGTATCCTCCACACCCTGTGTTGTAGGTGGGTCATACAAACTCCTCTCAGCAGCCACTCAAATACCCAACACTGACCGTGCCGCTCGATGCTTGTGTTAACTCTTTAAGCCTCAGGTCTGGTGTACAGCACCGAGAGCAGCCTCAGTGCTACCTTGTGGATGGAAGTTGTGCAAAAATATCTGTGTACTTCTGTCTGCTGGTGTCCGGTGGTGTGATGCTGTTTTGTGTGGTGGAGAAGAGAGGTGTGTGAACACACTGTGTGTGTGAATGTCCGTGCGTGTGTGAATATGTGTGTGTCTGGTGTGCTTTGTGTGTGTCTGTCGTGCTCTGTGTGTGTCTGTGTGTGTGAAGAAGAAAATGAATTGGGAAGCGGGAGAGAGCGAGAGAGAACGATGGGTCTTGTCCTCAGTGAGTATGGCTGAAGGGAGCTTCTCTGTGACCAGGTACAAAGAGCGACATCACGTGCAGCTCCTGGGCCGAGGATTCATCGCTGGCATCGACCTGAAGCAGCAGAAACGTGAGCAGTCGCGCTTCTACGGGGACCTGATGGAAAAGAGACGGACGCTGGAGGAGAAGGAACAGGAGGAGTGAGTCCGGCTCTCGCTCGTCCTTAATAATAATAACCCTTGCATTTGATTTAGTGCCTTATCACGTCGTCGAAACGTCTCCACGCCCTTCGCAGGATACACTGTACAGTGGATTGACTGTGTATTTTGTGGGTGACAGCCAATTGCGCACAGCAGTGTCTCCACAAAGAGTCCTGGATTGAGTTGACACTTTTTTGGGGTGGGAAGGAGTGGGGTGTGTTGATTACCGCCGAAAAGCAATCCGACAGTAGACAAACAACCGTGTTCCTACTTAATGCGAGGTAAACAGAGGCGTGTGTGTGTGGAGTAAGGAAACTTGGCTAAGGTTTTGCCCCGCCTGGGAATCAAACCTGGGTCATCTCGCTTACAAGAGGACCAAGCCGTTGGCCCTTCAGCCTCTCTGCCCCCACCCTTTGCAACTCCATCCCGTAGTCCCTCCCGCCTCACCCCTTCTCTCGCCTCCTTCAAGACCTTCCTCTTCGACCGAGCCTTCAGTCACCCCTTCCCCCAGCCTTCCTGCCGTCCACCCCTCCTGCAACTCCCAGCTCGGGTCCAAATCCCTGACAGTCCAGTCCAGCACCTCAGGGCGTCCTCCCGATGTGCGAGGCGCTGGGTAAATGTAATGTGTTGTTTTTGGGGTGTGTTGCGCAGGGCAAGGTTACGGAAAGTGAGAAAGAAGGAAGCCAAGCAGCGCTGGGACGATCGGCACTGGTCGCAGAAGAAACTGGACGAGATGACGGAGAGGGACTGGAGAATTTTCCGGGAAGATTACAGCATCACCACCAAGGGTGGCAGAATTCCCAACCCCATCCGGTCCTGGAAAGATTCCAGCATGCCGGCCCACATCCAGGAGGTCATTGACAAGTGTGGCTATAAGGTAAGCCTGGAGTCCCTGTAGCTCAGTGGTTAAGAGCACTCGCCTCGCAAGCGAGAGGACCTGGGTTCGATTCCCGGGCAGGGAGAAACGTTGGGCAAGTTTCCTTACTCCCCACACACGCCTCTGTTTACCTACCCCGCAGTAAGTGGGAACCCGATTGCTAGTCGATTGGCAGATCACTTTCCCCCGGGGTAATATTCCCTTCAAAAAAATATATAATAATAATAAATTGGTCGCTTCAATCCACGACTGTTTGTGGGGACGCTGCTGTGCGCAATTGGCTGTCGCGTTTCGCCCACAAAATACACAGTCAATTCACTGTACAGTGTATCCTGAGAAGCACTTTGAGACGTCTCAACGACGTGATCAGGCGCTATATCAAATTCAAGGATTATTATTGAACCCACAAACCTTCTGACCCAGAAGCAAGAGCGCAGACTGCCCCACGGGCTTTATTAAGCGCCGCTTCTGCCGTCTCTTCTTCGCACCGCAGCCCAGTGTTTTGGGGGTTCAGCCGGGTGTCTGACACGCACACCCTTTGCTGTGTTACAGGATCCCACTCCCATCCAGCGCCAAGCCATTCCCATCGGCCTGCAGAACCGGGATATCATCGGCGTGGCTGAGACCGGCAGCGGCAAAACAGCCGCCTTCCTCATTCCTCTGCTGGTCTGGATCACCACCCTCCCCAAGCTGGACAGGTAAGGTACTGGAGCCTGACCGGCACGAGTGGGAGGGTGGAGAGGGGGAGAGAGAGGGGGGGAACGGACGGGGAGTGGGAGAGAGAGAGACAGAAAGCCAGAGAGAGAGAGGGAAGGGGAGCGAGGGGTGGGAGAGTGAGAGTGGAAAGGAGAGAAAGGGGGAGGGAGTAAAAAGAGAAGGGAGTGGGAGAGATGTGGAAGGACCGACGGAGGAAGAGAGGGAGGGGGGAGCAAGGGAGAGGGAAGGAGAGCGAGAGAGTGCTTGAGAAGGAACAAATGAGGGAGGTGAGTGAGAGAGAGAGCGCGACGGGCTTTGTGTTTGTTGTATCTGTGGTGTGTGACCTCCGCTGTGTCCCCCGGGTGCACAGGCTGGAGGAGTCCGACCAGGGTCCGTACGCCATTATCCTGGCTCCCACCCGCGAGCTGGCACAGCAGATAGAGGAGGAGACCATCAAGTTCGGCAAACCCCTCAGCATCCGCACCGTGGCCGTGATCGGAGGCATCTCCCGAGAGGATCAGGGCTTCCGCCTGCGCATGGGGTGTGAGGTGAGTTCTCCCCCACCCCTTCACCCCCGCACACAGATTTGTTTTTGATCTGTTTGGTTTTGTCCGACACGAAGAGTGCAGGAGGCAGGGAAACCCGAGGGGAGACAGGGACGTGGGAACAAATGAGGAGTGATCGATCAAACAATCAGGGTGTGACTTCAGCCCAGTGACGATGCCGGGAGGGGATCAGTGTGTGGGGATGGGGGAGTGGGAGGGGTATTTTGTAAGTTTTTTTTTTTCCCAGCCGGGTGTCTGACACGCACGGAAACCCGTCACCGTGACCAGCCGGGTGTCTGACACGCACGGAAACCCGTCACCGTGACCAACCGGGTGTCTGACACGCACGGAAACCCGTCACCGTGACCAGCCGTGTGTCTGACACGCACGGAAACCCGTCACCGTGACCAGCCGGGTGTCTGACACGCACGGAAACCCATTACCGTGGCTTAAGAGTCTCAAAACCCGACTGAGAATTCCCCACATCCCACCCACACATGGAAACCGCAGAGATAGATTGTCAGAATGGAATGCGCTCTCTCTCTCTCCCTGGAGGGACGCCCCGTGCTTACCTAATTCCGGAGAGTATTAGGCGCACGTTGGCGAGAGCCAAGGCTTGGGGGGAAAGCCCAGAGTGTGCGTTGGGGTAACTGCTGGAGTCTAACCAGCTAAACCCACACATAGCTTGGCCATTGGGATAGAGATTGGGGGAGGGAACATAGTAATAAGAGTATTACTTATTCAGCCTTCCGAGACTTACGTAATTCTATAAGATCATGGCTGATCTGTACTTTAACTCAATTTACCTGCCTTAGCCCTGTATCCCTTGATACCCTGACAAACATTTGTCCACCACAGTCTTGAAGATGTGAACGGATCCAGCATCCACAGCATTTTGGGGGAGAGCGAGAGAGAGAGAGAGATTTCCACTAACCCTTTGGGTGGTAAACTGCTTCCTGATTCCACTCCTAAATGGCCTGGCCCTAATTTTAAGATTATGCCGCCTTGTTTTGGAAAGAGAGTGGGGTGGGGAAACGAGAGAGAGAGGGGGCGCGGAGCGACTGACAGAGAGAGAGCGAGAGAGAGCAGTGATCGTGTGTGTGTTGCCGGCAGATTGTGATCGCGACACCGGGTCGGTTGATTGATGTCCTGGAGAACCGGTACCTGGTGCTGAGCCGCTGCACCTATGTGGTGCTGGACGAGGCAGACAGGATGATTGACATGGGCTTCGAGCCCGACGTGCAGAAGATTCTGGAGTACATGCCCGTGTCCAATCAGAAGCCCGACACCGACGAGGCCGAGGATCCGGAGAAAATGATGGCCAACTTTGAGTCGGGAAAGCACAAGTACAGACAGGTACACGGGGGTGGGGGCTGGGACAAGTGGGGGTGGGAGCAGGGACACGGGACAGGTAAACAGGGCAAGTAATTCACAGAGACCTGTCGCTCAGTGGTTAAAGCACTCGCCTCGCAAGCGAGAGGACCCGGGCAGGGCAAAACCTTAGACGGGTTTCCTTACTCCACACACACAGCTTCTGTTTAACCGTCAGTAAATAGGAACCCGGTTGTTAGTTGATTGCTTTCCGGGGGTAATAATCCCCTCCAAAAAAAAAAAACATCTGGATATCCTGTGAAGCGCTTTGAGACGTCTCGACGACGTGACAAGGTTCTATATCAAATTATTATTATTATTATTGCATTGACTCAGGGTAGGGACATGGGGCAGGGAATGCGACGGGGAGAGTAATAATAATAATACTTGCATTTGATTGAGCGCCGTATCACGTCTTCGAGAACGTCTCAAAGCGCTTCACAGGAAACACTGTAGAGTGGAGTGAAACATGGCACTAGGCTGCACGGGGAGGGAAGGTAAGAGGGAGGGAGGGAGGGTGGGTGGATGGGTGTGTGTGACCCTTCCTCATGTTGTTGTCTGTCGCTTGTCTCCCCGGGGTGGCAGACGGTGATGTTCACGGCCACCATGCCGCCCTCGGTGGAGCGCTTGGCTCGCAGTTACCTGCGGCGCCCGGCTGTGGTGTACATCGGCTCAGCCGGCAAACCTCACGAGCGTGTCGAGCAGCGGGTCTACCTGATGTCGGAGGGTGAAAAGAGGTAGGTGCCTCCCAGCAGGGCAGTCCCTGTACTGTACACCACCCCCTCCTACCTCTAGTGACCTTCTAACGCCCTACCAACCTGTCCGCTCGCCGGGCTCCGGACTGCTTCGCGTTCCCCGCCCCACCCCACCACCGACGGGTGGGCTTTCAGCCTCTCTGCCCCCCCCACACCCCCCACCCACCCTCTGGAACTCCATCCCACAGTCCATTACGCCTCGCCCCCTCCCTTGCCTCCTTCAAGACCCTCCCTCCTCTTCGACCGACAGTGCCTTCGGTCGCCCTCCTACCCCTACCCTCCCCGCCCGCCACCCCTTCCTGATCCCAACCACCAGCTGACTGTCCAGTTGTTGATGGTGACACCAACCACGTTGCACACACGACACAGATTTTCTCTCTCTCTCTCTCTCACACTCTTTCTCTGTCCTTCGCTCTTACCCATTCTCTCTCCCACCCCCTCCCTCTCCCCCACTCTCTATCTCCCCCCGCCTCACATCCCGCCAGCTCTCCCCCTCTCGCCCGCTTAATCTCTTTCCCCTCCATCTCACGCCCTCTTTCTACCACCTCCCTCTCGCCCCCTCTCTCTCTCTCTCTCTCTCTCTCTCTCTCCCCCTCTCACCCGCTCTCTCTCTTTCCCCCCCCTCCCTCACTCTCACCTCTCTGGAGAGCTGGTGCTGTGAGGAGCACGTGAGGGTGGGCGACGGGGGGATGGGGGGGGTGCAGTACTCACCCACCTAGCCTGGAGTTCTCGCCCATTGGCGGTGACGAGTGTGTTTTTTTTGGGGGGGTAACTTTACAGGAAGAAGTTGCTAATGATCCTGGAGCAAGGCTTCGATCCGCCCATCATCATCTTCGTCAACCAGAAGAAGGGCTGTGACGTGCTGGCTAAGTCCCTGGAAAAGATGGGGGTAAGTTACCGTAGCCAAGTGGTTAGAGCGCTCGCCTCGCATGCGAGAGGACCTGGGTGTTTGGGTTTGTTTAACTGGGTGCCCGACGCAGACGGAAACCCATCACGGTGCTTTAGTCTGTCCAGAGATCCGCGTGTACAGTATTGGGTGGAAATTTTGATGCGATTCCCACTAATATCTAATAATACTAATATCTCTCTCTCTCCCCTCTCCGCGCCCCTTCCCCCCCCCCCCTCCCCGAAATAATAATTTGGTCACTCAATCCTTGACCGTTTGTGGGAGCCGCTGCGCTCAATTTGCTGCCGTGTTTCACCCACAGAACACGCAGTCACTGCACTTTACAGTGTGTCCTGTGAAGAGCTTTGAGGCGTCTCGACGACGTGATAAGGCGCCATATCAAATGCCAGGGTTATTATTATTATTGTTATTATTTTTATTAATATCCCCGTGGCCCCTCGCTGGTGAAACAGTGACCAGGGTGGGTCATTAGCGGCCCCTCCTGTTCCTAGCCTGTTCCCCGAAGGATAAACTACCTCTTCCCCTCTCTACAGTACAATGCCTGTACACTGCACGGCGGCAAGGGCCAGGAGCAGAGAGAGTTTGCTCTGTCCAACCTCAAAGCCGGGGCCAAGGACATCCTGGTGGCCACGGACGTGGCCGGGAGAGGTATCGACATCCATGACGTCTCCATGGTGCTCAACTACGACATGGCGAAGAACATCGAAGGTAAATGCGAAGGAATTGGGAATGGAGCTCCTGGAATCCAGTACTTTCACGTCGGGAGGACATCCCCCGACAGCACTGAACAATCAGGGATGTGGATCCGAGATGGGGGGGTGGTGGGGTTGGGATTGGGGAGGGTAGGAGGGTGGGCCGGAGGCTCGGTCAAAGAGACACGTCTTGAAGGAAGCAAGGGAGGGAGCGAGGTGAAGGGAATGTGAGGGAGTTCCAGAGGGTAGGGGCAGAGAGGCTGAAGGCCCGACCACTGATGGCCGGGTGGGGGACGTGGAGCAGACCACGACAGCTTAATAAAGGCAGTGGTGGAGTCCTGTAGGGTGGGGGTCACCTCTCCCCCAGCGAGAGGACCTGGGTTCGATTCCCGGGCGGGTCAGGGTGAAACCTTAGACAGGTGTCATTGGGAGGAGGGAGGAACATCCCAGGTTGAGCAGTATTGACACAGCGTTCCTCCACCTCCCGTGTCTCTCTCTCTAGATTACATCCATCGTATTGGCCGTACTGGACGAGCCGGTAAGAGTGGTGTGGCCGTCACCTTCTTGACCAAGGAAGACTCGTCGGTCTTCTACGACCTGAAACAGGCCATCCTGGAGAGCCCGGTCTCCTCCTGCCCCCCGGAGCTGAGCAACCATCCAGACGCCCAGCACAAGCCGGGCACCATCCTCACCAAGAAACGACGCGAGGAGACCATCTTTGCCTAGAGGGCCTTGGAGGAACTTGGCGGGAGGTGTGTGCGAGGAAGGGCGTGGTTGGGGGCGAGGGAAGAGATCACCTTGTGGGAGGTGTGCGCGTGTGTGTGTGTGTGAGGGAGGGGGAGCATGGGGGTGGAAAGAGGACGAGGACGTGGACTTTACTAGCCTGTGGTGGCGGAACAAACTCCCAGGTAATAGGGAGTGCCCCCCCCACCCCCCACCACCACGCCCATAGAACCCCCACCACCCCAAACCTACAAGGTATCGCTTTATTCCGTGACATCTCTGTTGACAATCGGATGATGATTTCTAGCTGTCGAGGACCAAGCTCAATCTCTCTTGAACTTTCTCTCTCTTCCCCCCCCCCCCCACGCCCCCACGAGACAACAATCTCCCTCCTCAACATTGGGGAAATTATAGATTTGAAGCTGGGGGTGGGGTGGGGTGTGGGGGGGAAGCTATTTAGCTGCTTGCTTTGTAAAACTCACCTGAGAATGAGATTCCAGGCGGGTGGTGGTGCAGAGGCGATAGTTTCTGCCAGTGTAGTGACTGTCGTAAATGGGTTTGGGGAGGGGAGGGGCTGTACGTCTCTCTCCTTTCAATCTCCCCCCACTCCCCCCCCCCCCCCCCACCACATCCCCCTCACACGCATAATTTCCTGGGTAAAAATCAAACCAAATCCACCAGCTGGTATCTTGCCTCCCATTAGATTTCTTATCCTGTACCTTTTTTTATATTAATAAAATGTATAAAATAATCTGTAAGAAGAAGAAGAAGAAGAAGAAAAAAATCCACACGTCCCGTCTTCCCACTCACTGTCTCTCAGGGTATTTACAAATCAGCCCCCGTCTCCCTCTCTCTGTCTCAGTCTCTCTCTCTCTCTCACTCGGGTTTATTTGGTGAGTTTTTCTGCGGGTTTCTGTACCCCCCCTCCCCCCCCATCTCCCAGTTCCTGGAGGGATATTTCTCCCCTCCTCTCGGCTTCTTATTCTGATTATTGACATAATATTCACAGCCCATCAGCAAATGGCTCTTTTGGAAAACGTGTGTTATTTTTTTAAGACGGAGAAGGTTGCGATTCAGTTTTTTTTTTAGACACGAGGAAGAGCATCGATGGGCATCCTGTCTTCAAGCGCTCTGGGGGTGATCGTCGAGTGTAGTGACTGTTTTTGTAGGTAAATAGGTCAGGGGGCCACAGGGTGGTCTCTGGAGCCCGCGCACACATTGCCCACCCCGCTGCTGTGTTGCCCTGGTCGGGTCTGGCTTCCGTGCTGCCTGAAAGACTCCGTGCTCAGATTGTAGCTCAAACCAGGCGACGCATCCAATGTTTCCCTGTCTACCGGCCTCGGCCAGTGTGGGAGGCTTTAGTTCAGGTGAGTCAGTGCGTTTGCCTGTAGCTTCCCGGCCGTGTGGTGTCCAGCTCCTATCTCCTTGTTACTGGGTCTTTGTCGAGATAGCAGTGGGGGCTACAGTAGAGGCTTCCCCCCCCCCCCACCCACACACACACACACTGCTGTCCACTGGCTGCCCACAGAGGGCTGGACAAGTGGACAAGCTCAGGCGAGGCACTTGCCGTGTGGGTTCATGTGCGAAGGGCCACTTGGCATGAGGCAGTGAGGGTCATAGATGGAGCTCTCCCTCTCCCACCCACCCCCTGAGTAAATGCCTGTGTGTGTGAGAGACGGGGGGGGGGAGAACCACAGCGACTGATGGATTCACGAGGTTTCGAGACGCGGGATTGATGCATTAGTGTGATTTCGACTCGTCTCGGGTGTCTGTTCTGAACGAAATGGCTGAGCAAAGAACCACCCCATCAGAAATGTTTAATAAAAAGCACCCAGTACGTCCTGGTGGTGAATGGTGATTGTCCTGGGGAGGGAGGGAGGGAATTCATATCCCCAGACATCACAAAGGAGGTGCTCGTTGTGTGATCGATTCACTGACTCCCTCCGGGGTCTCCCATTTTTTTCTGTGCGTGCGGGACAAGGAGTGGCGGATTGAGCACAGAGCGAACTGGACCAGGGGACGGAGGTAGAAGGAGCACTGGACTTGGGCTGAAGGGGGAATGGCTTGCTCACCGCCGGGGCTCCGGGCTTGCGGAGTCCTGCCAAGCAGAGAGTTGTGCAGGTGTCTCGCCACTCGATGTCGCTGGCCAGGCCGGCTCTCTGCCGAGAAAGCCTCGCTCCCCAACAGTTGTGTACGCATGTGTGCGTGTGTTTGTGTGCGTGTGTTTGTGTGTGGGGCTCGATCCATTCTCCAGGTTATGGGGCTCGGGGTGGTGGTGATACTTGCAATTTGATAGAGCGCCTTATCACGTCTTTTCAAGACGTCTCAAAGAATATACTGTATATTTTGTGGGGTAGGATCTGGAATGGGTATAGGCGCCGTCGAAGAGGAAGGTCTTGGAAGAGAGGAAGGGAATGGGGCGAAGGGACTGCAGGACGGAATTCCAAAGGGGGGTGGGGGAGTGGGCAGAGAGGCTGAACGCCCGACCGTCGATGGTGGGGTGGTCCGGGCCGGGGACGCGGAGTAGGCCGGAGGGAGCGGGGCCGTCTTTACAAAGGTGACACGTTTCTGTGGTCAGAAGAAATAACATCCCTTTTTATTGAAAGTCTCGGGGTGTGCTGTCATGCTGGAAATGCCTTGTAATGAGTCGGAATGGCAGCCCAAGTCGCCTGTGCCCCGCCAGGCAATGAGCTCCGAGGACGCTGTGTAAACGCACCTCCGCTACACACAGCCCGGAATGTAACACAGGCCAGAGAGCCTCACGTCTCTCCTTCACACTAGACTTACACAGTATAAACAGTCAGCATGCAGCTAATGTATATGCACTTGCATAGGAGACTGAAGCTCTCAAGTCATGCTTCTTCCCCCCCACCCCCCCCCCCACCCCCCGTACCCCAAAGAAACGAACAATAGTTGCAAAAGACAAGTTGAAGCCAGACTGCTTTTCGCTCCCTGGCTTTTTGGACCATATTTTGTGCTGTATTTACCCCTCTGGAGATGTATTTCCATTCCCCGGGGGAAGGGGTGGTGGTGGTGGTGGGGGGGGGGGTGGAGAGGGGTTGGGTGCGGAGGGGAGGACTTTGGCCTTGCTGATGATGACTGGTGTGTGCGTGTGCGTGTGCATGGATGAGCTCGGCCAGTGATCGTTCGGATCATTAGCCCAGCAAATTCAACTTTCTGTTTCGCCCGATGACCGCACTCGCACCGTCCAGCAAAGGCGGGGGGTGAGATGGGGTGGAGTCGAGTTGATGTCACAGCCTAGAGATTAGGAGTTGAGGACTCCTACTCACTCACTCACTCACTCCCATCCCCAACCCCTTCCTCAATTCCCCACCCCAAATGGAACCCGGAGGTGCCCTGACTCACTGAGGTAAGCCCCAAGTACAGAAATAGTTTTTAAGTGAAGCCCTCGCTCTCTCCCACCCTCTCTCCCACCCTCTCCGAAAATCTTTCTCCTGAAACCGGCTGGTCGACTCGGGAGAGGAAATGGTTCTCTCCTCCACGGAGATATTCCGAGCACGTAGACAGGATTGGAGCTTGGGAGCGAGTCCGTCCGTACAGCGAGCTGTCACACGTGCCCGAATGAACCTTTGGGGTCAACTTCCTGAACCTCAAAACCCAACGTACAGCCTCTCCTCCCAGTCCCAAGTTATGGATGAGTCCACAACATTGCACCTCACTACTGCAGGGAGCAGACTGGGACCTGTTGTCTCTGAGCGATGGTGCAGGGTTGGGGGGGAGGTGGGGGTTTCTTCCTGGTTTAGCTGTGGGGGTAGGGGGTGATGCGTGGGGACTGTCCAGTTTGCTCACGTCAGCTTTGACCCAGAATCCATGCAAGAGAGACGCGATTACTCCAGACTCCCTCTGAGATTACTGATCGAGAGAGAGAGGTGAAGGAGAATTGCCCCCCCCTCCCGCCTCCACCCCCAACGCAAAAGAATCAATTGGCACCACACCCCTCCCCAACCCCATCTTGCCGCTAGCTGGACAATAAACATGGAGCCAAACCTTCCCGAGAAGGAATCATAACCACCGGATCAATAAAACGATCACCCGGTTGGGTTTGGCGGAAGAAAGCCCTTCGGCCTGTCTGATCTCTTCCAGAACACCACCCCCCAACCCCCACCCCACCCCCCCCTACCCCATTAATAAGAAATAAGCTGCTTTTGGTAAATGAGTCCCAGTGTCCTGGTCACCCATTTCTATTTCTTCTGTAGATGACGCCCCAGGAATGGATTGGGAGCGGGCGGGCAAATGGTCTGGGCCTTGTTTGGAAGAGGCACCAAAGACAATCCAGGAAAAGTAGCTTGTGTTTTGACTATTGTTTTCAAACCCTCCTTTTCCCCCCACTCCCCCGCACCCCCCACTCCCCCGCCCCACTCCCCCATTTGAATTCACGAAGCCTAGGGCTGCTCCCTTGAGTTAACACCCGTTCCTAAGCAACTCCCAGGCTTCAGCCTACTTTGGTTTATCCCCCCCCCCCCCACCCCCATTTCGCCTCCCTCGGTAAATCATTATATTTTTTTTTGCTTATTCTATCATTTGTTCCCCCCCAGAACGTGCATCGTTATCAGAAATACAAAAAAAACCCAACTTTAAATCCGAATCGATTGTGCAGGTAGTTGGATGTTGCTGGTTGGGGGAGGAGTGGGCGGGGGGGGGGGGTGGGGGCAACAGTTTTTTTTGCCCCATCTCCTTTAAAATCTGGAATGCAAAATAGCCCTAGGACGGGCCTGACATTAGATCGAAGCTTGACCTCCAGCATGCTCTAAGCCAGGCTGGTGGAAGTGGGGGAGGAACAGACCTGGACATATGGACATCTTTTCGTCAACTTTAAAGGCGTTTCAAGTTCTCTTTCCGTTGGTTGTGATTAAACCCGGACACAGCTCGAGTTTCTGTGGTTTCTGCTGCTGATCCTGGTTCGTGAATTTGTTCTTTTCGATGGTTTTTTTTTTAAGCCAAGCCGGAACCTCATAAAACCCCTCAATTCCTCACCTGTAGTGACAACCCCATGGCTATGGTTTAGCCTGATTCTCTGGGAGGGAGGGAGGGAGGGAACAGGGAGGGAAGGATGAGGAGTGAGGGATGGGGGAGGGATGGAAGGGAAGGAGGGAGGGATGGGGAAGAAGAGAAGGAGGATGGGATAGGGAAGGAGGGAGGAATAAGGAAGGAGAGATGGGGAGGGAGACAGGGATGGAAGGAGATGAAGAGATGGAGATGGAGTGGAGGATGGGGAGGAGGGAGGGAAAGATGTGGGGGGAAGGAAGGAGGGTGAGATGGGATGGGAGGGGAGGGCGAGATTGGGAGGGAGAGAGGATGGGGAAGGAGAGAGAAGGCTGAGCTCAGTAACTGTCTCTGGGCCAAGGTCTGTTTCGTTGCCTGTTTCTCTCATTGTGGTTCTGCTCGGAGTCGCGGTCGAGCAGCCGATCCTGTGAGTCATGGCCGTTGCCCCTGAGCCCCCCGGGGTGCTGGTGGTTGCGATGGGGTTTGTACAGCTCCTGGTAGGTGTCCGAATACTCGTCCTCCAGGTGCCGGGAGTCGCGGTGAGACGGGGAGTGCCACTCTCTCCTCGAGGCCTCACTCGTTTCGTCCGACTGCATTAGGTTCTCCTGTTCGATGGGAGACTGATCTCCACCCTGGTCATCCTCCGTCATTTGTTGGTCCTGAATAATAAGAATAATAGTTAGAATAACAATAATAATACTTATAATAGAACAACAACAATTCTGAACTGTCTGTGTAGTGACTGTGTGTCTTGTAGGCGAACGCGGCAGACAGTTTTTGCACAGAAACGTCCTCGCAAACAACCATTCAGCGGACGGTCAATTTTATTTGGGCAATTTGCGGCCGGAACAACGGGAAGAGAGAAACTCCTTTCTCGTTTCGAACAGCGCCGTGGGATCTTTGACGTCCACCTGAACAGGTTAGACTCCATACGCACGCTGGGGGTTCCCCCACCCACCCACCCACTCCCAACCCCCTCCCCCTCCCCATCCACCCACCCACCCACCAAGCCTGGACTCTAGCAACCTTGGGGATTGGGACGCGTTGGGTAGGAAGTGACGAGGAAGCTACCTGGAGACTGGAGACGGCCGAGGGTGGGGTCATCAGGGTCTGACCGAGTAGGGGGTTGAGTGGGGCGCTCCCGGGCAGGTGTGTCGCTCGCCAGTACACCTCCAGGTAATCAGCCAGGTGCTCGCACGCATCCTCCAGCTGGTTTTCATCCAAGATCACGTCAAACATTTCCTACGAAGTCAAAGGTTAAACCTCCTGAAACCCTACCGACCTGTCCGTTACCTCCCTCCACCAGCCTCCTGCACGTTCCCCGCCCTGCCCTTCCCTGCCCGCCGCAACATCTGCCTCTCTGCCCCCACCCTCTGAAACTCCATCCCACAATCCCTTGGCATCGCCCTCTCCCTCCCTCAAGGCCTCCTTCAAGGCTCATTTCAAGACCCTCCTCTTCGACCGCGCTTCCAGTCATCTTCCCTCCTCCACCCGCACCCTCCCTGCCCGCCACCCCTCTCGACTCCAGCCCACGGCTCAGGAGCAAACCCTTGACTGTCCAGCGCCTTGGGACGTCCTCCTGGGGTGAAAGGCTCTGTTGTTCATGGTGTTGTGTGAATCTAGGCTTCCGTCCATGTGTTTGCAGTATCTGACAATCCTCGCCAGCCTTTGAGATCATCAGCCCCCACTCCCCCACCCCCAACCTCTCCCATCCTCACCAAGTGGCCGTTGTAAGATCCACATACACACACACACCTCTCCTGGGAATGCGCACACATACGCACACTCACCGGTGGGCACTGAGCCAGTTTGTCAGCAGCCATTAGCTGAACGTTGAGATGTTTGCTTTGTGATTTCCCTCGAGACTTGATTAATCTCTGCAGCACCTGAGAAGGGAGGTGAGAGTTAATAATAATAATAATAATAATAATAATCCTGGCATTTGACACGGCACCTTATCAAGTCGTTGAGACGTCTCAAAGCTCTTCACGGGATACACTGTGAAGTGAATTGACTTGTGTATTTTGTGAGTGAAACAGTGTCCCATAAACAGTCGTGGATTGAGTGACCAAATTATTTTTCTTTGGTGGGGGGGGGGGGGGGTGAGGGAATTATTACCCCTGAAAACCGATCCGCCAATCAACTAACAACCAGGATCCTACGCGTGTGTGTGTATGTGTGTGTGGCGCAAGGAAATTTGCCTAAGGTTTCGCCCCGTCTGGGAATCGAACCTGGGTCCTCTCTTGCGAGGCGAGCTCTCTTCGGGACTCCCGAGCTGTGTGGAGGTGGGGGGGGGGGGGGAAGGGTTCTGAGGGGGTTGAGATCGGAGGAGCCAAAATTCATCCACACCAAATTTTTCTGGTCAGTCTGCGTTGCCGCGGTTTCTACACTGACCACGAGAGGGTGAGGGAGAGCGCAACATGGAACACAGTCCACCTCACATAAGTCGTATCGGTCGGGATCAGACCTTTAATATGACTTATGCAAAGAGTGAATTATTCGGGCAGGCTGCGACTGGGTGGAATTCTGCGGCTCTGGACTCTCCCTCTTCCCACCCGATCTGCACCCGACTCCAGTGCACCTGAGAGTTTGGGACGAGAAGAAGCTTTCGTCCACAAAATATACAGTCGCTCCATTTTACAGTGCGCTCCGAGAAAGCTTTGAGACGTCTCGAAGACGTGATAAGGCTCTGCACCCAATGCGAGGATTATTATTATTATTACTTGCTGCGTTGGCCCACAAAACAGTCACTACACTTCACAGTGAAATCCTGTGAAGTGCTTTGGGACGTCCTCCCGATATGAAAGCTGGTGTATCGTTGTTAGGATTATTATTGTTAATAACTACACGCACTCACACGTACGGACACACACGCACATAGATTCACACACAGAGACAGAGGCTCCTTACCTTGGGTGAGGAGACCTTGACGTAGATGATGATGGGGGCGAGCGAGGTCTTGGCGAGCTGAGCCGGGTTGTTGATCGTGTCTGCGTCCAACACTACCAACTGCAGACTCTTCGCCAACTCAAAGATCCTCTCAATCTCGCTCTGAACCTCCGCTGCCAGAGACAGACACAGACCGTTACACACCCTCACCTCAAGAGCTGCCCATTTCTTTACAGTTTTATTATCTAATCCGTGTAGACGAGGCTTTACCCCGTCTCTAAGCCACGCTGTCGCTAACGTGGGAGTGTGGACGGACACACAGTGTAGAGGGAGCTTTACTGTGTCTCTAACCCTGACCCGTGAGTGTGGACGCACAGTGTAGAGTGAGCTTTACTGTGTCTCTAACCCTGACCTGGGAGTGTGGACGCACAGTGTAGAGGAGCTTTACTGTGTCTCTAACCCTGACCTGGGAGTGTGGACGCACAGTGTAGAGGAGCTTTACTGTGTCTCTAACCCTGACCTGGGAGTGTGGACGCACAGTGTAGAGGAGCTTTACTGTGTCTCTAACCCTGACCCGTGAGTGTGGACGCACAGTGTAGAGAGAGCTTTACTGTGTCTCTAACCCTGACCCGGGAGTGTGGACGGACGCACAGTGTAGAGAGTGGATTACGTACCGATGCTGGATCGGGTGTTTGATCGATCGATGATCGCTCTCTTGCTGGGGTTGTTGAGGACGGAGCGTTTGGCGAGCGAGAGATCAGCCGTTACTCGGGTGATGGAAATCCTGATTAAAAAAACACACACAGATACAGAGCTGTCACTGACAGAGAAGCCTCTTCACTAACACCTGATGTTGCTGTGGTCCTGGCCAGCAATCCCCCGGCTCTAATCGGTCACTCGCTTCACAGCTGTTTGCGGGGACGTTGCTGGGCTTAAATTGGCTGTCACAAAACACGCGGTCACTGCACTTTACCGTGTATCCTGTGAAGCACTTTAGAGTGTACTCCTGACGTGAAAGGCACAACATCAAATGTAAGGATTATTATTATTATTAACCGGTGGTTTTGACTGTTTACATCCTTATAACCGGATTCCTCAGATGCCATCACCAATTAGTGGAGGGTTTCCCCTCGTCAATATGAATCATCCACACTCTGCCTCGCCCCCTTCTTCCCCATCTTGAGGTCCCACCTGAAGACCTTCCTCTTCGACCAGTGCCTATGGTCACCTCCCCCCCCCCACCGGCTCGGCGTCGTGCTCCGACGCTGTCAAGCGCTCTGGGACGCTATCCTGTGCGAGGTGAGCTGCGTGAATGCAAGCTGTTGTTGTTGCGCAGCTATTTGCGAGGTCAGGGTATCAAGGGGTACGGAGCAAAGGCAGGTAATGGCGTTGAGTTCTAGATCAGCCATGATCTAGTAGATTTGCGGAACAGGCTCGAGGGGCTGAATGGTCTCCTCCTGTTCCTATGTTGCCCCCCCCACCCCCCCCCCCCCCACCCCCTCCAACATACACAGAGAAGTGAAAGGCGTCTCACCTGCCCTCGAACCTGTGCTTCAGAAAGTCGAAGAGAGCTTTCTGCATCATGTCCGTGACCTGTCACAGGGGAGAGAGAGACACGAGACAGGAGAGGGGGTGATCCGATCGTCCTCGCGAGAACCCGGGGGGGGAAGCCCCCACCAAATATCCTTACCCCACACGTCTCCACAATTGTTTGCGGGGGAACGCCTCTGTGCGCAATTGGCTGCCGCGTTTCGCCCACAAAATATACGGTCAATCGACTTTACGGTAAATTCTGTGAAGTGTTTAGAGACGTCTTGAGGACATGATAAGGCGTTACATCAAATGCAAGGATTATTATTATTATTTTTGTTGTCACGCTCTCGCTCAGACCCCCCTCGGCGGGGGTTGGTGTTGTTGGGGTTGAGGGATTGGGGGTTGGGGATCTCACCTCATATCCTTTCAGTGATGGGCCCACCAGCACCACAGGCCTCATTGAAGGCACCACATCGTAGGGTGGTATCAACTCCGTCTATCAAGACAACAATGGATGCCTCGTCACTGGCTCCAGATCGCAGCTCCAACAAATTATCTTCACGGCGCCTCACAGACACGATGGGCCGAATGGCCTCCTTCTGTGCTGTAAACCTCCACGCTTCGTCTGGCTCGGCATCACTCCGGTCAGCGGCCTCTGGCCATTGGCGGTCAGGCCTTCAGCTTCTCTGCCCTCCATCCCACAGTCCCTCCGCCTCGCCCCCACCCCCTCTCTTGCCTCCCTCAAAACCAGTCTCACCCCGTGTACCCCAATTCTCCCCACCCGCCTCCACCCCCCACCCCCGCCCCCTATACGCTCCTGATCCCAAGCACCAGCTCGGGTGCGGATCCCTGACTGTCCAGCGCCCTGGGACGTTCCTCCTGACGTGAAAGGCGCCGCGTAAATGTCACGTGTTATTCCGGGAGAGGGGAGGGGAGGACTTACCACTTTCTGTTTCTGCTTTGCTGTAAAAATTAAGAGAGAAAAAGAAATTAGTGACTAAATCGAAGCCTCGCGCACCCTCCAGCTGCGTTTTAGGGGGAGGAGTGGGGGAGGGAAGGGCGGGGGAAAAGAGGGGGGAGGGAAGGGCGGGGGAAAGGAGGGGGGAGGGTGCAGTGGGACTTTACAGTGTTATCCTGTGTGAAGCACTTTCTGGACATGAGAACGAGGAGGGTCTCGAGTAGAGATGCTGAGCGGGTGGATCAGTGGGACCCGAGGTTTGAGATTAATAATATAATAATAATAATCCTCGCATTTGACACAGCGCCTCATCACGGCTTCGAGACGTCTCAAAGCGCTTCACGGAGTATACGGTAAAGCGTAGTGACTGGGCGTTTTGTGGGCGAAACGCGAGAGCCAGTTGCGCACGGCAGCGTCTCCCCCACACAAACAGTCGTGGGATCGAGCGACCATTCCTTTGATGGGATTATTACCCCCTGGGAACCGATCCGTCAATCGCCCCTCTCTCCCCACACCCGACCCACCCCCCACCCGCCGCCCCGCCAACCAGCGTGAGGGAACGGGAATCGAACCGGGGTCGATTGGTTCCTTTGAGTCAACAAATTATTATTATTATTATTGTTATTGTAATTATTTTAAAATGTATTTACGACAATACGGAAGGCGTGAGCGGTCGTGGGTCTCGCTCTAGAGAAGCGCGGTGCCGTGCAGAATGACTAACCAAAAATCTCAGCTGATCACCTGTAGATGGAGGTGGGGATCGCCAGGTCATTTCTCCCGTGTTCGCAGAGGAATTTCCTCCGGTCTTACTGATGGGAAAAGGACAACACAGCCATTGTCTTATCTCAGAACATCAGGAAGAGACGCTCATTGCCCACTGACCAGTCGTTTGGATCACTCCACATCTTCTCATCCCATTTCCTCACTCTTCTGAATCCTAAATCCCTTTACCTACTTCCCAATCGACCATCTCTGCCTCTTTTGGATATCCCGATGAATCCGGCCCATGAGAGGTGCTCTCCCCGTCCTCGCCAGCCTGTTCCATAGGTTTACTACTCGTATCCTGGCCTCTACATTATCTCGTCCCCTCAGGATCTTAAAGACCGCCATCATATCGCCATATCGCCCGCCCACCCCCCCCCCCCCCCACACCACCTCCCCCTCATCAAGGAATTGTTGTAAGGTCTGTGGCTGGTGACGATGAGCCGACAGGAAGCGATGTTACATCTCCAAAGAGTATCCCATCGCTCCGTCTCTAGGTCGGTCCATCGAGATACCATGGCAAGCGGCATCATAGCTATGGCAACGGGCAACATACCCATGGTAGCCCTGGCGAGACTTGATGGCCTCTAGTCGGAGGGGGCTCGGGATGAATCCCGTCTCGCATCCCTCCTTGACCAGTCGCCCGATCCACCAGTCATTGTTGTACTTCTGTCGAGAGGGGGCAAGAGCGGAGACCGCCATTAGACTCGATAAGTTTGTGAATAAATTCAAGCTGTCAAATAGTAAACCCTTCAAAATAATAATAATTCGGTCGCTCGATCCACGGCTGTTTGCGGGGGACGCTGCTGCGCGCAATTGGCTGCCGCGTTTCGCCCACGAAACACTGCACTGCACCTTATATCCCACTGCACCTTATATCCTGTGAAGCGCTTTGATACGTCTCGACGACGTGATAGGGGTTAGGGCCGAATAGTTAGCGCCCCGGGACCCAACATCGACGCAAGCAGGCAGACGGGAGGTCGGTTGTTAACGTCTCGTCCGAAGGGCGGCGTCTCAGACGAGGCAACGTCGCCCCCCCCCCCCCCCCAGCGCTGCATTGGAGCGTCAACTTAGACGATGTGACTCTATGTCCCGACATAATAATAATAATGATAACGATAATAATAATCCTTGCCTTTGATACGGCGCCTTGTCACGTCTTCGAGAGGTCTCAAAGCGCTTCACAGGACACTCTGTAAAGCGTAGTGACTGTGTATTTTGTGGGCGAAATATGACTCGAACCCGCAACCTTCTGACTCAGTCTCATCCATAGGCCAGCGTCTCCCTCAACGCAGTGGTGGGGCGGGGTGGGGGGGGGGGGGGTGGGATCAGGTCTGGCCTTTGAGGTCAAAGCCCCCCCCACCCCCGCCTTATGTGGGGCTTGACCATAGAACCCTCTGACCCCGAGGCTCGAGCGATTGACAGTTTAAGGGACGCGTAAATCTTTAGGCTCTGACCTCTTTTATGTGTAGAAAGTCTTTGGCGTCGAAGGAAATGGCGGCTCCCTGCACCGGGCAGTCCTCGTCCAGCGGCCCGCAGTAACTCACGTTGGTGCGGACGGCAAAGGCTACCGACTTGGTCTGAGGTGAGCAGCACAATGCGGTCAGTCAGTACGGTCGGTAACTCGCTCCTCGCCATCAACACACCATCCCTCGCCCCTGAACACAGCCCTCGCAGCTCACCATTGGAGGTCGAGCCTTCAGCCTCGCTGCCCCCAATCCCACTCTGGAACCCTCTCCTGGAGCCCCTCTGCCTCAGCCACTCCCTCCCTCCTTCCCTCCCTCGCCGCCTTCAAGGCCCGTCTCAAGACCCTCCTCATCGACCGCACCTTTGGCCGCCCCTCCAACGCCCCCCCCCCCGCGCCCCCCCAACCCTCCCTGCCCTCCACCCCCTCCTGATCCCAGCCCGCAGCTCGAGTGAAACCCCTCATTGTTCAGCACCTCGGGACGTCCTCCCGACGTGAAAGGCCCCATGTAGACCACAAGTTGTTGTTGTTGATGCCCCCCAACAACCCTGAGCCCGGAGAGGGGGGGGGGAGAGGAAAGGGGGGAAGTGAAGAGGGTGAAGGGTGACACTCCGCCTAGTACCCAACGCAGATGGTGCGGGGGCTGGTTTTGTCCGCTAGGTCCTGGTCCTACCTTGGCTCGCTCCAGCTGCAGGAGAGACTGTGGTTGCGTGTCCCTGGGAACAGCTTCTTGGTCCTCCTCCAACGAGAGGTCCGAATCCGAAGGCCTGCTGGGGTAGGATCCGGCCGAGCCCTGGGGGGGGGGGGACAACAAACAGAAGTGGGTGGAGGATTCGCGAGGAGAAACAAGACCGAGGTTCACCCCCTTTCCCCCTTCCCCCACAAGAGCGATAAGAACAACAATATTAATGATCAATAATCCTCTCATTCGACCCGGCGCCTCATCACGTCTTCGAGGCGTCCCAGAGCGCCTCACGGGGTACGCCGTAAAGTGGGTCGACTGCGTGTTTTGCGGGCGAAACGCGGCAGCTGATCGCGCACAGACGTGTGTGTCTCGGGTTTGTTCCGCCTTCCCGCCCCCACCCCCCACCCCCCCCTCGCCACCCCCTCCATTCCACTCCCCGCCCATCCCCATACAGCACTGGTATTGGGAACAGTGTCTGTCTCTCTGGGCAGGTGATGGTGATAGAGAAGAGGGGACAGTGGGGGGGGCGGGGGGGAGGTCACAGTGATGGCTTTGCCGCGAATGCTCTGACGGTCCTCGCCAGCCGGAGGGAGATGGCACTGTGCCCCGGGCTCCATGCAACAACAACAACGTGCATTTATGCAGCGCCCTTTCAGGCTGTGGAGGCCTCCCGGAGCGCTTGATAGTCTGACGCCGAGTCAGTGAGGGAGCGAGAGGGAGGGGGGGAGGTGGCCATGAGCACAATCGCGAAGGAAGGTCTTCAGGCGGGATCTGAAACTGGGGAGGGAGGGAGCGAGGGGGCAAAGCGGAGGGATTGAGCGACAGAGTTTCGGGGCTTGAGGCCCTTTGGCCCTCACTGTGCCGTGCGATTTGCGTCTCGAGTGTCAGATCTGAAGTTCGCTGAATTATTCATGAATCACCGAGGGCTTCCAGTCACCTTCTCGTTCTCTAGTGACTTGCGTGAGGGCGGAGGTTGAGACATCAGAGAGCTGTGAGAGAGCTGGCAGGGCACCGGGGGGGGGGGGGAAGGCAACCATAACAACAACAAGTTTCCCTTCCTGCCCTGGCACCTCCCTGCCCCTACGACCCGGTTGCTCTCCAACCCACCACCCGCTGCCTCCGCTCGGCTGGCTCTGGCCACCCGCTTGCCCCTCCTGCCCGCTAGTCCACAATCGGTGGCCGCACTTTCAGCTGCCAGGCCCTGAACTCTGGAACACCCCCCCCCTCTATCCCTCCGGCTTGCCCCTTCCTTCCTCCCCTCCCTCTCCCCCTCCCCATCTTCAGGTCGTGCCTGAAGACTTTACTCTTCGGCCGTGCCCGCGGTCACCGCCCCGTCACTCCCCCGAGCTCGGTGTCGCGCTCTGCGTGAGGGGACGCTGTGTAAATCTGTTGTATAACTCCCCTCACACGGGGTAGCGTCCCAGAGCCACGGACTCTTCACGAAAGGGACTTGAGACAACCAGCCGAAGCTCATCTTAATATTAAAGCTCAGTCACTGGGGGCCGGGAATCCTCCCCCTCAGCTCCCGCTAACCCCGCGGCCAAAGCTGTAACGGGGAGGGGGGTCCCAGCTGGAAAAGCTTGGCCAGTCAGCGTCTCTCCCAATGGCCGAGCTGTGTGCGGGTTTAGCTGGTTAGACTCCAGCAGTTACCCCCAACGCACACTCTGGGCTCCCCCTTACCAAGCCTTGGCTCTCGCCAACCTGCGCCTAATACTCTCTGGAATTAGGTAAGCAGGGGGCGCCCCTCCAGGGGGAGAGAGAGAGAGAGAGCACATTCCATTCCAACAATCTATCTCTGGGGTTTCCGTGTGTAGATGGGAGTCGGGGAATTCTCAGTTGGGTTTGGATGCTCTTAAAACAACGGTGATGGGTTTCCGGGTGTGTCGGACACCCGGTTGGCCCAAAAAAAGACAGATAGAGGCAGGACCATCAGTTGGGCCTGGGACCTTCTCAGAAGGACTGGATTCCACAACAGACGGTGGAGAGTAGGGGTGGCGAGTTGGGTTATTGTGGCGTCCTGTAGTGTATTGGTTAGAAGACTCGCCTCGCAAGCGAGAGGATCTGGGTTCAATTCCCGGGCAGGGGACAACCTGAGGCAAGTTTCTTTACTCCACGCGCACACACACGCGCGCGCACTCGCCTCTGCTGACCCTGCGGGTAAGTAGGAACCCGGTTGTTGGTCGATTGGCGGATAACTTTCCGGGGGCGATAATCCCTTTTTTAAAGAAAAATGAAGGGATCGGTCGCTCAATCGCCGCCGGTTTGAGGGGACGCTGCTGTGCCCAATTGGCTGCTGTGTTCCTCCCATCAAATACGCAGTCGCTACGCTTCACAGCACGGCCCTGTGAAGCGCTTTGAGACGTCTCGACCGCCGAGATAAGGAGCTGTGTCAAATGCAAGGATTGTTATTATCTTTATTACTCTGTTGACAGCTGAGGACTTGAATTACCAGTTGCCCAACGTGTGTCATTGTCGCAAAGTCAACCGTGTGAATGGAGTCCAATTCTCCGAGGGTAGCTCAGGACTCCGGAAACTTCCAGGCTCCTCGGGGAGGAACAGTATCGGATACAGTACCCGTATCCTCCGAGGGACGAAATCATCGCAGTGACTGCGCAGAGGAACCGAGGAGGTAATCCTTTGTCCCTCCAGACACTGATCCCATTGGCTGCCGCGTTTCGCCCTCAAAATGCACAGTCACTTCACTTCGCAGTATCTATTCTGTGAAGCGCTTGGAGTCGCCGAAAGGCACCTTCGAGACGCAAGAACATCCCTTCGCGACAGCTCTCTCTCTCTCTTTCCCTCTCCCGCGCTCTCTGTTTAACACATCTCGTCCATTGAAACCGCCAACCAAGCGGTGTCCGTCTATTCCGCCCCTGGCCACCAGGAGGCGCACAAGAGCGCGGATCGTGACACAACAACAACAACAGCTTGCGTTTACACAGCCCGGGGTGACGTCTCCGTGCGCAGTGCTGGGGTCGGACATCGTCTAAAGGGAGGGGGGGAAAATGACGGTCGGCGCGGTCCAAGGGGGAGGACATAAAGACGGATAGCGAGAGTCGGAGGGCAGGGCGTTGGGCGTCAGAGGTTCGGAGTTCGGAGGCCACCGATGGAGGGATGGACGGGGGGTGTCGGAGGACACCCGGCGGGGACTGCGTTTAACCTCTTGCGGGTTGTCACGTAGACACAGGCATTAGTGGCACCGATGCCTGCAAACCCCCCCCCCCACTCCCGTCGCCCCCACCCCAATAATCCCACCCACACACCCACACAAAAGCCCCCCCCACCCCCCACCCCTCACCCCCAACACACACAACCTGGGGGGCAGCCACACACAGCCATGTACCGCTCACTCAATCTCACCGCCCACACACATGACATAATTCACCCCCCACCCTCCGCACCCCCCGCTCCAAACCCACCTCCAAAAGCCTCCCCACTGCATACGCAACCCCCTTCTCCCCCCCCCCCCACACACACACACACACACACACGCGCAAAAACGATCTGCCCTCAAAAGAAACGCACTGAGCACTACTTCCTATTAACCCTTTTGCCCCCCACCCCCGTCCCCGTCCCATCAGTGCAAGGGGTGGTAGTGGGGGGAGAGGGCTTTGGGGGGGGGGGCTCTCTTCCCCCCTCCTCCACCACCACCCCCCTTCCACCTCTCCTTCCGTCCACCCCCCGCACCACCCCCATCTCCCTTCTCCTTCCATCCCCCCACCCCCAACTCCCCACTCCCCTTCCCCTCTCCTCCCCCGCGCCGCCCCCCCCCCCACAACCCCCCCCACCCAAACCATCACCACCACTCACCCCGTCCGACTCCTCGACCCCACGCTGCCGGGAGCCCTGGTACATGAGCGAGGGCCTGGGGTGGACGGTGATGGAGCAAAGCGGAGAGAGGAGCTGATCGAACAAGACCAGCCCCAGGGGCTCCCGCGGGCCCTGACGCTGTTGTGTGGGGGTGTGGGGGTGCGTGTATGTGGGGGGGGGGGCGGCGGTGGTGGTGGTGGTTGGGTGGGGGTGACGTGTGGCTTGTTCAGCTGCTGGTGGCTTCTCTCCGCAGCCCTAGATATTTACACACGAAGACATCTCGCTGGGCTGGGATCTGTCAACGTCATGTACAATAGCAGTTCCCTCTCTCTCTCTGTCTCTCTCTCTCTCTCTCTCTCTCTTTTTCTCCCCCCCACCCCTTCCCGCACCACCACCCCTTCATTCTCTTCAACCCCCACCCACCCCCCCATCCTCTCTCTCTCCCTCCCTCCCTCCCTCCCTCCCTCGCTCTCTCTGGCTCTCATGCCCGGAGTCCGTGCGAGCGATTGGCTGAGGAGCGGATCTTCTCGGCTCCAGAGGTCTCTGTGGGGCATCCAACGCAGCGAGCAGTTGCACAGCTCAATCCGTACACCTGCTCTCTCTCTCTCTCTCTCTTTTGCTCTCTCTCTCTCTCTCTCTCTCTCTCTCTCTCCATCCCTGTGCCCACTGCAAAGCTTTCTCCCGCTCCCTGAACCCCTCCTGGTCACACAGTTCCCCGGATCATCACAGCACTCAAGGAGGCCATTCGACACCCCATCAAATTCCACAACATCTCAGAGACAGCTTTCCATCCGCGCTCTCTCTCTCTCTCTCTCTCTCTCCCCCTCCCTCCTCCTCCTTTTACACCCCCGCCCTCCTCCTCCTCCTCCTCCTCCTCCCCCACACGCACACACTCACCCTATTACATAGCTCCTTTTCAAATATTTATCTTATTCTCTTTTTAAAAGCTATTTTACTGCTTCGAACGGCATTTTTTTTTGGGGGGGGCTCAAGACATTTTGCGTCCGTGTGCGCGCGCGCGTGCGTGTCTGTGTTTGGAATAACCCTGGCATTTGACACAGCGCCTGATCACGTCTTCCGAGACGTCTCAAAGCGCTTCGCGGGATATACCGCTAAGCGAATTGACCGTATATCCGGTGGGCGAAACGGGGCAGCCGATCGCGCACAGCAGCGTCCCCCGCAAACAGCCGTGGATTGATTGACCTAATTATAATTTATTTTAGTTTAGTGCGTGTGTGTGTGTGTGTGTGTGTGGGTCTGTATGTTTGCGCGAGTCTGTAAATAAATGCCCTCCTAACCTCTCCCTCTTAGCGAAAGGTCATCGACTTGAAACGTTGACTCACTCGCTTTCCTCTCTCCATTAATGCTGCCTGACCCTGACCCGCTGAGCGACTTCTGTCTTTATCCCCCTCTGTGTTGTTTGGTGGCGGAACTAAATTGACGCCCCCCAGTCAAAGACTGACCGAACGGTGGAAATAATTCCTCCGCATTCACTCGTCATTGCAAAGAGGAGCGAACACGTATAAAGTACTCGCTGTAAAGAATACGACGGCCTGATTTCTTTGTCCGTTGCTCCTATTTTCCTCGGATTATTTGTGTGTTTCCATTAAGCTAACATGGCCCCTGGATTCAGATGTTACAATAATGGAGCACTAAGTCCTCTGCCCCTCAGGCCTGAGACAACACTAATACTTCCCTTTTTCTCTGAGAACGGATCAGAATGTGTAGACTGAGCCCTGCCCATAGGGTGAGACCAACACTGAGTGACTGAAGGTCTCGGATTCTAACAATAATAATATTAATAATAATAACAACAATCTTTCGATGCTGGGAGGACGTCCCAAAGAGATTCACTAGGGTTCGTTGTATGATGCAGTGACTGTGAATTTGTAGGCAACCAATTTGTGCACAGCAGCGCCCCACAGGCGGCAGTGAAGTGAATGATCGGTTGTATCTGAGAGTGGGTTGTCTGAGGCTGGGTTGGCAAGGGCTGAGTTGGGCTGGCAAGGGTTGGGATGAGTTGGGTTGGTGAGCGTTGGGCTGGGCTAGCAAGGGTTGGGTTTGGCTGGCGAGGGTTGGCTTGGGTTGGACTGATGAGGATTGGGTTAGGTTGGCATGGGTTAGTTTTGAGTTGGATTGGGTTGAGTTGGGTTGGTGTGAGTTGGGTTGGACTGGCAAGGGTTGGGCTGGGGTTAGCAAGGTTTGGGTTGAGTTGTCGAGGGTTTGGGTTGGCGAGGCTCCACTCTGCAAGACCTGCAGAATAACCTGGGCTTTGGAGCCCAACGCCGCTGGCTTCATCTCTCATGCCACCCAGAGAGGAGAGGAGGAGTGAGGAAAGGGCAAAGCAAAGTGGAGGAGGGGTAAGAGCGAGTGCTGGTCTCTGGCCTTGGCCGGAAAGGTAAAGTGAGTCACTACCTGCATCGTCAGCGAGCCTGCCGGGTGGTCCCCGCTCATTGAGAAGTGGGATCTTCCTTAAACGTCCACCACTTTGAAAGGACCACGGGTCTGGGGGATTGAGTCGCTGAATAAGGTGCTCTGACCGGGAGGAGCTTCAGGGCAAAGGGTCTTCAGTGGCAGAGTCTGCGACTGCAAGTAAAGAGGCCTTGCGTCAGAGAACAAAGTGCGGCAATTCGAGGTGTGAAGTTAACACAAGGTGCGTGGGGGGAGGGGGGGTGGGGCTGGGGGAGTGGTGGCAGGGAAGGACTGGGGAGTGAGGGGTGGGGGTCAGAGTGAGCAGAGAGCAGGGCGGGCGGGGGGGGAAAGATTTGCAAGGCACCGCCATCGTAATGGGGTTGGGGGTGGCAAAGGGTTGGGGGGGGTGGCGGGGGGGAGGTTGAGAAGGCAAAGGTTTAGTATAGAGTGCCCACAAAGTCCTGTCACCCCATGTTTTTTTCTCTCTCTAGAGTGCATTGACCAACCATTGATTTTTTCTGGGGGGGGGGGTCAGCCGGGTGTCTGACACACGCGGAAACCCATCACCGTCGCTTAAGAGTCTCCAAACCCAACTGAGAATTTCCCGCCTACACCCGGAAACCCCAGAGATAGATTGTCGGAATGGAATGCGCTCTCTCTCTCTCTCTCTCCCCCGGAGGGACATTCCCCCTCCCCCCCCCCCCCCCCCCACCCACCCCCCCGCTTACCTAATTCCGGAGAGTATCAGGCCCAGGTTGGCAAGAGCCAACGCTTGGGGGGGAGCCTAGAGTGTGCGTTGGGGTAACTGCTGGAGTCTAACCCGCTAAATCCGTATAGCTTGGCCGCTGTTGGCGCTGCCTGGCAAGCGTTCCCGCTGCTTGTCCAGCTCGGACCACCCTACCCGTGAGGGCTTTGGCTTGTAGGGGAGCTGAGGGAGGTGACTCCCTGCCCCCAATGACTGGTTCTACCCTTCCAGGTCCTACCGATGAACCAACAACTGGAACATGTGGAAGAATGATGAGAACTGTATTTTGGACAGTACTAGTGTTTAACTGCCTTGAGACGTCCAGAGGATCAGTGTGTGTGCGCGAGCGTGTGTGAGTGTCGGAGAGAGTGTGTGCGTGTGCGTGCGCGTGCGCGTGTTGTGTGAGCGCCATCATTTCCATGGCAGATAATCATCCGTCGCCATGTTCGAAGCCACGTCTTCTGTAACACGGACGTACTCAGTGAGGAGGGAAAATGCAGAATAACTTTGGGTAAAGTCCACGTCGCTGGCCTTCTCTCGTCTGCCGTGTTTGACACTCGACCACACGTGTGTTTATGCGTGTGTGTGGTGGGGGGGGTGGGGAATGAGGGAGAGGGGGAGGTGGGGGGGTTAAACCCTTTCCCAACTTCTTAACTGCTGATCAACTTTCCAATAGATTCCTACTACCAACATGTCTACAGAGTGGGTGGGGTGGGGAGGGGGGGGGGGGTGGGGAGAAAGTGCTCCCCTTGTGGCTCAGATTGGAACTGCACCGATCACTCAATAATATTAATAATACTCCTCGCATTTGGTACATCAGCGCCTCATCACGTCTTTCAGGCGTCTCAAAGCGCTTCACAGAACATACCGTAAAGTGTAGTGACTGTGTAGTTTGTGGCCAAAAGTCTTGTAGTTCAGTGTCTCACAAACACCAGTGGATGGGTGGGTGTGTGTGGGGGGGGGGTGGTCCTAGCTGGACAAGAAGGGTAAAGCTTGGCCGGACAGTGCCCTCAGTGGGCAAGCTATGGGGTTTTAACGGGTTGGACTCCAGCAGTCACCCCCAACGCACACTCCGGGGCTCCCCCCACCCCAAGCCTTGGCTCTCGCAACCTGCGCCTCAGACTCTCCGGAATTGGGCAAGTAGGAATGTGGCCCTCCCGGGAGAGAGAGAGAGAGAGAGAGCACTCCATTCCAACAATCTATCTCTGGGGTTTCCGTGCGTATTCATGACCTGTATTCCTGTCCGTACTATTCCGGGTAGGATTTGGACTTGGTGTCGGTGCTCAGTGTCGCGCTCTCTCGGAGGCTCAGACGCTGTGTGTGAAACTCGACAACCCCCCCCCACCCACTCCCCACCCCCTCACACAGACTCACACACAGACTCACACACACACACACACTCACGCTCATGGGAAGCAACTATTGACCCAAACCGGGCTCCACTGACACCGAGAAGGCTCGAAACTCATTCATATTTCACGACGATTTCCGTTGTATCAGTTTATTGTAATTCTACGATGGGCAGAAAGAGGGTCTGAGAGTCTGGGCCGTGGCTATTGGGGGAGGTGGGGAGGGGAGACAGGAGGTGGTGGGGGGAGAAGGGAGAGGGAACGGGGCAATTTCAGTCTCGTTCGGGGTTTTGATGAACTTTTTTTGAAAATGATATGTCCATGAGCAGCCAACAGCAGGTGGTAGAGGGTGGGGAGCAGTGGGGGTGGGGGGGTTGGGGGGGGGGGGGGCACGAATAGATAGAGAGAGAAATTTGGGGAGAGAGAGAAAGAGAGAAAAAAGGAGAGAGAGAGTAGGTCAGAGAGAAAGAGAGAGACAGAAGGAGGGTTAGAGAGAGAGAGAGAGAGAGATGGGGGCAGAAAGAGAGGGGGAGCAGAGAGGGGGTAGAGAGTGGAGGGGGGGTCAGAGAGAGAAGGGGGGGGACAGAGCGAGGATGGGGGGGGCAGAGAGAGAGAGAAGGGGAGGGGGAGGGGGGGTGGGGGGGGGGCAGAGCAAGACAATAACGGAGAAATCTTTCTCCGTGTTCTGTTGACCATCTGGACGAGGAACTTGCCCCTCAACCCGACCCGGGATAAGCTCCCAATTCCAATTCCAATTCCCTAACAACAGCAGGAACAGGTCCCGAAGAGCGCCGGAGGCAGGGAAACAGGAGGGGAGACAGGAGACCTGGGAACAAACGAGGAGTGGGGGGGGTCAGCACACAGTGGGGGGTGTCTGACACACACGGAAACCCATCACCGTCGCTTCAGAGTCTCCAAACCCAACTGAGAATTCCCCGCCTCCGCCTCCCACCTACACCCGGAAACCCCAAGAGATAGAGTGTCGGAATGGAACGCGCTCTTTCTCTCTCTCTCTCTCTCTCTCTCTCTCTCCTCTCTCTATCTTTCTCTCTCCCTCCTGCTTACCTAATTCCGGAGAGTATTAGGCGCAGGTTGGCGAGAGCCAAGGGTGGGGGAGAGCCCAGAGTGCGCGTTGGGGGTAACTGCCGGAGTCTAACCGGCTAAATCCGTATAGCTTGGCCATTGAGAGAGAGAGAGAGAGAGAGAGAGAGCGCTGTCTGGCCAAGCTTTCCCGCTGCTTGTCCAGCTGGGACCACCCTCCCCGGGTTAAGGCTTTGACCCGCGGGGTGGTGGGGGGGGGGGGGGGTTAACGGGAGCTGAGCGGGAGGAACAAGGGAGGAATTCAAAAGGGGTGGAAAATAACCTTAATATTCGAAGGAGCCCGAAATGAGGTCGGAGAACCGTTTCCCCCTCACAAAGCTCCTCGCGGAACAAGCCACGAGAGTGAGCCGAGCGGATATTTTCGTGGGACCATCGCAACGAGGCGTGACGGCGTGTTATAGCGGGCGAGAGGTTCAAAGGGGGGGGTCGGTCGGCCGGTCGGTCGGTCGGTCGGTCAGTCAGTCAGTCATTCGAGTTCCCGGCAGCTCAGAGATGTGCATTACCCGACAGTCGATCGATGCCGGAGTTGAGTTGTTTTTTTTTTTGTTTTTTTCCCCCCTTCGCCTCCACCAGAGCGGACGCTGAGACATTAAAGGCCTTTAATGAGCCTCCAGTCGTGTAAAGGGAGACTTGGGTTTCACCATCAATCCATCAAGCGCCCCCCCCCCCCCCACCCCCGCCTCCCCCCCACCCCCCCGCCCCGCCCCGCCCCTTGGTTGCTTTGCGCCGCGGGGCGTGAGCGAAAGGGCAGGGCAGGGGTTGCGTGATGGTGAGGTCGTAATTATTATTATTATTAAATTATTATTATTAATTATTACACATTATTCGTTGTAATTATGATAATAATCCTTGCACTTGATTTAACGCCTCACACCCCCCCCCCACACCTCTCGCGACGCCTCGAAAGCGCTTCACGGAACGGGCCGCGAAGTGCAGTGACTGTGTGTTTCTGCGGGTCAGACCGTGAGTGTCGGGACCCCCCCCACCACCCCACCACCACCCCTTTTTGGGTCCCTGCTCGCTCGTTAACCCGTTCATTACCGCTGCTTTCAGAGGCCACGCTCTTACCAGTCCGTGCGTCTCTCTCTCGCTCTCTCGCTCTCCTCGTCTCTCCATCTTTTTGTCTCTCTTTCTTTACGTCGCTCCCACGTTCTTTTGCTCTCTCGCTCTTTGTTTCTCTGCCTCTCTCTTTCTCTCTATTCTGTTTTTCTCTCCTCTTCCTCTCTCTCTCGCTCTCTCTTCCTCTCTCTCTCCTCTGTTTCTCTCTCTCCTCTGTTTATCTCTCTCTCTCCTCTGTCTCTCTTCTCTCTCTCTCTTCTGTTTCTCTCTCTCCTGTATCTCTCTCTCGCCTCTGTTTCTCTCTCTGTCTCTCCATCACTGTTTCTCTTTTTCTCTTTCTCTTCTCTCTTTCTCTCTCTGTGTATACATCCCTCTTTCTAGCTTTCTTTTTCTCTCTCTCTCTCTCCCTATCTCCGACACAACCTTCCTCTTTTCTACTTATTTCCTCTCCCTCTCTCTCTCTACTGTTTCTCTCTCTCTCTGCGTTTCTCACTCTTTTCTCTGTTTCTCTCTCGACATATACATCTCTCTCTTTCTCTCTCTCTCCGACAGAACCTTCGTCTTTTCTACTTATTTAATAATAAATGATAAATAAATGATAAATAATCATAATAATTTGGTCATTTCAATCCCCGGCTGTTTGCGGGGGACGCTGCCGTGCGCAATCGCCCAGAAAATACACAGTCACTACACTTTACAATATATCCTGTGAAGCGCTTTGAGACGTCCCGAAGTCGTGATAAGATAAGGCGCTGTATCAAATACAAGGATTATCATTAATATCATTATTATTA